AGTCACTCACTCACTCTGCAATGATTGAAGTGCTTCTGAAACTGGAATTAGACTCTCTCTCTCTCTCTTTCTCTCTCTCTCTCTCTCTCTCTCTATCTCTCTCTCTCTCTCTGTGACTCTCTCCTCTCTATGTGTGACTTAGTGACTCTCTCCTCTTTGTCTCTCTGACTCTCTCCTCTCTCTGTGACTCACTCTCTCTCTCACTCTCTCTCTCTCATTCACTGTGATATGAAAATCAAATTTGACTTATCAGTCTCAATCATTCAATCAATTACTTGGTAGTTTGGACTTTTTAAGACATGGTACCATGGTGTCGAACCCTGATGTTGAAATTGCTGAATATTATGGTGACTAAACTGTTCATGCTGTGGAGAGCCATTTGGTTTTTGCCATTAAGAAGTCAATTTGTTGACTTTAACTTTGTTAGCATGTTCCCCACTGTACAAAGGTTTAGTGAGCTACGTTGAGTGATAAGCTGTGTCTTGTGGGTACTGTAGATAATGAATGGCGTTACGGCGGACTAGGGTTCTGTTACTTCAAACGTGTTCTGTTTCCTTCTAGGTTTCTGATGTGTATAAAGGTGTAAATAATTAGGACAATAGGGAGATAATCCTGGTTACTAATGTCTCCTAGCTATACCCTGGTAGTCCCTGTATATAATGACATAGGTGTCTGAATGTGAAGAAGGAATGGGTGGCCCCATTGTGTAAGGTGCCCCAATAAACTGTATAGAGATGTGTCCCTTGGCCGTGTTAGCAAATTTTTGCCAGTGATTATAACGTCTTTGTCCCATGTCTTATCAAGCTTTCCTCCCATGTAGTGCTGTGATGTGACTGAAGTATAGATAAAACTAGCTGTAAGAAGTCATTCACTCACTCTTAAAGTAGAAGGAACAAGTAAAACTTAAGTTACCGTACCTCACTGAAAGACCTTGGTTTGATTTACCCACTCACGCAAGGTGAGACCCCTTACTGGAACATATTAACAATATTTTTGCTCTGAAATATTGCTGGAATACTGTTGAAAGCGTCGCACTTCTTTAATTACCCTATTCGACGTATTCAGCGCCCTGCTCTAATAAGCGCCCATGCCGATATTTGGTGATATATTGACTAGTGAACAATTCCAATTCCTTCCGATTGATCAATGTACACAAAACTTATTTACATCTGAGACCTGCATCACTTCGGGCTTTCCTACCACATTAAGCTGACACGCAGTGATATAACTGGAATACTGTTAAAAGCGACGTTAAACCCAACTCACTCACTCACTCACTCACTCACTGGGAAAATATATCTGTCGTGTATAATACACACAGACTTTTATTTTGTACCATTTTAGGCTGTCAGCATAAACCACAAACTTTACGATCTTTCAACTGTTTTTTTCCACCAAAATTTTATTTTTTATTAGAGCCCCCTTTTTCTAATTTTGAGAGCGCCCTGGGCACTTATTACGTCGAATAGGATAAGTCTGAATTACACGAGTCTGGATGATTCGTACATCACAGGCTCATGCTATTTTAAGAGAACACGATTACATGATCAGATTCAACAATGGGCTTTACATTATAAAGCGTGTGATGAAGTTTGATGTGGTGGCGAATCGGACCAGCCTACTGTAGATATGTGTGTGTGTTAGGCATGTAGAGACTCCTTAGCAGCTGACGCGACATGTGGCAAATTGAACAGCAGTCCCCAGATTGATGAGGCTGATGGGGAAGTAATTAGGACAAGGGCTCGTGTTATTTGTAACTTGTCTGTTAGGTATTCTGATTGGTCATACATGTGCTGAAGTAGGACATCTAGTGGCGTGAGTAGCTGCATCTAGAGTAGAGCTGTCTGGATAATTATTGCCATTGTTGATGTTGGAAGTCTTTCACTGATAAAGAGACTGAATTGAATGTGAGGAGGCTGAATCAGAAATAATATGAAGGGTTTGTTTAACCAGAAGTTCCTCTGTCTGGAAACAAAGCCCTTTCTCTTCCCAATAGATTAAGCCTTCAAGTCAACCATTTAAACTGTTTTGTTTTCTTTGTGACTTTAAAAAATGGTGATGTCAGGCAGAGAATTTTGAATTGTGAAAAATCCCAAGTTGATCGTTAGTCACGTGCAGGGATGTGCCAGTAATTGGTAAACCTGTTCTTGTCTTCAGTGAGCTGACATTTGGAGGCAAAGTGCCATGAACATACGCCACTAATGACAACTACTGTGTACCCAAATTCTTACGATCAACATCACCCCTTGTTATCATTGGATCCACAAAACCTTGAAGGAACTGTATGCTATGATACGTTCTAGGGTTATGTATGGAGTGTGGTGTTGCTGTTTTGTCAAGTGCGCCATTAGTACATGTGTTACTTCAGCCATGTATGGTGTACAGTGTCTCAAGATGGTGTTCAGAAAACATCCTATAAGTATTGTCCCTGTCTTGATTATTTTTAAGATTGCTGAAAGTATTATGCTGTATGTCATATTGTTTCAATTTCTAAAGCATTAGGGACAGTGGGGTAGCCCAGTGGTGACAGCATGCCAAAGACTGAGTTTGATGCTGTATATTTACGGGTGTGATGGAAGTCAAAGATAAGACATTATATAAATTACTGCCATATTGCCTTGAAACTCCCAGCAAAGCACCTGATGAGGTTTTGGGATCTTTCTTCCTTGACATGCCTACAATATGGCAACAGTTGATACCACACAAAACAGTATTCACTCACTCACTGTGAAGTAAAGTTTAGTATCGATATGTTGACTCAAAATTGTTTCCATATATCGATAAATAATAACCAAGTTAGTTATTCTGTATGTGTATAGAGAACAAGCCAGAATCATTTCCTTTTTAGACCTGCCCTTAATCAACGTTATTTTTAATATGAACTAGACTGATCCAATGTTCAAAATTACATGTTCTACTTTCTTATTGTCCTTCTTACACATTGTAATCTTTACACAAATGTAGGGGCAGTGGGGTAGCCTAGTGGTTAAAGTGTTCGCTCGTCATGCCGAAGACCCACATGGGTATAATGTGTAAAGCCCATTTCTGGGGTCCCCACCATGTTATTGCTGGAAAATTGCTGAAAGCGGCGTAAAACAATATTCACTCACTCACTCACTCACTCACTCACTCACTCACTCACTCACTCACTCAAAAATTGTGGTATTGATACAGTATAGATACAGTATAGACACTAAAGTTTTATCGATATCACGATATGCGATAACATCCCTACTCTGAATCTTTCCTGTATTACTGCCCTGTCGTACCCAATTTCTGAACATAATAGCCTGGCTACAGGAGTGAATCGAGTACAACATGCCATCTTCGTGTTTACTGCTGTCTTCCTTTAATTACATTTCTTCAATTATCACCTATGGCAGGGTGTTCTGACATAAGAACTGATGGTTAGCTCTTCAGGATTTGTTGGGCATTATTCTTCAGACCTTGTGAAGAATGTGAAAATAAACAGGTAATTTTCTCAAGAGGAAGTTATGCTACTTCCTGTCAACCTTTAGAGTTTGAAAATGAAATAGAACTATTTCATTTGTGAGTGTTACATAGCTTGCTCTACGTGATGTCGGTGGCATTTGTTCCATAAGGAATTAATCTGTAGTCCGGGACCAGGCAATGAAATGTCACTGCCCAGAATGATATAGTGTTTTATTGGGATAATTATTGTAAATATCATCATGAAATTAGTTGAGGTTAAAAAAAAAAAAAATTGAATTGCACTTGATCACTTAGCTGACATGCATTGGTTGCCATAATTGTTTTCAACATCTGTGGTGAGATGTTAGAGGGCTCTGCCAGTGCAAGAGTCGCTTTGTAAAAGTGTCTGGTGTAGTACTTTGTGTTTGTCCACAACTTCACACAGTCATATAGGCAAATATAAACCATCTAGATACAACTGTTTAAATAAGCTGCAAGTCTGTTTGCACAAGTGTAGAAGTTGACACTACAGTGTTTTTAGAAAGGATGAAGTTTGGGTCAAGTCATCATATTTAAGGTTGGTTTTGGGGAGTGTGGCTATTGATATGTGATGATAAATATAAGTCTGGTGATCGTCAGACAAGTTGTGGACATGTTGATTGCATGTTATCTTACCACAAGTGTGTTATTGTTGGTCGCACGATTTGATCAGTCCTGATTAACTGGTCACATGATTTGGCTGTAGGAGGAGTGATGATTAAAAAACCCGACTCACTCATTCATTACAACACTCACTCTTTGCTCACTCACTCACTATCGAATGGACGAACAAACATCGACACTGGGACAAATTGCCATATCATTATGGCATGATGTTATTGTGATTTGAAACCTCTGATTGATCAATCAGTATCAAGTATTTTTGGGAGACATGTAGAACACATTCTTTGTCCACTTAAATACAAGGGGTCCATGAGGTGTTTGGTTAGATCCCTAGCCACCTACACTGCTTGTGAAAGGTGACTTAATGGATCCAGTGGTCAGGCTTGGTGACATGGTTGATTGCGTGTCATATCACCAAGACTGTGTTGATCTGGATTGTCTGGTCCAGACTTGATATTTTTTACAAGCACCCATCATAAAGCTAGAATATTGCTGAGGATGGCGTAGAACCACAAACAAACAAACAAACAAACACCATTCATTGCTCACAATCACTTATTTTTCATATTCCCTACCTTTCTCTTGTTTGCATATTCTGATGTATGTTTACATATTCTGACATATATTTGCATATTCTGACATATGTTTGCATATTCTGACATGTTTGCGCATTCTGACGTATGTTTGCATATTCTGACATGTTTGCATATTCTGACATGTTTGCATATTCTGACATGTTTGCGCATTCTGACGTATGTTTGCATATTCTGACATGTTTGCATATTCTGACATGTTTGCGCATTCTGACGTATGTTTGCATATTCTGACATGTTTGCATATTCTTAAGTATGTTTGCATATTCTGATGTATATTTGCTTATTGTGACTGTGTTCTCTTGTTTTCAGACTGCCAGTACACCTGCCATCACAACTGTGTAGGGTCTGTGACTTTAGACTGTACCTCCGTGTCCCAGGGATCTCCCAACGGGGAAGACACGCCCAAAACTGGCAGCGCAGCAGAAACCTCATTATCACAACCAAAATTACGCAACTCGCCAAAGTCTGTCATATCTAAAAACAATGTGTTACAAAGCTCACAAAATGAGGATATTTCACAAAGACTTGCACAACTGTCGACGTCATCGGTACCGGGCGTGGCCCAGCGGGTGGAACATACCGTGGACAATTCCGTGGATGTGCCAGCGGACAATACCAATGTAAGCAACTCCGTGATATTCTGTGTTGGATATATGTGGCGGTTGAAGCACTGGGTTCTGGTTAATGTAGATTTTGTTGTATTCCTAACATGTTGCTACCGAGGTAAGATTTATGTTAGTACTAACATAACTAACTCCTCTTGCTTAGTTGATGTGTCTGATCAACTAATCTGGAAATAATTTGATGTGATTTCTTAATGCGGATCAACTATTGTTAACTGTTGCACAACCTTTGAAATATCAAGAAATCTGACTGGTGTAACACTGATTCGGAGAATGTTTACATTGATAGTAACGTTGATGTCTGTTATTGATTCTAAGATATATAAGCAGTCTGTGACTTTAGCCACTAGCCTGAAGCCCGAGTCTAGTAATATTTTGTTTGGTCCAGTTAGCTCAGGTAATAATAGTCCATATGACACTTATGAGACTCTACTGGAAATTATGCTTGGAGCCTTGTTTGGGCTCGTTGGACTCGAAACACTTATAGGCACAGACTGCATAAGCATGCTGGAGTATTAAGAAATGAGAATTAAATTATGTTAGTTGGTTGCCAACTGTTCTAATATATTGTTCAGCCAGTACATATGTATTGATGCAAACAAGGTTTCTAATGTCAGAAAATATGATTTTAAACCTCTCCTTGAGGAAGGAAAAGACAACTCTGTCTTTACAACATTTCTGAGCTCTCAAATTCCTGGAAAGAGTTTATTAACTGGATTGGTTTTTTCGCCAGTATCTTCTAAATTCTTTTGAAAAGTAACATTCCAACATCTGGCCCATCTGGTTTTTTGTTTTTAAATGAATGGGATGTTTTCTGTTGGGTAATATGATCCTGTCACCCACAGAACACATGGTAGGGAAGTTCACACAGGTCAAACATTGCATGGCATTCTCCCAATTCCTGCTCTTTCTGTCTATTGCAGAAATCACATATAGGAAAATTAAAAAAAGCAAGTATTTGGTACCAGTTTAGGTTTTTGCATCTGTGATATTTCTTTCTCAATAGTGTATGTGGAGTTGTAGCTGCAGGCAGATGGTTTGTGAGCAGCTCTGTCCTGTAGACAAGATGCATGTGTTGTTTCATGTCAGCCTTAGATAAATATGGCTTGTTATCCCCTGCCACGAAGTGGATGGGGGGGATATAGGAATGGGTGCTGTCCGCCTATCCATCCGTCCGTCTGTCACATTTTGTTTTGGGAGACAGAACTCAAAAACCATGAGAGATGTCTTAACCAAACTTTGCACATAGATAGGTCTAGGGGTGAACTTGTGGCTTTTGATAGTTTTGGATTTAAAACAAAATTTATTACTCGAGTTTCCATAGCAACAACTTTGACTTAGACTTCAAATGGTGGTAGTGCTACTTTCCAGAACAGATCTTGAAAAACTCAAACTTGGCACATTGGTAGGTCTAGTGGTAAACTGATGCCTTTTGACAGTTTAGGTTTTCAACATTAATTTTTCAAGTTTCCATGGGAACAACTGTGACTTGGACTGTCAGGAGTTACAGGGGTATCTTTTATTGCCAGGATGTGGCTACCTGGGTAGACATTAAAGTGATGATCATATCAACCGAGTTGCAGACCAGTGGGTAGATACAGTGTGTTAAAGTTCAAAACAGGCTACAATAAACATATATTTAACAGAGAATACAATAGTCTGTAGATCCAGTAATCTAAAAACAAGAGCCTACCGTATTCGGCGCCCTGTTTCAAAAAGTCCCCCGTGACCAACTTCTAGACCAATCTGTATTCTTTACAAGACACTGAATATTCACACGACAATCCATATTTTCATGTGTATGTCACAGATTTTGGTTTACTCAGCAGCACAAAAGATTGCCTAGTAACTGTTATCGAAACAGTTTTAGTTTCATCGACGTTGAACTAAGTTTGTTCAAAACTCGAACTATGAAACAAATTTAACTCATAGTTTCAATAAGCGCCCTTTTTGTCAAGTTTCTTAGCTTCCAGGTCGCATATTATGGCAAATAGGGTAAGTTAGCTGTGCAGATCACAAAACGAGTTAATCATAGTGCTGTAGTGGTTTACTCTGAGAGTACACATTCATCTATAACACTGTCAAATGTATATAAATGATAAGAATGCTGCAAAATGTCAGACTGCTTCTGTGTTTGAATACCAACACCGCTGGTGCCTCCATCAAAGCTGGAAGTCAAACAGTGTAAGAGACTCTCTCTCACTTGCTCAACTAACTTTCATCACTTTCACTTCAAGATTGGATTACCTACTTGGAATTGTAAAGTAGCATCTTGGGTAATGGTATTTTCAATTCCAATCTGCCCTGATGGGGTGATTACGTGGGTTATGACCCTTTCACATTACTGTAGTGTCTCAGACATAGGACCATCTTTACTTTGATCACTTGAGTGAGGGGGCGGTTGGGTAGCCTAGTGGTTAAAGCGTTCGCTCGTCACGCCGAAGACCCGGGTTCGATTCCCGACATGGGTACAATGTGTGAAGCCCATTTCTGGTGTCCCCCGCCGTGATATTGCTGGAATATTGCTAAAAGCGGCGTAAAACCATACTCACTCACTCTCTTGAGTGAGACAAGCTTCACCAGGTGGACTTCAAAGGCAGCCAGCCTCCAAGCACAGTCACTGATGGGATCTCAGAGCAGGTTCCCAGTACCCCATACTTAAGAGGAAATTTATTACTTTATTAGGAAATTGTTACAATATGTGATCTGGCTGATTGTGTAGTTGTGTACCCCTACCAAGTAAATGTTTGTTCAAGCAATCAGCCAAGGGTTTCCTGTGTGGGCATTCTGGATAAGAATAGGTTCCCAGTTCCCCATACTTCCCATGAGGACCAACATACATAGGCATTAACTGGTTACTATGTTCAATCTGATTGTGTAACCATGTACCCCAACAACGTGGATCCCTGCTCAAGTGATCAACTTCTGGTTTCCTGTGGGGATTCTGGGTCAGAATAGGTTCCCAGTACCTCAGGCCTCCCGGATGTCATCATACTCCGGATGTTATCTTACCCCGGATGTTATCTTACCCCGGATGTCATAATGCTCCGTATGCCATTGTACCCTGATTGTGTGCATTGTTGCTCATGATTTTCATCACTGGTTTGTCTGATCCAGACTTGGTTATTTAAAGGCTGCTGTTATATCACTGGAATATTGCTGACTGTTAATGGCATTCGAAACTCGGGGCCGTCGGTTAACCTAGTGGTTAAAGCGTTCGCTCATCACGCCAAAGACAGGGGTTTGATTCCCGACATGGGTACAATGTGTGAAGCCCATTTCTGGTGTCCCCCGCCGTGATATTGCTGGAATATTGCTAAAAGCGGCGTAAAACCGTACTCACTCACTTCGAAACTCAATTATTTAGGGCTGCTCTGACGGCTGTTATGGTGCTGATTTTGAAGTAAGACAACATACATGTATCTTATTGCTATAACTTTAACTGAAATATACCGCCTCCAGTTCAGGCTTCGTGGATGATTATGTAGGTGGTTCGGTCCTCAGCCGTGTCATACCAAAAGACGTTAACCGATGGTACTTGTAAAAAAACACGAAGGACTGGTTGGCTCAGAGTCAGTATAATGTGTGTGAGAGGGGTATTCATGTTAAAACAAGCAGCACACACACACATGTGCATAAACAATGTTAAGTAAGTGATCTTGTATCTTGTAATCTTGAGACTACATTTCACCTCACCTGCCTCAACTGAAATACTGTTCAAAGTAAAATTAGACCACCGCAATCGCTCATGATTTATTACCCCATGCAAAAGTTGTCTTGTACAAATAAATTCTGATATGGTGATATTTCCGAGATATAAGAACATGATGATGATGATGATCTCAAACAAAGGGCCATAACTTTTGACTGACACAATAAACAGCCTGTAAATGTCAGTTCGACATGGACGGAGTGTTGTCATTGTGGAACATCTTAGCACATGTGCACAAGTTTAAAATGGAGGCGTGTTCTTGAGTTGAGGTGTAATTTGAAGCATCCGTGGTTGCCTAGCCTAAGAGTTCTGTCTCCAATCTATCTCCGGTGATGGATGAGAGCAGAGTGGAAGAACTTGCTCCACAGCCTATTTACCTGTACGCTGCTCAGCTCATGTTTTTGAGTAGTTTTATTTAAAATTATGATTATAACAACGCTTTGGTCTGACGTTGATTAATGAAATGAAATTTATTACAGAATCTTGGAGGAAACACTAGCAACAAATTAAACAATTTATTGTCAGATTATCAGGGTGTTTCCTGACCATCCTATTTGTGAGTTCGGGGGGGTGGGGGGGTGTCCCAGATATATAAATGGGGGGGGGGGGGGGGGGGGTGGTCAAAGTGACCCCGGTACCAACAACGCATGAAGTATGAGTGAAACCTTAGACCACTCTGGATTGTTTCAATCAAATTATTTGCCAACATTATAAATGTTAAATTATATGCTAAAATTGAATTGGTTTCAATGACCTTTTTGTATCCCATGGGAATCGAAGTGCAAATAATTTGGTTCCATTCTTTATTGTTACATTTATAAACAGAATGCAATAATTTTTAAAAACATATCCTTAACTTATTGAATAGTTATTTGTAATAAAAGCAATATAATATGAAATATAGTATTACATAAATTGGTCTATGTACTGTGAAAATATGGGATGAACCAATAATTGGTGTAGCCTGGCGTGTTATGTTTCAAGTTTTCTGTTAGTCCTGTGTGTATCAATATTCCTGTTACGTGTACAATGATAGCATCAGCTGGCTTTGTATCAAGACATAGATCTATGTGTGTCAGTACTGATGTATATGGGTGACAGCTATGGAGATGGGCAACAGCTGGAGAGTCACATGACCAATGGACAATTCAGCAGGTGCTTGTGGCCTGTAAACTGTCTCAAAGATGCTATTTTAATCCTGTTTATGGGGTGGGGAATAAGTGTAAAATATAATCAAATGAGGACAGAACTATTATCTGTATTTATTTTGTTAAAATATGAGAAATATAAATTACAGCACTAGTCTTGGAATTATATATTAGTGGAAACTGTACTTGATGCAATTTATGTTACCAGATTATATAGGTATATCCTTGCTTATCCAATGAGCATTGTCAACTAAAATAAAGTACTAATTACATTAATATTTTTGTATTTCGGTTCATTGTCAACTTTAGGAGGAATTATTTGCGAGTACAATTGTTAGCAGACGTGTTTTCCAAGATCAGCTGTTATTTATTTTTGTGTCTACAGATGTGTTGCAATAGAATTTTGTCGCAACAAGATATTTTTCAAGGTAGTCATTTGTCTACCTCTGAAATTTAGACAGTAGACAAACTGAAATTTAAGTCGCATTGGCGACCGTTTTAGTTGCATCTTTGAGGCCGGGCTAAATATATACCTTATGTAGTAAGAATCCAATGATTTCATAATTGGTCACCTAATGAAGGAGGAAGTACATCAACCATAAAAAACGTTTTGTTCCTCATAGTAGAGAAGTTGACATCCATAAATTTTCTTCCTTATTGGGCAAATCCATAGGGAAAGTTATTTTCTCAGCATAGTTTTTCCCAACATGTCATTAGTAGCAGCGGGGTCTTATTTCCTATCACCAATTAAAAGGAAATTTAATAAATAAAGTAAATGTGGGAAAGTTGAAACAATTGTGTGAAAATTTCACACCATTTATTTCCAGTAGAATAAATCTAGATACAATCTACCTTCCATTAATTGAAATCTTGCATCACTAAGAGCTCAGTTTCCAGCAGTTAAAGAGCTTTCATGTTTACATTACGTTGTAAACCTAAGCTATCTGTACCAAGCCGATACATCGGCAGTAACAACCCAAATAAATAATTAACGGCTCCCACCCTTTTCCTGCGAGAGATTGTAGGGGCGGGGTCGTTCATGCACTAGCATGCATGTTCCCCGCCACACAGCTGACATCGACATGGCCACGTGAAGAGCCCTGGTTAGAGGCCAACACAGATATGGTTTATCATGTTTCTATGTTTGTGTGTGTTGATGTGTTTTATATTAGAAATAGTGTTGATATTTACATCATTTAGTTGATACAGGTTAGTGATTCTGTTGCATGTCTGTTGCCGTGGAGACACATCATAACCCACCATACACCAGCCATGTTGTAGATTGTGCATGATGTTTTCATAACCTGATGTATTGTGTTTGATATATTTCTGTGTTTATTTAGGATGTTCATAAATGTTTGTGAAATCAAGAATGCCAAGTTTAAGTTTATATGATCGAATTACTGTTGTGATTTCTCGTAAACCGTGTCTTTGGTTAGATGTTTTATCATTTGTTTACAAGAAAACAAAATCCATGTAATCAGTATGAGACAGCAGGGATGGAAATTAGTACTAGCCCGCTAACCCGGACTAGTTTTGTACATGTTGAAGGGGGGGCACGGGTGGCCCAGTCATCAAAGGGCCGCGATTCACTGTGCAGAGTTGGGTCCCTTGGGCACGCCAGAAACCTATGGTTGTGGGTTCGAATCCCGGTTCACCCCTAGGTTTCTAGGTTTGTCAGCACCGTGCTGGTGGGTTTCACCAAAGTGGTAAACGTCTGAGACCTGCATCACTTCGGGCTTTCCTCCCACATTAAGCTGACACGCTGTGATATGACTGGAATACTGTTAAAAGCGGCATTAAACCCAACTCACTCACTCACTCACATGTTGAAGGTATGCTGATGGTTGGTAGACCTCCTTGATTAATTTCCATCCCTACATGGTCACATCAATCTTTCTACAGTTTACCTTGTAAGCTAGAATGAGTGAGTGATTACTGCATAACGCATCAGCAATCTTGCGGCTAATCGCAGTGATTCTAAACTAGACATGTCCCTTGAGATGTTATCATGCTCATAGAATCATTGTCACTAGGGTCTAAAATAAGCATTTTGAACTTTGAATAACTTGATATGTTTTCAGTAGCTCATATGACTTCATATTTTCAAGGTTTTGTTAGATTTGGTCTCTAGCAACTCATGATTGTCGTAAGAGGCGACTCACAGGATCAGGTGATAAGGTTTGCTGACTTGAAGCCTCACATCCTGATTGCGTAGATCAATGTTTGTGATGTTGATCACTGGATTGTCTGGTCTGGAGTTGTTTATTTACAGACCACCACCTGGAATGCCGCATTAAACAAACATTCGTGTTATTAAATCTTACCAATGTCAGAAGTAGTACTATCAGTTGGATCAGCAACAGTATAGGCATATTCATCATTCATCATCATGGTAAAGTGGCTTCTCTCTGTTAATTTCTGGAGAACAGTTGTAATATTGAATGGGTGGGTTTGTGTTTAGTTTACTCTAGGTCAGACTATTGTGTGACTAGTACTAGTCCGAGTCCTAATCATTTGTATTGTTTCTAGGAGAAGGATGAGACAGACAGCGGGTACCGGTCAGGGACGATTCCGGATGAGAAACTTCCCAAACTGCCAAGCCAGGCAACGCTCAATCGGGATGAATTGAGAAGAAAGATTGCAGAATATAACCACTTGGTGCCTGGGTCAGAGTTTGAATTAACGGTGAGACAAGGGAGATAACTCATTGTGGAAGGATGTCATGAGTTTATTTTTATAAGACATTAAATTGATTAATGGTTATAAAAACTAAAAAAGGACAGGATATTTTATTAGTCTTTTTTAAAGTATACACATTACCAACCAAGTCTTTAGTAAGTGGCATTTGTTCAGACTTTGACAAGTACGGCTTCCCCTCTCAAAACAAAACAAGGCAATGCATCAAGTACAGTGTTTTCTTTTGGTCACATGTTGACGCAGGCAGCTCGGTCCTCTCAATCGTTACCATTTGCTGTGTCGCTTAGGCTTTCCAGGATGTGATGATCATGGCTTCGAATCCCGATTCACACTAACTATGATCCTTGGCTGGAGAGACCATGCCTGTGCACATGGGTTTCATGAAAGTGGTAAACAGCTACGACCTGCATCACTTTCCTCCTTCTTTACACTGACATGCTGGGATATAACCCACCAGCATAAACCCAACTCCCTCACTCATTCTTTTTGTGATCTTGAGAAAGAAACATGTGCCATAGATATTATGGAGAAAGATGTCAGCAGTGTTGGAGTAACTTTTGTCTGGGCCCTGTTCCACAAAGCGATTATAGCGCTGACATAGTCACTCTCGTACTTTGATATAGACTTTCGACAGTTGTAGTGAATGATCACTTTGTGGAACAGCCCCCGGGTATTTAACATGACCTGAATCTTCAGTGTTTGTGTTGTGTTGTAGGAGGAGCAGGGAGAAGCATTCCAGGGTTTCATCAAGGTCACTCTGAACCTCATCAGGCCCATCACCATGTCGCTGAGCATGAGGCCGCCGTCCATCTACGACCTGCTCACCAAGGAACACATCATCGAGCAGAACACACAGTCGGTCTCCTTCTACATGCCCCGAGACACCATCAAGTCCATACATGTGGCCAGGTATATACAGAATATTCTACATGCCCCGAGACACTATCAAGTCCATACATGTGGCCAGGTATACATAGAACATTCTACATGCCCCGAGCACACCATCAAGTCCATACATGTGGCGAGGTATACATAGAACATTCTACATGCCCCGAGACACTATCAAGTCCATACATGTGGCCAGGTATATATAGAACATTCTACATGCCCCGAGACACCATCAAGTCCATACATGTGGCCAGGTATATATAGAACATTCTACATGCCCCGAGACACCATCAAGTCCATACATGTGGCCAGGTATATACAGAACATGCTACATGCCCCGAGACGCCATCAAGTCCATACATGTGGCCAGGTATATATAGAACATTCTACATGCCCCGAGCACACCATCAAGTCCATACATGTGGCCAGGTATATATAGAACATTCTACATGCCCCGAGACACCATCAAGTCCATACATGTGGCCAGGTATATATAGAACATTCTACATGCCCCGAGACACCATCAAGTCCATACATGTGGTCAGGTATATACAGAACATTCTACATGCCCCGAGACACCATCAAGTCCATACATGTGGTCAGATATATATAGAACATTCTACATGCCCCCAGACACCATCAAGTCCATACATGTGGCCAGGTATATATAGAATATTCTACATGCCCCGAGACACCATCAAGTCCATACATGTGGTCAGGTATATATAGAACATGCTACATGCCCCGAGACGCCATCAAGTCCATACATGTGGCCAGGTATATATAGAACATTCTACATGCCCCCAGACACCATCAAGTCCACACATGTGGCCAGGTATATATAGAACATTCTACATGCCCCGAGACACCATCAAGTCCATACATGTGGCCAGGTATATATAGAACATTCTACATGCCCCAAGACACTATCAAGTCCACCTATGTGGTCAGATATATATAGAACATTCTACATGCCCCGAGACACTATCAAGACCACACATGTGGCCAGATATATATAGAACATTCTACATGCCCCGAGACACCATCAAGTCCATACATGTGGCCAGGTATATATAGAACATTCTACATGCCCCGAGACACCATCAAGTCCATACATGTGGCCAGATATATACAGAACATTCTACATGCCCCGAGACACCATCAAGTCCATACATGTGGCCAGGTATATATAGAACATTCTACATGCCCCGAGAACCAGTGAAGATAGGAGATAGAATAGGTCTTCAGCAACCCATTCTTGCTGCACAAGGCAACTGCTTGTCGTAAGAGACGTCAAGCGGGATCGGGTTGTCGGGCTTGCTGACTTGGTTAATGCATGTCATTGTATCCCAATTGTGTGGATCGATGCTCATGTCAATCACTGGATTGTCTGGTCCAAACTTGATTATTTACAGACCACCGTCACATAGCTGGAATATTGCTGAGTGCAGCGTTAAACATCTTACAAACAATCAATACCAAAGGACATGTATATATGTAGTATTGTACATTCTCTGACACATCAAGTTCGTTCTAATGTCCATGTACCCTCGGAGACGTGTAACATTTCTAAAAAGAAACTGCTTACTTTGGTCATTAAACAGCTGTTGACAGAATTAAGTCATGCCACTGAGCTGTCACTATACGTCGGAGAGTTATGCCCCTTTGCCTTGCAAGGATCTGACAAAGAGTTTGAATCCTAGATTTACCCTACTTATGATCCTTGGTCATCCCACACCTGACATAAACCAACACGATGTTAACACCGTGTTATACACAAATAACCCACACCTGGATCTGTAGAAACAGCTACTTATGTGAGTTTGATATGTTCCCAGCGAGACGACCACGAAGGAAGTTGTAGCAGCTCTGTTGAAGAAGTTCCACATTCTGGATCACCCACGCAAGTTTGCCATGTATGAACAGGAATTCTCCAAAAACAAACTGGGTAAGCAAACACACACTCGGTTCCTTTCGGTTTTGTTCCACTACCTACATAACACCCCAATGGAGGAGTGATATCGTAGGAATTCCGCAAGATCCCATTCCATATTGTTCGTATAGCATGACAATAGTTTTCCTGTGCTTAACAGAAATTATTTGAGCACTTTGATTTGAAGACAAAAGCGAACAGAAACACTATAAGTAAGGTCCACAGTAGAAGGCAGGTTGAGGTGAGTCATGTGAATGACAGGCATTCCTGTGTGAGATCAAGTTGAGTGAAGTGGCTGTTTGATCAAGGGGAGGTAATCATTCAAGATTAGATGGGCACATTCAAGGGGAGACAATCTATTGGAATCTTTGTTTGTATCTGTCATATTCCTTATGTATTAGTTGGGTTGGGTTGGTTGGTTGGTTGGTTGAACGCCGCACCCAGCAATTTTCCAGCTATATGACGGCGGTCTGTAAATAATTGAGTCTGGACCAGACAATCCAGTGATTAATATCATGAGCATCGATTCACACAATTGGGAGCGATGACATGCATCAACCAAGTCAGCGAGCCTGACCACCCGATCCTGTTAGTCACCTCTTACAACAAGCATAGTTGCCTTTTACGGCAAGCATGCTTCTGAATTTAATTCAGTGTCATTCTTATCAGAAATTACCAAATAAATTGAAGTAATGTGGGCAAGCGTTGATTTTCAAATTGTTTTGAGCTGAATATAACGGCAATAAGGGATTTGATAATACCAATATGTTTTGATTGTAATATGGCGTTATTTGAGGTGGATATTATGACAGGACTGAAGAGTGAATATAACAATACTTTGATTGTACTTTTCAGTGAGGCTGAAGAGAGTTGGGGATAAGGACTTTCCTCTCCAGGTCTTCCTCAACTGGGACCCTCGTAGATTTACCAACTATCGCCTCGTACTACAAGAAAATGAGACAGGAGAGATAGTGGTAAGTTGCATTAGTTGATAATACCTTTATCATTAACCACCATAAACACAAGGTTGCAGATGCCTCTGTATCAAGACTGAACCTCTAAAATATGAATATTCCAGTGTCTTTGTTTGTTTGTTTGTTTGTTTGTTTGTTTGTTTGTTTGTTTGTTTAATGCCGCACTCAGCAATATTCCAGCTATATGACAACGGTCTGTCAATAATCGAGTCTGGACCAGACATTCCTGTGATCGATATTATGAGCATCGATCAACTCATTTGGGATATGATGACATGCACCAACCAAGTCAGTGAGCCTGACCACCTGATCCTGTTAGTCGCCTCTTATAACAAGCATCGGTTGCTGAAGTGAGTTCTTACCCATATCTTCATGGGTCACAAAGTCTTTGAGGCTGACTAGTGTCATGGAGGCTCATATCACTCACTCACTCACTCACTCACTCACTCACTCACTCACTCACTCACTCACTCACTCACTCACTCACTCATCTATCTCTGTTCCAGTGGGAGGGGTTCAGCAGACCAGAGCTGAACAACTTCCTGAAGGTGTTGGACCGTGAGGAGGAAGAGTGCGTAAGCCAGCTCCACTACAAGTACAAGGTGATGAAACGGATCATCAACCAGAGACTCAAAGAAATCAGGAAGGAGCGCAAGACCTCTGGCACCAGCCCGTCCTGACACTGGGAAACCCCTGCCGTAGTCGCCAACGCCGCCGCTCCACAGTCACGACTACAAAGACGACTCTCTTGACCGGGAAACCCCCAGCAAAGAGGAGACAGCCCTTCCTTTTGAAAGACCTGAAGGGATTTTGAGCTTTGTTGCGACTAACTATCAGCCATTCCTGTTTTCATCCTCACTTGGGTTACCGTATTCGACGTAATAAGCGCCCGACCTTATAAGCGCCCACGGCGATATTTGCTACTATATTGGCTCGTGAACAATCCCAATTAGCACCCCTTCCGATTGATCAATGTACACAAAACATTTATTCGCATATAATACGCACTCATGTGTTATATGCACCCTTAATTATGGGCAATTAAATTCCGGAAAATATATATCTGTCGTATATAAACATTTCAGGCTGTCAGCATAAACCACGAAATTAATCTTTCTACTGGTTTTTTTCTCACCAAAATAATATTCTAATAATATTCTAATAAGAGCCCCCTATTTCTAATTTTGAGAGCGCCCTGGGCGCTTATTATGTCGAATATGGTGTACTATTTAGGCCAGAAGAATTTCTTGTTTTATAAACAAGTCTACTCTAATTGTTCAGAAAGTAAAGAAATTTGCAAAAATAGAAATGCTGCACTACAATATGTTTTTTTAAAAATATGGTTTAGAATATTTCTTTAAGAATTTAACATCAAATGAACCCTGAAAACAATGTGTTTTTGATTTGTGCAACCTCTTGGCCTGTTCATAGAGATGTTTGTAAAAGAAGAAATTAAATTAGTCTGGTCTTTTAATAGGTTGATGTGACCCCCGAACATTGAAAGCCAATGATTTGCTTCTGTTAAATATGGAAACACTGACACCGTTGATGAAGCGTGTACATTATCCATATTGGCATTGATTTCTCTACCACTTGATATCAATTCTGTCTGAGGTTGTACATGCAGACCTAGCCTGTTGTATTATGTCTGCAACTGCCAGTGCCTTGGTTTCCTGAGAGAGCCTTAACACTGTAGATACTGTGACAAACCATGTGATATTGCTGGAGATGGAGGGGAGAAAACAATACATGCAATGTCTTACACTCAACATATTTCATTCACTTTCCAATACTGAGGCATCACGAGGGCTTGTGTTTCTGTCACTGTCTATCACTGGAGGAATAGTGGACTTTTAGGGGGACTTACACGGTTAGGTTTCAACTGGTTACACTATTTTCATGTTCTTTCTTTCAGAACTGGAGATTAAGAATGTATGATATGCTCACTCACTCCAATAATTCTCGTTGCTGCATAATCTGTAGGGTGTGTGTCTGTTTCTCATGTGTCCTGCACAGCACGTAGCAGTAGGAGGCTGTTGATGCATGTTATGTGACAGGTGCCCTGTACATGAGCTCCCTCTCGCCATGTATCCACAGCCTACAGTTTGTATGTTAACATACAGAATATTGTCCATCAGCTGTTCTGATGTGTATGTATGGATAGGTTAACATACAGAATATTGTCCATCAGCTGTTCTGATGTGTATGTATGGATAGGTTAACATACAGAATATTGTCCATCAGCTGTTCTGATGAGTATGTATGGATAGGTTAACATACAGAATATTGTCCATCAGCTGTTCTGATGAGTATGTATGGATAGGTTAACATACAGAATATTGTCCATCAGCTGTTCTGATGAGTATGTATGGATAGGTTAACATACAGAATATTGTCCATCAGCTGTTCTGATGAGTATGTATGGATAGGTTAACATACAGAATATTGTCCATCAGCTGTTCTGATGTGTATGTATGGATAGGTTAACATACAGAATATTGTCCATCAGCTGTTCTGATGAGTATGTATGGATAGGTTAACATAAAGAATATTGTCCATGAGTAATTGATGAGTATGTATGGATAGGTTAACATACAGAATGTTGTCCATCAGCTGTTCTGATGAGTATGTATGGATAGGTTAACATACAGAATATTGTCCATCAGCTGTTCTGATGAGTATGTATGGATAGGTTAACATACAGAATATTGTCCATCAGCTGTTCTGATGAGTATGTATGGATAGGTTAACATACAGAATATTGTCCATCAGCTGTTCTGATGAGTATGTATGGATAGGTTAACATACAGAATATTGTCCATCAGCTGTTGATGAGTATGTATGGATAGGTTAACATACAGAATATTGTCCATCAGCTGTTCTGATGAGTATGTATGGATAGGTTAACATACAGAATATTGTCCATAAACTGTTAGTTATAATAACGTCTGTTAGCTTAAACAGGCTTGCTCTCTCATCACATGGCTGTCACTTGTGCACTTTCTCTCAACAGATCTCCTGTGTATATTTGTCTTAATTCCATATGACGCCTTCCCTTTTCTTCTCAATATCTATAACTAGTCTCATTACACCTGTATCTGTCCTACACTGTATGGTCAGTGGGGCAGTACTATTTTCCTTTGAACTATTTCACTACTTTCAGTATGAGGTCATCACCTGTTGGTGCTGGTAACTATGGTAACATCTAGTCAGTTCCTTTTGAATATCTTCTCAATGGAACACAATTTGCTAAGCTTTACACAAAACTGGTTCAGAGAAATCCATCGTACATATCCCTCCCAAGTCGTCACTCTCGTTATCATGTCCATCCTCTGTCATCAGGGACACCACACGTGCCTTACCGCAAGGCATCCCGCGACTCACAATCATAATGTATGCAGGAGTGGTTGAATGTTGTGTCCTTGTGCCTGTACATTGTGTTGGAGTGGTTCTATGTTTCATTGTGTCAGTGGCTGAATGTTATGACAGGTGCTTGCACGTTGTGTCAAGTGCTTGCACGTTGTGTCAAGTGGCTAATTGGTGTGACAAATGGTTTTACATTGTGTCTGAGGTTGAATGTTGTGTCAGAGTGGTTGAATGGTGTGACAAATGGTTTTACATTGTGTCAGTGAGGTTGAATGTTGGTTGAGTGGTTTAATGGTGTGACAAATTGTTTTACATTGTGTCTGAGGTTGAACATTGTGTCGAGTGGTTGAATGTTGTGACAAATGGTTTTACATTGTGTCAGTGGTTGAATGTTATGACAGGTGCTTGCACGTTGTGTCAAGTGGCTAATTGGTGTGACAAATGGTTTTACATTGTGTCAGTGAGGTTGAATGTTGTGTCGAGTGGTTGAATGTTGTGACAAATGGTTTTACATTGTGTCAGTGAGGTTGAATGTTGGTCGAGTGGTTTAATGGTGTGACAAATGGTTTTACATTGTGTCAGTGAGGTTGAATGTTGTGTCGAGTGGTTGTAAGTTGTGTTAAAGTGCTTGTACATTGTGTCGGGGTGGTTGAACCTTGCGCCCGAGTGGTTGAACTTTCACTCAGAGTGATTGTGTGTTGTGACAGGTGCTTGCACATTCTGTCGGACTTCTTCACTTTGTTTACATGTTGTGTTGGAGCAAAATGTGCCAGCTGCTTGACCAAGCAAGCATCTTTCCTGATATTTGTGTTCACAGCTGCAGTTGTCTGACTGGGGTTGTGTGGTGTGACTGATACGACAAAAAAGCTGCACTGAGTCAGATTGTCCGACCCCTGACGGAAGTGTTAGATACCATCGTCATAAAGGAGACCTATAAAGTTTCATTCCATCTTGTTGATGGCATGATGTCATGACGTCATGTTAATGTGATGTCATGATGTCAATGTTGATGTGGTGTCATGTTGATATGATTTCATGACTTCTTATGCAATCTCAACATGAAATATTCTAATCATTGTGGGTCTTGTGGGTCCTTGTTCAGCCTTTTCTATCTCATCCCATGGACACCCTTTACTCTCCTACACGTCAGTTATATTCTAGGTTAGGATGGTCCTGTTTATACAAATGTGAACCATTATTCATTTAGGTTCTGGGTGATATGCCATAATGAGAACTATCTGGAGGAAGTTTGCCTGAGATCTGACCACCTACACAGATGTTGAGTCCAACCATGGATCTCGTTCTTGCATATTCTGTATTGCAAACTGTATATGCAGTGTAACAAAAACTTATGAAACAGTGATGCTGGTTTGTGCCAAAAAACGGATTAGGATTGCCAAGTCACAACATCAGACATGTACTTAAGAATGAACTTAATAACCAGAGACATTATCGACTTCAAACTGGTACAAGAACGTCACATGACATTATACAATTAACAAATATATTTGACCTTGACCTTCCTTGTCTTTCATCAGATAAAGATTAATTTTAATAACAAGACTATATTATGTGTAAGCATCACATGTTTATGTAATATATCATCTTGCTACAACTGGAACAGCATTCTTTGACCAGGCTGTGTTATATATGTGACCTTGACCTTGACCTTCCTGGTCTATTGGGAAGGTAAATAAGAAAACTCTGTTTAAAAAGCTCTGCAATTGTTATAACATTTTTACCAGCATTCTTTGACCAGACTGTGTGATATTGTTAGGTATCAAACAATATATCAGGTTGTGAAAAATCTACTTATTTGCTGTATGATTTAGGACGGGATGCACTGAGGTTCACAACAATAGATATATAGTTAAGGAACTTTAATGAAAATGTTCAAAGGACTGACAATTAGCAATATGTCTTTCAGGAATCTTACAATGCCATTAAGAAGAGAGTAATGGCTAAAGCTGTTGTTTCATGCTTCATGAATTTCCGAATAATTCTCGATGAACATACATGTATTTGCCATGTCCTTTAAGTGAATTAAAATTCATTTTCTGATTGATCTAATGTTTGAGGTTAGGTTGAATCATTCGTTTCTATGGCAACACAGCCCTAGTATATAGTAGTGTCCTTATTGCATATTTAACACGGTTGCAATACAATCAACTGTGTGTTACACCTCGATCCCCACTGTTAACTGGATTCACGGTTTCCCATTGGCAAAACTCAATTGTTATGTGCATAATTGTTAACCTATTTCATCCTTTGAAATATTTCTGTAGATAGTGACCACATGTGATGTATCTGTTTCATGTTTATCTCCTTCCTACCTACAATTACAGGTGACAATATTTGTTTTCCCGTTTCTTCAATCATTAAAATCAGATATTTTACTCCAATTCGATACCACTCCATCCGAGTAAAATGTTTGATTTTAATAACATTACTCATTTCTTTGGACCAGTGATGTACATTCAGTCATTATTTATGATATCTGGCTGCAAAATTGGCTTTCAGGCAGCACCATTTTAAAGCAAAAATTCAATGCTGCCATGGGAAGATATACGACCGACTGTTATTTGTCTGTGGTTTTAGTAATATGGTGTTGCCTGAAAAACATTATTCCTAGCCTATTCCTTGTTGCCTTTGTTTTTTGCTTGTATATATATCTCACAAGTGAATGAGCAAGTTAGGGAATATTGCTCCTGGCTGCTACAGCAAGTGGCTAGCTATTTGCACCCTATATTTCAATCTCGGCAAGAGTGATCGACATCACATCCCTGTTATGGGCTAATGTATGTTGCTAGCTCAATCAGATTTGAATCAAAGTAGGATGCCAATTTGACACATATATAGTGGGGCGTCTCATCATATGCCCAGTTCATTTACGACTAAGTCAAATTTGCTGCTACATGCATGGCCTCATCCCAGATGCTCAGAAATGAGTTCGTTTTCAATTGATCTGGGTACTGGGTTTGTCTAATGCTCTTTTCAAGATGTCCGTCACTTGACAAGAAATGTTTCTTTGTAATGTCAAGTTTCTGATAGATATTATCTCTCTCGTTTACCGTTAAGCATTTACTCAAGCATGGCCACGATTGCTGTCATACTCAAGTCTGGCTTTCTGTACATTTCACAAATATGCACAATTCAGTATTCTCTTCCCAATGTTGACATTGTTCTCGTTTTAGTCTGATGTTGTCTTCCACAATTTAACGATATGAACAATCATTGTAAGAGGTATTTTGTTAAATAAATTATTTTGCACACAGTATCAGTAATACAAGATCTTTCTTGAGCTAGCTTGGTGCCCATGCGGTTCCGATTAGTGAAGTGTTATTATCATGTTGTTGAAATCATTATGAGTGTGTCGACAGTGTCGTTAATGTTGCATTGTACAAATGTACATATATATATTAAAATATTGTTGTCTAGCATACTTGAAAATGTCACAAAATCAGCTCACTTAATTGTTGAGGAATGAAAAATACCATTGTAGAATGATTTTTGGAATAAAACATTTAAAAATTCAGAATCATATCTTTGTATTTTATCATTCACATCATACAAAGTTCAATAAAGACAAATCTTGTAGGTTATGTGACGGAGTTGCATCTCTTGGTCATGCCAGGATCTGCTGCTGGTCTTGGGGACAAGAATCACCTTAGGTATGATTATTAGTTTGTAGCCATGGCTGGCCCAGTGTCTTTAGGGGCTGTGATTTGTTGTAAAGAGGAGCAATGGCAGCATTAGACCAACTTGGGACAGAAGCACAACTTGCTTACAGTTTGTGGCCATGGCTGGCTCAGTGTCTTTTGGGGCTGCAACTTGCTCTACAGAATAGCAATGGCAGCATTAAGCCAGCATGTCGGGACAGAAGCCCAACTTGCTAACCGGTGTAACGCGTGACTATATTCAGCAGTGACTAATCAGTTCATGCAGTGTTACATCAACTTCTGTCCTTTCAATCTGGACTCGCCAGTATCATCCAAGTCCTTGATAGATGATTGGACTTTTCAATGTGGACACTCCGTTATCATCCAAGTCCTTGATAGATGATCAGACTTTCAATCTGGACACTCCAGTATCATCCAAGTTCTTGATAGATGATCGGACTTTTCAATCTGGACACTCCGTTATAATCCAACTTCTTGATAGATGATATTGGAGTGTCCAGATTGAAAAGTCTGATCATCCAAGTTCTTGATAGATGATCGGACTTTTCAATCTGGAAACTATTCTCATCCAAATTCTTGATATTTATACAGTTGCAATAAGACAGTTGGTACTCATCAACAAATAATTTTATTTACAAATCACAGACACTCAGTTGATGTCATTTTCTCATTTATAAAATTACATTACATTAATTACATGACTGGGATAATACATCGTATAATCTGTGACATATTTGTATAATCTGTGACATATTTGTACATTATCAACAATATTCTACAACCAGATCAACAAGAAGCCAGTGTACTCATCTTGTCAACATTGTACGTCCACAGCCTTTAGTCAACTAAAACTTGTACAAATGGAATAACAAGTATTTTCTTTTCATGAATCCATTATCCTGGGTATAGGCTGTTTCATAAATCAACACTTGCAGAATACAAACATCCTTACCATCTTGCTGTGTGACACACACAGTGTACTATGGGTCTACAGACTGTCAAGACAAAGCCATGCTCGAACTTGATAAGTTCACAGGCTTCCTTTGTTGGGATTTCATGGAGGACAAAGGTAATACTTAGTTGTGGAATTATAGTTACATACACAGCAGAAACTTCCACAGACAATAGGCCATCTATTTCACAGACAAATCACATGATTGCATACTTTGGCCATCAGTATAAATACTATTATGTCTAATGTTGCACACTTAGTGCCATGTCTTGTGAACAATGTCTTTTTCATGAGAGTACCTAAATTGGATTAAAGGTAGGATCAATATACAAAGTTAACAATATGACGAAGCCAATGGGATTAACGGGAGATGTACCATGTACGAGAATTCAAGAATTAATCAACTAGGGACTTAAAGCTCTGTCTATCAGTTGTCAGTTTACATTTCTGTGTTGATAGATTTAAGTGCTGCAGTCTTCCCCTTTCACCAGGCGACTCTTGAACTTCCAGATATCCTGCAAAAAAACCATTCAGCAATACTGGAGATGATAGTGACCTGGTACCTAGTCCAAGGGACAGAACTCTTGTCCAAACTAAACATTAATTCACACCATCTGCCCTTATTACACAAAGGTGGTAGTCAATTCAAGCTTCACCCATAATACCAATTACCTGAGTTTGATTCGCAACAATGTACCCTGCTGTGACATTCCAGAAAATTGCTAAAAGCACCAAAAAATCCTAACCACCCTTAAACTAACTTTGACGTTACTAGTTCTTTTTATGAAAAAAGACAAATATACTGCATACATATATTAGTGCAAAGTTATTTTCAAGGTTAACACTCAACACAAAACAATGGACATGGAGAACCAATTACTTCTTATCATGACAAACTGCTTAATATATTTCAAAGAAGACATTCAAGTCAACTGTGACCTTCAAATATTATATTGAGACTTCTGTACAGAGTACAGACTTAAAACTATTTAATCCTACAACAAAGTGAGATTTCATTAACCTGGGGCGGGCATCAAAGACCTAGTCGTCTCAGCAGCTGCGTTTCACTGTTCAGAACGGCATCCCTTATTGTGCCAGGAATCCTTGATTGTAGGTTCGAAATGATTCTAATTTCATCTGCACCAAACCAATGCTCGTGGGTTTCACCAGAGTGGTAAACATCTAAGACCTATATTACATCAGGCTTTCTTCCCAAATCAAGCTGACACGTTGTGATATAACTGAAAGGCTGTTCACAGTGGTGTGAAACCCAACTCTGTCACCAGCTCTTAAACTCGTACTACATAGAGAATTTCACCCGAGTGACTTTTGATATCAAATATATCAACACGAGTTGATAAATGTGGAAAAATTCTGAGGCTTGCCGAGGATTTTTGCCACTTTTATCAACGAGTGTTGATATATTTGACATCAAAAGACACGAGGGTGAAATTTTATTCATCATCCAACATCATTCTTCCAACTTTTTCAATTTGTAGACAGTAATTAGCAGTGTTTTCAGTGTAAAAAGTACTGCTAACACTTCAGTAGCAGAGCCATTAGTGATGTCATTTGATTGTGACGTCATGGTAACCAGTGATGTCACGATGGTCTGCAAAGTATTGTGATGTAATTTCATTGCAGCGATATCTACAGTGTAGATATCGCTTGATCTAATCCAAGCGATATCTCCTGTGGGAGCCAGTTTTGGATGATAAATTATCTTCCTAAATTGTCCCATCACAATCAATACCAGCACCATACATACTGGTCCTAGGCTCGACTGACTCAAACTACAAATAACTGGACTCATGAAGACCCCGGGTCAGAATATGTCTTCAGCAATCCATGTTTGCGGCAAGAGGCGAATATGATCGTTGTAAGAGGCGACTAATGAGATCGGGTGGTCAGGCTCACTGACTTGGTTGATGCATGTCATCATATCCCAATTGTGTGGATCAATGCTCAAGATACCAATCACTGGATTGTCTGGTCCAGACTTGATTATTTACAGACCGCCGTCATATAGCTGGAATATTGCTCTGAGTGCGGCATTAAACGAATAAACAAACAAACAACTGAACATATATATCCATGACTTCAAGGTAATCTATATTCCTAGCCTCCCCTACATCAGCAAACATCATGGCACGACCGCATGCTATTGCATCATGACAAAAGAGAACATATTGCACCAAGGTACGTTGCATTCATTGTTCCTAAAACACTTACAGCAAATTTGATCTGGTCCCGATCCAGGCCTGTTTTCTTCTGAGCCAGGTCCAGCACCTCGTCTGCAATGGTGGACTGGACATGTCCCTTGTCTATGTCAATGTACTCCATGTTGCCTGAGGCGTAGTGGCAAGAGATGGACTGAAAGGAGAAGCACAGAGTCTGTCAGGTCATCATGGAGGCTCTCACATAGTCAGTACATCCTGGAGTCCGAGTTCACTCTAGAGTTGTTCATCGAAGTGTCTGTCATAGAGTCAATCATAGAAACTGTCAGTGTTCATCCTACAGTCATCACCAAGTCTGTGTTCATCTGTAAGTGTTCATCCTAGAGTCTGTCTGTCTGTCTGTCTGTTGATAACTTCGGCTGTTGTGTCTATCAGCATATTTACGACTTGGGCTGTTGTGTCTATCAGTGTGTTTATAACCAGGGCTGTTGTGTCTATCAGTGTGTTTATAACTAGGGCTGTTGTGTCTATCTGTGTGTTTATAACTAGGGCTGTTGTGTCTATCTGTGTGTTTATAACTAGGGCTGTTGTGTCTATCTGTGTGTTTATAACTAGGGCTGTTGTGTCTATCAGTGTGTTTATAACTAGGGCTGTTGTGTCTATCTGTGTGTTTATAACTAGGGCTGTTGTGTCTATCAGTGTGTTTATAACCAGGGCTGTTGTGTCTATCAGTGTGTTTATAACTAGGGCTGTTGTGTCTATCTGTGTGTTTATAACTAGGACTGTTGTGTCTATCAGTGTGTTTATAACTAGGGCTGTTGTGTCTATCTGTGTGTTAATAACTAGGGCTGTTGTGTCTATCAGCGTGTTTATTACTAGGGCTGTTGTGTCTATCTGTGTGTTTATAACTAGGGCTGTTGTGTCTATCTGTGTGTTTATAACTAGGGCTGTTGTGTCAATCCTGTACCTTCCGGAAGCCCTTCGTCTTGTTGGTGCCGGAGCCATGAATGAGGATGGGGTGGAAGAAGACTGTGTCCCCTGCCTCCATCTCCAGGTGTACCCGGGGATAGCTGGGGTCGTAGTTCTTGATCCCGTGGTACATCTTGTTCACACCTCCCTGGAACACACCAAACACAAAACGTAATAGGGCACAGACGTTCACCACTCTGTTGAAACCCACAATATGGGGGAATCCAGTGTTGAGGCAACTTCTCAGTTGCAGGAGCTCAGACTTATGGTTCATCCAAACCCCACATCACACAACAGTAGATCAGCATCTGTGTAAGTGATGAATCGATAACTACAACGAAGCATCTTTCTCTACGTATTGCACCCTGGCTTTCATAAATGATCGATTTTGATTGGTCAATCACAACTTTCTAATAAAAATAATAACCTAACATTGAAATGGTTCCTCTGACAGTCGTAACACAATGGAAGCACATATTTACAAGAAAATACTTCTATCACAATCAGTGTCACCAGGTTATGTAGGTTACAATGATGAGTTATGGTTTCAACTATATACCGTATTTTCCAAAAAACACAGTTGTGTAGAAGGGGTGCGCATTATTCACGCCATGATGAGTTTTGATGTTTTTTTCCCCCCAACGGAAAGACATTACCGTGAGCACGTAACACCCGAAATACCATGTCAACAAATCCATACTGAAGTATGCAAATTAATCATGTAATTACACTGTCTGGCTATAAAAAGTGTTCAGCGAATATCTGGACTTATCTGGACTTATGTTTGTAACTTATTTCATTAATCTTATTCAAAATTCCTTTTATTATTGTTTTAATTAATTTCGATGAAATCGTGTGTGAAGCGATCGGAAGATCGCACAATTCACCGTTATTAACAGCAACCAGTCAGATTACCGCTATTGACACCTTGAAACCAACTTTACTTGGCAGAAAATGGATACATATATCATAAATGCCATACTTGTCATCTCAACACGTAGTTCTTGTGATCACGTGCGGAGACGGTGACTGGTCAAATTGTTCCATGTGAAAAAAAACAACCAGCAATAACGATATGCTGCACCGAAGTGCTCCACTTTGGGCTATTATTATTTTAAATATATTTAGTAAAAGCTGCAACTAAAAAAACAACATATTGGAATATATTATTCCTGATAAAAAAATAGTTTCAGATACAATTTTTCCTGATCCTTGCATCAAAATGATGTAAAGTTATATCATTGGGTAAGTTTTAACTGAATCACCGGTAGATTCCAAGAAAGCTGATTGCTGTTTCCAGCTTAGTTTAAGAGAAAATACACAAGGTTATCTTAATCCCTGCATGTACCGGTAAATCAAGGCTTAGAAGAACAAAAAATACAATTTAAACGGTAACTCAACATGGTGTCTGGTGATTTTTTATCTCAAATTTCAAATTTGTACTGACAAAGTTTATTATCACCCATTTGTTTACCAGAATTCACTGAAGGGGTGCAGTGTAATTTATTTCTGCGCATAATATTCGAAAAAAAGATTATTTCCAAAATACTGAATCTGCTAGAGGGGAGTGCGCATTATACTTGGGTGTGCACCATACTCAAGAAAATACGGTATACAAGCATATGAGGTCAACTATTTTTGTCATGAGCTAAGTTTGGACAACCAAAATTACAAAATAATTGTGATCAATATTTGAAATAACTGTCATGCTTGTAGTCAGAATTGCGACATGAGGTAGCACCAAATTAAAATTTAGTCACATTTTTCAAACTGGAAGCCAAATAAAGGCTTACTCAACAGAACCTGCAGAAGTGCTCAAGAGACACATCACCCACCTCCCACTCAGGGTAGCCATGTTCCAGCAGCTCCCCCTTGTGGCTGCCGGGCAGAACTACAAGGCAGCCATTTTGTCTGTTCACTGTCTCCATGGCTGTCCAGGAACACACGATTCTCTTGGCGGGTCTGAAGGGGAAGTAGTACAAGTCCTGGTGCATGGGGTGCCGCGACGACTTTTTGCCTGGGAAACACAGATTCATGGAGGAGGTGATATAGACACACAGTCATGGAGGAGGTGATATAGACACACAGTCATGGAGGAGGTGATATAGACACACGGTCATGGAGGAGGTGATATAGACACACAGTCATGGAGGAGGTGATATAGACACATGGTCATGGAGGAGGTGATATAGACACACAGTCATGGAGGAGGTGATATAGACACACAGTCATGGAGGAGGTGATATAGACACACAGTCATGGAGGAGGTGATATAGACACACAGTCATGGAGGAGGTGATATAGACACACGGTCATGGAGGAGGTGATATAGACACACAGTCATGGAGGAGGTGATATAGACACATGGTCATGGAGGAGGTGATATAGACACACAGTCATGGAGGAGGTGATATAGACACATGGTCATGGAGGAGGTGATATAGACACACAGTCATGGAGGAGGTGATATAGACACACAGTCATGGAGGAGGTGATATAGACACACAGTCATGGAGGAGGTGATATAGACACATGGTCATGGAGGAGGTGATATAGACACACAGTCATGGAGGAGGTGATATAGACACACAGTCATGGAGGAGGTGATATAGACACACAGTCATGGAGGAGGTGATATAGACACACAGTCATGGAGGAGGTGATATAGACACACGGTCATGGAGGAGGTGATATAGACACACAGTCATGGAGGAGGTGATATAGACACATGGTCATGGAGGAGGTGATATAGACACACAGTCATGGAGGAGGTGATATAGACACACAGTCATGGAGGAGGTGATATAGACACACAGTCATGGAGGAGGTGATATAGACACATGGTCATGGAGGAGGTGATATAGACATACAGTCATGGAGGAGGTGATATAGACACACAGTCATGGAGGAGGTGATATAGACACATGGTCATGGAGGAGGTGATATAGACACATGGTCATGGAGGAGGTGATATAGACACACAGTCATGGAGGAGGTGATATAGACACATGGTCATGGAGGAGGTGATATAGACACACAGTCATGGAGGAGGTGATATAGACACACAGTCATGGAGGAGGTGATATAGACACACGGTCATGGAGGAGGTGATATAGACACACAGTCATGGAGGAGGTGATATAGACACATGGTCATGGTGGAGGTGATATAGACACACAGTCATGGAGGAGGTGATATAGACACACAGTCATGGAGGAGGTGATATAGACACACAGTCATGGAGGAGGTGATATAGACACATGGTCATGGAGGAGGTGATATAGACATACAGTCATGGAGGAGGTGATATAGACACACAGTCATGGAGGAGGTGATATAGACACATGGTCATGGAGGAGGTGATATAGACACATGGTCATGGAGGAGGTGATATAGACACACAGTCATGGAGGAGGTGATATAGACACATGGTCATGGAGGAGGTGATATAGACACACGGTCATGGAGGAGGTGATATAGACACACAGTCATGCAGGAGGTGATATAGACACACAGTCATGGAGGAGGTGATATAGACACATGGTCATGCAGGAACTCTCCACTTAATTTTCAACAACTGAAAGTGAGGACAGGATGCCTTGAATATAAAAGTTGATCTGTTCATTGACATTTATGGAAATATTCGAAGGAGTAGTTAATTCAAACCTCATTACTTATTTCCTTGTAATAATTCTCCAAACTACTTCATGAAAAAACTGACATGATATATCTAAAGATGATAAATTCATTCACTAAAGACTCTCTTCATATTTGACCACACATATTGTGCTGGCACAAGGTAAACGCTGGTCAGGCCTGACGAAGGACTACCTGGGTCTGGTGGCTTGTTAATCAGCATCGTGTGCATGGCCATGACATTCCCGCCGGTGAAACACTCCACGTAGTCCACGACCTACACCAAGAAACACACTAGGTCAAACCTCATACAACATACACAATGTGTTACTGAAGTTACTGGGATCTCTTAGCCACTGGGATATCAAGCATGGGGTACTGGGAACCTATTCTACCCTGAATACCCATAACTGGAAAATTTTCTACCCTGAATAGAAATAGGAATACTGGAAGCCGTTTCCACCCTGAATAGTAATAGGAGTACTGGAAGCCGTTTCCACCCTGAATAGCAATAGGAGTACTGGAAGCCGTTTCCACCCTCTATAGCAATAGGAGTACTGGAAGCCGTTTCCACCCTCTATAGCAATAGGAGTACTGGAAGCCGTTTCCACCCTCTATAGCAATAGGAGTACTGGAAGCCGTTTCCACCCTCAATAGCAATAGGAGTACTGGAAGCCGTTTCCACCCTCAATAGCAATAGGAGTACTGGAAGCCGTTTCCACCCTCAATAGCAATAGGAGTACTGGAAGCTGTTTGCACCCTGAATAGCAATAGGAGTACTGGAAGCCGTTTCCATCCTCTATAGCAATAGGAGTACTGGAAGCTGTTTCCACCCTGAATAACAATAGGAGTACTGGAAGCCGTTTCCACCCTCTATAGCAATAGGAGTACTGGAAGCCGTTTCCAACCCCAAAAGCAATAGGAGTACTGGAAGCCGTTTCCACCCTCTATAGCAATAGGAGTACTGGAAGCCGTTTCCACCCTCTATAGCAATAGGAGTACTGGAAGCCGTTTCCACCCTCTATAGCAATAGGAGTACTGGAAGCCGTTTCCACCCTCAATAGCAATAGGAGTACTGGAAGCCGTTTCCACCCTCTATAGCAATAGGAGTACTGGAAGCCGTTTCCACCCTCAATAGCAATAGGAGTACTGGAAGCCGTTTCCACCCTCAATAGCAATAGGAGTACTAGGACAGAAACTCCACCAACTATTGAGAACCCAACTTTACCTGGAATCCCTTTGACTCATACTTCTACTCCGTATGCCATGCTACAGATGCATGCACCATACAACAGTCCGTGAACAGAATAAAACAGCCCTAGGCAAATCTCTGTTTTACAGGTAATAATAATGATGGTGCTAAAAGTCAGATGTCTCACTTGAGGCAGGCAGCAGTAGTCGAAGAGGACATCATCGTACATAAAATCCTGTATCTTTGTGATGGCCTTTTCTCCAGGCACAAACTCAGACTTCGCGATGCTGACATCTCTCATGATTATAAGGCGTGGAACCTGCACCTCCTTCTTGCAAATCTTCGCAAATCTCTCCCTACAGGTAGACGGCAGAGTGAGTGAGTGAGTGAGGGCTGTGAGTGATGCAGACTCAACATGATGAAAAGGTGAGTGAGTGAGTTGGGTTTAACACCACTTTTAACAGTATTCCAGTTATATCACGGCGTGTCAGCTTAATGTGGGAGGAAAGCCCGAAGTGATGCAGGTCTCAGACGTTTACCACTTCGGTGAAACCCACGAGCACAGAAACCTAGAAACATAATTGGGGAGAACCGGGATTCGAACCCACAATCATAGGTTTCTGGCGTGCCCAAGGACGCAACTCTGCACAGCGAATCACGGCGCCTTAGCCGACTGGGCCACCCAGGCCCCCTGATGAAAAGGATGCCAATGATCAGATAATAATGCAGACACCAAAACACGTGGACAATGTTTTATATCACAACAGACATGATCTAATAGCCTAGTTTTCACACTCAATAATTATTGGCACTGTAGTAAAGAGTGAGTGAAGGCATGAGTGAGTGACCAAGTGAGTGAGTGAGTGAATCAGATCTGAACAGTGGAATGTTGGATGTTCTGTGGACGAGGGCGACAACATATTGGGCGGTTGTGCTTGTGGTGTCACATGTAGCTCACCTATATCTGTCCAAGTCCTTCTGTGCCACCAGCTTCTTGATGACCAGGTATCCATTCTCCTCGTAGAACTGTCGCTGTTCTGGTGTGAGACGGGGGTTGCTGTACGTCAGCTCAAGCCCCCCGCCCCCCACAGTCTGAAGCTGGGACACAGGCTCAAACTGCTGCACAAGTCAAGGACAATACATTCAACATGACCAATGTTACGTCTCAGTCAGCAGTATTCCAGCAATACCTGGACTACAGAGGCATCATGATCCTACCATCGGAGTGTGATGACACCTTGGGGTGAAACAATACAGCAAGATCGTGATACCATACGTATCACGATACAAAGGGCATGATATGATACGTATCGCGATATGCATATCATGTCAAATTGTGTATAAACGTCTGGACTATAAATATTTCAGAGCAGGTTAAAAAAGAAAAGCTAGCTGTAGACGCTTGTTTGTTGTGGCTATTTTTAGAAGTGAACTTAATTACAACACATTTTGCGATTTTGACTGACAAGAACACCAGGGTATCGTGTATAATATAGGCGCGTGAAAACTCAGGATGCAATGATGTATCGTGTCACCTCTAATGACACCCACGGTAAGTCACCAAGTCTGACCAACTGATTCGAGTTTAGTTGCCAACAAGCAATAGGAAGAAGGGGAGATGAGAAGGAGAGAACTTATTCACACCTGGGTCCCCACTGGGGAGGGGGATGCAGAAAGGGAAGAGTTCGGAAACATCACCAGGTTGAAATAATTATAGAATCTAATGATAACAAACTGTAAATTCAATGTCCAATATGGAACATATAATAATGATAACAAACTGTAAATTCAATGTCCAATATGGAACATATAATATAGATAAACTGTCAATTCAATGTCCAATATGGAACATATAATAATGATAACAAACTGTAAATTCAATGTCCAATATGGAACATATAATATAGATAAACTGTAAATTCAATGTCCAATATAGAACATATAATAATGATAACAAACTGTAAATTCAATGTCCAATATGGAACATATAATATAGATAAACTGTCAATTCAATGTCCAATATGGAACATATAATAATGATAACAAACTGTAAATTCAATGTCCAATATGGAACATATAATATAGATAAACTGTCAATTCAATGTCCAATATAGAACATATGATAATGATAACAAACTGTAAATTCAATGTCCAATATGGAACATATAATATAGATAAACTGTAAATTCAATGTCCAATATAGAACATATGATAATGATAACAAACTGTAAATTCAATGTCCAATATGGAACATATAATATAGATAAACTGTCAATTCAATGTCCAATATGGAACATATAATAATGATAACAAACTGTAAATTCAATGTCCAATATGGAACATATAATATAGATAAACTGTCAATTCAATGTCCAACATGGAACGTATAATAATGATAACAAACTGTAAATTCAATGTCCAATATGGAACGTATGATAATAACAAACTGTAAATTCAATGTCCAATATGGAACGTATGATAATAACAAACTGTAAATTCAATGTCCAAAATGGAACGTATGATAATGATAACAAACTGTAAATTCAATGTCCAATATTCCATCCTATATTTATAACACCTAGGGTAAGCAGTTTATACCTATAATATATATAGTTCAATATTTGCAACTTTCTTTTCATTCAAAACCATTACCAGGAATATACTGCTTTGAAAAAATGTTCATCAAACTGTCATAACAAATATAGATTGCATACGTTTTGAATAGGACAAAAAGTATGTTGTTGCACAGCAAACTAAATTAATTCATAAATAATAGCAATGAAAGGAAATACAACTTATTCATGAAATTGGTCATAAATCAGTTCTTTAAACAAAGTTACATAGGTTATCTATTTCGGATGTGTTTGAAAATCTAAATGACAGAGTGTAAATGTTCTGCATTCTAGCAACATATGAGTAATATCACCATGATCAATGTGAGCATTGTATTAATACAACCTGGAGTATACTAGTGGTCGATACCACGGGAAACATCTCTATACAATGGCCCCCAATCAGCCAGGTCATACATGTAAAGGGGCGGTCGGGTAGCCTAGTGGTTAAAGCGCTCGCTTGTCACGCCGAAGACCCGGGTGTGATTCTCGACATGAATACTATGTGTGAAGCCCATTTCTGGTGTCCCCCGCCTTGAAAAAGGGGCGGTCGGGTAGCCTAGTGGTTAAAGCACTCGCTTGTCACGCCGAAGACCCGGGTTTGATTCCCAACATGAATACTATGTGTGAAGCCCATTTCTGGTGTCCCCCGCCTTGAAAAAGGGGCGGTCGGGTAGCCTAGTGGTTAAAGCATTCCCTCTTCACGCCGAAGACCCGGGTTTGATTTCCAACATGGGTACAATGGGTGAAGCCCATTTCTGGTGTCCTCCGCCGTGATATTGCTGGAATATTGCTAAAAGCGGCGTAAAACCATACTCACTCACTCATACATGTAAACTAACTACCATAGTAGTAGGGCTAGGACGATACATCAACTGTGCGATCCCATACGATTCACGATACGTTGCTCACGATTCAATACGTATCACGATACTTGCATGTGCTCTTATCTGTGGTTATCCGCCACCATTATCATAGAAAGGATGGCCAAATACCTGGCACACTGATGATTTACAGTTGGCAGTGTCAAGTATGGCGCAGTGGATGAATGGTTTTCATTACTAATTTTCACTAGTAATTAGCATGATTAGTGTTTGGTGTTATAGTTATTAAGCAAACACTGAAGGTAAAAATCGATATTTTTTACTTGTGTGAGAATGTGATCGATACTTGTTTCGAGAAGTATAAAATCACGATCCACTGATGCATCGTCCCGCTACTACATAGTAGTCTATAAAGACACCAATAGCAAACCAGATCTCAGGTAAGTGAGTGAGTGAGTTTGGTTTTACGCCGCTTTTAGCAATATTCCAGCAATATCACGGCGCGGGACACCAGAAATGGGCTTCACACATTGTACCCATGTCGGGAATCGAACCCAGGTCTTCGGCGTGACCAGCGAACGCTTTAACCACTAGGCTACCCGACCGCCCCCAGATCTCAGGTAAACATGATACATGCAAAGTTTGAAATTATACATGAAAGTCAAGGGGTTCTTGTCATAACCCACACGCTAAATAATGTACAGGTCCCTAGATTCAAATACCACAGAAGAAGACAACTGAAAGTTCCCAGGATCCCCCTTACCTTCAAAGTAGGATTAATATGAAACCTGCTTCAGTGGAAGTATCAGTACACAAAGATTGGTGTATTGCCTGAGGTGAGGTGAAATTGGGTTTAACATCGCGTCCAAGATTATTGCACTTACCGGTATATAGCGACGTGCATGCATGTGTGTTTGTGTGTGGCTGCTTGTACCAGTCCGGACTGATGCCGATTTATAGTGCTAGCCCACTGAGATACCATGCCACAGTTTAACATGAATACCCCACTCAGACACAGTATACTGACTCCGAGCCGACCAGTCCTTGTTTTAGCCCCTTAATACCGAGCGCCAGACAGGGTAACAACAAGTACCATCTTTTAACGTCTTTTGGTATGACGCGGCCGGCGATCGAACCCCGGACCTTCTGCTCTATCCCTAGGCCACGGAGGCAGTCGAGTATTGCCTGAGATCTTGCCATGCAAAATGTATCACAATAGGGACTGAAGATGCCACTAGTACCATCACGATACAATTCAAATATAGTCAACTCTATATATGGTTACAGTGAACTCAAAGGAACCATTAATTTAAGTTCTTTATAACCACTTGTTCATTATGAGCAAATATACAGCATATTACACAAATGGCCGGGACAAAAAAATAAGTTAGTTATATCCATTAGTTTGTTATATGCGTATTTGTAATAAACGTTTACTGTAGTAAGAAATGATGAAATCACTGATATACAACTCTAAAACCTCTTGCTTTTCAAATTCCACAACTTCTTTTGTGTTGGAGGACATTTCAAACTGAAACTTTGCCTAAACAGAAGACATCCACTATTACCATCATCTCCTCATGTTCCGCCATGAATATAGGTGGCGCTAGGCAACGTCTCCCATTATGGGAGGTAACTCCATCAGTTCCTGTTCTATTCATATTCTATATCATGATCTCACAAACTGATGATTCAAGTATCGTCTGTACCAAAGTGGCGATAAGATCGAGGTATTGGTGAATCGTTACAGTCGTACAGAGTATATGCTAGCTGAAAGGATACAATTGTCCGAGAACCAGTCAAATGGCCAATCACTGTTTGAAGTCGTTCTGCCATTTCAACAGTCCACACATCAGACTTTCAAAACACAACTTTCCTCTGCTATCTACGATCCACCTGCAATACACACATAAACATGCACTTGAATTTTACATATAAGACATCAAGTGACAACTTCAACACAACAAAGAACTGTATCTGTATGTTATAACTGAATAAATATAACCACGGACTTGTATAGGTCCGAGATATAACTTACCATTCAACAAAGGTAATACGAAGCAATGTTATTAACCAGTGACAGAAGCACTGTACGTGGCAAAACAGAGTATTTATCCAGTGACCTTGTACTTTGTACTGATTGGGGTCATGCTGTCTGACACAGATAAACTGAGGCCTGGTTTCACATATACCCACTCTCTGTTCCTATCCCTCCTTATACAAGTCCTAGATCACCTAACCCTCAACGTAACCAGAGTACCTTGGTACATCAGCTGGATGGGCTAAACATTTTTAAGAAAACACAATAAATGGATACAATAGTTTTTCTAAAATCATTTTAAAGTTCTCAGGACAATTTGTGACATTTTTTTTTCATGACCTCATATTTTGTTGTAAATAAAAGAATAATGACCACACATTTTTCCCTGATGTCTATCATGATCTTGTTTGTTTGTTTGTTTGTTTAACGCAGCACTCAGCAATATTCCATCTATATGACAACGGTTTGTAAATAATCGAGTCTAGACCAGACAATCCAGTGATTGACATCAGAAGTATCAATCAATTATGAATGGATGAGTTATTTTGAATTTGTATTTCATGGAAACCGTGAATGTAAAGATTTTATTGAATTTTATAAATCTGTTGATGATTTTGTGAACTCTATTTCATCTGAAGTGATTGATAGAACTGTTGATATAGAAAGTGAGCTAGATGAAGTTATCAGTATTAATGAGTTGTTATCAGCACTAGGCAGTATGAAGCCAGGTAAAGCACCAGGTCTCTCAGGTATATCAGTCGAGTTCTTTCAGAACGCTCCACCGGTTTGTCTGAACATGCTGTTGGATTTATTTAATCTAGTATTGTCTACTGGTATATTCCCCAATCAGTGGTCCTTTGGTATTATTCTTCCAATCTTTAAGAAAGGTAGTTCACGTGAACCCCAAAACTATAGGCCTATAACACTCCTTGACGTAGCTGGTAAGATTTTTGCAAAAATTCTCTGTAACAGGTTGAATAACTGGGCGTTTCAGGAAAGTTGTATCGTTGGAGAACAATCTGGCTTCAGAAAGGGCTTTCAGACCACGGATAACATCTTTGTTGTTGAGACATTGATCAGTAAATATCTTTCCTACAAAAAAGGTCGCCTATACTGTGCTTTCATCGATCTAAAAGGGGCATTTGATTCTGTGTATAGAAATGGTTTATTTTTCAAACTATGGAAGGGTGGTATCAAGGGACGAGTATTTAGAGTTCTTAAAAATATGTATAAATCTGTCAAATCTTGTGTTTCATTAGACTGTGGTCTTACAGATTTCTTTGATTGTATGTCAGGTGTTAGACAGGGATGTCAGCTGTCTCCATTTTTATTCTCATTTTTTATTAATGACATTGTCGAGGAGTTGGAGTGTGATGCTCATGGTGTTACCTTACATACTCTAGAACTGTTCATCTTGTTGTTCGCCGATGATATTATTTTAATGGACGTGTCAGTTGTTGGTCTTCAAAAGCGACTTGATAAACTATCTTTATATTGTGATAAATGGAAACTTACTATAATACTGATAAAAGTAAAGTTGTCATTTTTAGAAATGGCGGAAAACTTAGAAATCAGGAAAAATTTAGGATAGGAAATGATGATGTCACCACAGTATCGAATTATAAGTATCTCGGTGTCCAGTTATCCTCTTCTGGCTCGTGGAGTTTAACTCAGAAGACATTAGCCCAGCAAGCTTGGAAGATGATTCAAATCCTCCAGTCTAGACTAGTTAAATTCTCATATCTGCCACCAGATGTCTGTTTCAAAATTTTTGATGTAAAAGTGTTACCAATTTTGACATATGCATCGGAAGTTTGGAGATTCCATGCATCACCTGACATTGAAAATGTGCACATTAAATTCTGTAAATTGACTTTGGGTTTGAGTAGAAACACACCAAATAGCTTTGTAAAATCTGTCTTGATGAGAAACTCCGTCAAAGTGTCACATTATCTAAAAATTATAAAATTTTGGCTTCGACTATTGATACAAGATAATAATTTGATTTTGAAAAAAACATATAGTTTTCAATATAAAAGGGCAGAGAATGGCAACGCTTGCTGGGCACTCAAGGTTAAATCATTGCTGTTTTCTTACAGATTTGCAGAGGTATGGCTACAACAGGGTGTTGGTAGATCTGACTTATTCTTACATCAGTTTAGGCAAAGGAGCGTAGACATTGAAAATCAAGTGTTGCACAATAATTGTGAATCTTGCTCTAAGCTTGAATTGTTCTCTGCAGTAAGGGATAAATTTTCATATAATAACTGGATTCGATTAATTGATGTAACATTATTTCGAATTAATATCTTGAATTTTCTCGGATCCAATCATCGTCTTATGGTTGAAACAGGCAGTTATCATAATATACCAAGACATGAACGTTTCAGTCCCCTCTGTGTTGTAAGTGCTATCGAAGATGAGTTCCACTTTTGTATGGTGTGTCCGTTCTATCTTGATCTGCGGTCTAATCTCATACCCAATTATTATCACATGTTTCCAAGTCGTGAGAAAATGTTCTTATTATTCAGCTCGACTAATCAAAGTATTTGCAACAATTTAGCAAAGTATGTATTTCTTGCTGGTAAGAAACGTAATTCCATTTTCAAGGGAATACCTGTGTCATATAATTAACTCAAATATTAACAGTTTGAACACTGCATTGTAAATCTTATAATTCAGCGCTCTGTCATATTTGTATGCCATCATGCTCTGCACGTGTATAATGGGCCGGTGGCCTCATTACCTGAATAAAAGCATCTAATCTATGCAATTGGGATCGATGACATGCATCAACCAAGTCAGTGAGCCTGACCACCCGATCCCGTTAATTGCTTCTTACGACAAGCATGGATTGCTGAAGACCTATTCTCTATCAGATAATCACAGGTTCTATTATGATCTATGGAATCTAGTCACTTTCATGTAAAAAAACACTCAGAATTATTTTTTCTTCTTCTTGATGGTGATGCTAGATACTGATCAGATTGTGGTATAAATGGAAAGAAACAGTGAAACAATGACAGCATCAATTCCATCCAGCAACAGTTCAAATATGGAAGTTATCATTTCTTGACGTCAAAACATGAAACATCAACAACTGTTGCAATTTGGCCTTTTTTTTGCTTCTTGTTATTTGTGAAATATTCCGTGTATAAAGTTGACTTTACCAATAAATTTGATTTTTGTAACTATGGGCAAATATGCTCAATTCTGTTTGTGGACAAGTTTGAGTAGATTTCTGTTGTAACGCAACAAGGCGGAATCAAAACAGTAGAAATAGAACTTCCCTGTTGACTAACTGTACCAGTAATTGCCACGTGATCACGCGCAGTGAATAAATGAAATTTTGTATTATCTCTGATATCGCTCTTAATTATTTTATCGATCCAAATATAAGAAATGTTTTTTCCCAAACTGACGTAAACCAATATTCCAAAAATTCCATCCCCACATGCTTACACTATGTACCCTGCAACCTCGGGGTATCGCGGTACTTGTTATGTACGCTAAACGGAACAAAATGCACTCACTAAACGTTATGATTATTCATGTTCTCTGTATAAGATGCCATTTATCTAACTATGCATATACATGTTCATCATTTACATTAGTAGCGCTAAAGGTGCATCATCATATTGTTGGATTTATGTTCACGCGATGAAGTCACGTGACACCATCTGCGTGTCTTTTCTAAAAACATTTTTCATTTTCGGATGGGCTAAATATTTCTCTCTTCAAAGGAAAATGAAGGTAAGACCTCCGTCCGTATTACCCACTTACAGTCCACATGGTTTAGGTCTAGATCTTGTTGTCAATGCTGTGTGTGAAACTGAGACATTATCTGTTCATAGACAGCCAGATTACCATACACACTGATTAAGTCCAAAGTCTCCTGTCAAGGGGAAATTCCTGAACCATAGAATCAGACACTATAGTTTGCCTAGGTAAGAATGTTGCCTATCCGATGGCGCAACATTTCAAAAGCAGCCCCTACACTTCTACATCAGTGGAAGGAATATGTTGCCAGTAAGTAAGTTGACATAGACTGTACGAATACACTGGGAACAACATAAATACACACTGTCTTACCTACGCACAGCAAAGTTGACAAGTACTTTTCAAGGGACATAACTCTAAATCATTACTATAGCTAATGTTTTCTTTCGCCACCCACAGGATTCAGGTTCGATTCCTTTGCTCGTTTCTCACAACTACATTGTTCATTGATTCTGAAAATGTTGATTGTGAATTGTTTGCAGATTGACTTCTTTATAGTTCGTTGGAAGCTTGTGTCTAAACCAATGGATGGCAATTATTACTGAGGGTCTACCATTCACATTGAAGAAAAGTGTCTTTGATACGTCACTATAGCATATGTACCTTAGTGTGACCTCGTCTACATTTTTGCTAGAATTGGGGCGTTCGGACCAAATGTTTCATCCCGTTTAGGAGTTAATTAATTCACTGTGACTTACACCAACGCCACACAGACAACCTAACCCTCCGGTCCCTGTAATATGTGGAGGGTCGTACATACCAAAGAATTAGCAAAGCTGTAAATATAATTAAAATATACTTATCCACTGACTGATTTTGAGAGAAAAAGTCGCATTTTATAAACAGACAATCACCACTTTCATTTGAATAAATGCCACCATATCTGACAGTGTAGATCTAGTGTCTCTGTTTATAGCCATGATATATTGATCACCAAACGAAAGTAAACCCAACCTTTTGGGACTGACTGGTTAAACGTGATTACAATTACACACCAATTTGCACAATCGCGGACTTTCTCTTGTTTGTAAACTGACGTGCTTATTCTGAAATCATAGCAGTCAGGCCTAGTGGAAGCCTAAATTTGATTTAGAAAATGTTTTACAATGGCATTCTATACGAAGACCGGAAATCAACTGGTCTATTATTCACTGCACATAATATACTTTTCTTGATATTAAATCATCTTTTTTCTCTCTTAATCCCAATATTTAAAAACGTGGCCAAATGGATACCACGTTATGAAATGTTATGTTTTTTAAAACTATTTATCACAATAACTTTGATTTAGCTGGGTTTATGTTTATAGGAACCCGTGAAGATATGTGATAGAATATATATAGGTCTTCAGCAACCCATGCTTGTCGTAAAAGGCGACGATGCTTGTCGTAAGAGGCGACTAACGGGATCGGGTGGTCAGGCTCGCTGACTTGGTTGATGCATGTCATCGTATCCCTATTGCGTAGATGGATGCTCGTGGTGTAAAGCACTGTATTGTCTGGTCCAGACTAGATTATTTACAGGCCGCCGTCATGTAGTTGGAATATTGCTGAGTGCGGCGTTAAAAAACAATCAAAAACAACATCTTCATCACATTCGGCTAACCGTCAAGTTACGTCATTCATTTCAGAATTGACTTCTACATTAACCTTTTGCGTTTATGGCGGCATAAACGTAAAACCGGTGCGCACATTGTGAAATTCCGCACAGCTTGGTTAGCCAATCAAATGCCACGGAATCACCTTTTATCGGACCCCTTAACAACACGTGACCACATGCTCAATGACGTGATCAAGGTACACGCTCCAGAGCCCACATGAAGACTTCAAAGTGTGCGCCATCTGCCGCCGAAGTTACGTTACAAATTAAGCTCCACGAGGAAAGACATTCCATAAGTAACGAAAACATACCTCAAAACTTACTTTTTCACTAATGCACATATTAATGAAACTTGATCTGATGATAATTTTGCATGAGAACAATCGTATGCACCGATTGTGTATCGGCTGATGTTTGTAAACTTTCTGTCTGTAATGTCATGTGACTGACCATGTGGTGCATCTATTTTTAACTTGACTGTAATAGAGGGGTGCCAAGTCAATATCATAAGATGGCGCCTGATGGACTCGTCTCTCTCGGCAAGGCATTATCTAGGGCTGGGACGAGTCCAAATTTACTACCCGGGTACCCGCCCCCCTATTACCCTACTCTACCCTACTCAGGAGATGTCTCGAAATGTCCGATTGGAAACTATTTTAGCATAGTCCTGGCAAAACGTATTTAGATACATGTATTAAACAATCTGGTCATGCATACACTGACGTTGACATAAGACAAATCAGAAGGAATGGGTGCATAGTCAGAAAGAAAAGCGAACATTAATGACTTGTAGTGTAACCATAGAGTTCCAGATAATGTTAGTCATTAGACAATATATCACGTGATTAACCACGGGTCCGGGTAATCCTGTGGGTATCCGGGTCCTACTCAGTACCCACCCGACCCTGGTACCCGAGTTACACGTCCCAGCCCTGGCATTATCGCTTTAAAATTAACAAGACATGGTCATTTGACCATGTACTTGTTTACAGAAATAAATGTTCTCAAAGGTAAGTCTTAATTCTAGTGTATTGGGGTTGTTAGACCCGTAATGAAAAACCACAACACGAAGATACATCATGACGTCATCTGATTCCAGGGTGACGTCATAGCAATTCAAAGAGACGTCATGTGTGTGCTTGTGTCGTATTACTGCACTGATTAAATGTCAGTGATTTTGTATTGTTGTCTTCAGATGTGTGTTTTAATGATAAAGATGAAATAAGCAGTCTGTGAATTGTTGACATATTTATTCATAAGAATTGACTTCAATTTGTTTTTGCGTTTATGAACTTATAAATGCACCATGCCAACATCGTAAGATATTACCAACGGCACCAACAACAAAAATATAAATTGAAACACTGTATCCGGCAAATTATTATATAGAATAAACTACGTTTATAAGGAACACGCTTATAACGAACTGACGGATATAGCGAACTTACTCTTTTGTCCCGACTACTTGCTGTTGTTATGTTGTATATATGCTTATAACGAACTACGGTTATAACGAGCTAAAATTAGGGGTCCCTTTGAGTTCGTTATATCCGTAGTTTACTGTATGTGGATTGGTAACATGTCTGATTACAGCTTTTTTTATTAACATGTTATCCTGGCACGTATTATATATAATAAATACATAAGCTGGAATATGAAATAATGTCATTAGAGACACAAAGAAGGGTCGGCCGAGGCGGATTCTCGTGGAAGAAGCACAAGAAGGGGTTATTGTCTTGCCATTCTTTTTCGAAAGTCATCTTGTATGTTCCGGCGGTTGTGATCTTTGCCTCTCACAAGTCGAACCTTGAACCTCCAGAGATCCTGCATAGAAAATACGTTCAAGAATTAACGTTACCAGGCACTTACGCGATTACCCAGTGTGCCATATGGCCATTCTATTGCGATACATAATATAATGGATATTGCATACACTGGATAATCGAGGGCATGTAAAGAATAACACAACTCCCCTCGCTGTTCTCTCTTTGTTTGAAATGCTTTTCTTAAAAGTTGATGGAAGACCAAAAAATCAACAAATTCTGAATAACAACTTCTTTATTGTACTGTAATAGCCTCGTTTTGGTATAGATCCTTATACCGTTGTCAAGCAAGACTGAATAATGAACACGAACAACAGAATCCAAACCAGTGTCTCCAGAAAGCCTACCCACACCGATCAGTACATCTTCTTCAAATACAACCATCCCATTTCAACTAAGAGTTCACAGTCGACCCGTAAAGATCCGGGGTAGAACCGGTCTTCAGCAACCCATGCTTGTGGTGAAAGGCGACTATGCTTGTCGTAAGAGGCGACTAACGGGATCGGGTGGTCAGGCTCGCTGACTTGGTTGATGCATGTTATCGTATCCCAATTGCGTGGATCGATGCTCATGATGTCAATCGGAGGGTTTACTGGTCCAGACTCGATTATTTACAGACCGCCGTCATATAGCTGTAATATTGCTGAGTGCGGCGTTAAACGACAGACAAACAAAAGTCACCTCCACAGTCTCAAAACGAGGCACCAACCTTTCCTCTGCTGACCTCAAGCCTGAGAGCCAGCACCTCCGTTATGTCTTCACGCCTCTCAACAATTACCCGCCCTAACTCGTCGACAAAGTCACCTCCCCCATACTCCATCCCAGACCTAGACCTACGACTATGAACTGGAACCAGCGCCCTTTCGCATCACCCTCCCCTTCATAGGAACACCTTCCCACGCCATCAGCCGCTTCCTCAAACAGCAAGCCAACATTGACACCTACTTCACCAGCTCCACCCCCCTCAACACTTTACAAAGAGCCAACGGCAGAAAAAAACACCAATCTCAAGAGCCCAAAGGTGTAGTGTATGAAATTGACTGTACCTATGGACAATCCCATGTAGGTGAAACGTCCCACCCCATCAACACCAAAATGAATGAGCACAAAACTTCAACCATCAAATCAGACAGTAAATCAGCCATCTTGGACCATGTCAGCAACTTCCCCAATCACAAAATCAACTGGGAAACATCCAAATCCACTCCAAGAACCTCCGTGACTTCACTGAAAGATAACTTCCAGATTCGCCGCAACAAGCCTTCTATCAACAGAAACCAAGGCTGTTTCATCTCATAGGCCTACCATGAACTCATCAAGCACTAGTTTTTTCCAATCAACCCACCTTGTAATCTTCTCCGGTTTGATTGGCTTCCTCGTCGTGTGTTCTTCTGTTGTTATTAGGGGCGGTCGGGTAGTCTAGTGGTTAAAGCGTTCGCTCGTCACACCGAAGACCCGGGTTCGATTCCCGACATGGGTACAATGTGTGAAGCCCATTTCTGGTGTCCCCCGCCGTGATATTGCTGGAATATTGCTAAAAGCGGCGTATAACCATACTCACTCACTCACTCGCTGTTGTTATTAGTTAACGTACTCATGTAAATCCCTCTCATGTATTATACATGTCACCTACCTTATATTATTCTCAATAATTCAGCCTTGCTTGACAACGGTATATACAATATAACAAAGAAGTTGTTATCCGTATTCTTTTGTCTGCTTTGTCTCCTCCCTTCGCTTAGACCAATACAAATCTTTTATTTATTATTCAATCTAATTTGCCTTGTTCCAACAAATATACTTTTTTTCTGGTGACTTATCGCCAGTTAACAGGTTGTTGTATGGAGACTATTATACAAGCATGTGTGTCATACCAATTTTACGAAACAAGTGTCAAAATTCTTTTATTTCTCGTGCGAGCGTCATACATGAATATTTACACGAGTTTCGTACAGTCAGTACATGCGAGTTGAATAATAACTTCATTACCCAATATTTCATAATCCTTTTGATTAACCCTTCCTCATGCACTGATGACGACCACCGTCTAGAAAACCACAATTGTCGAACAGCTTCACTCCCACAGATAAACGTCGCCATAAGATTCGAATGACGTCAACGTAAGCGTCCAGATGATACACTGGAGCGCGTGAAGTGACATTTGTACTAGTGTACCTACGATGCTTGTTAACTCCGTTATTTCTAACCTTACCGTATTGATGGCTAGAAGGTGTGGGAAACCCTTTGAGTTACGTCACAACGGACTGACGTCGTGACTCACCACTGATCTATCCTTGGTAACATTGTTCTACATTATAACATCGCGAAAACTGTAATAAAAGTCTTGATCATGCCAATCTCATTAAAATCAGATCTTAGTTCTCTCTACCGCTAAACAAAGATCTGAAAACATCCCATTAGGGGTCACGTCAGAAGGACCTTTCATCCGACAAATCAGTGCGTCGCTTACCAGATTATGAAAGTGACAGTCGGAATGTTATTTCTTTGTCATGCAATCTGGAAAACTTTAACATGGTGTATTCCGAACGATAGTTACGGGTTTAACGACTGAATCCTTACAATCTAGACCATCTATTAGCCATTCCAGAATTTTTTTTGTTCAGGTTTAAAATTTGTAATCGAGAATTTGTCAAAATATGTTTCGAAGCGTAGTCGCCAATTTGAAATTTGTACCGTAAAGCACGAGAAAGCTGCCTTCTGATTGGTCATTCCATTGGTCGGTCAAAGTTCGCACAAGGTCGGCCTGACGTGACCCGTAATGGGATGTCCTCAGATCTTTGTTTAGCGGAAGCGAGAACAAATATCTGATTTTAATGAGATTGTGATCATGCATTCTATGATATCTTGTCATTAGTTACACATCCTCCTTCTAAATGCCACACAAACGTCCTGGCCATTGTCTAGACATCCCAGTCTGACCTGGTGTGAGATGAGGCCCCGATCTATCCCCGTCTTATTCAGGTATGCCTGGAGTGTCATCTTGGTCACGTGGTAGTTAGGATCGGTTGGGTCAATGTCAACGTAGGTCATGTCGCCCGTGACGAAGTGACAGGATATCGACTGTTGAAACAGATACAGATACCAGCGGTAAGTTCTTGCGGTCGGAGACATGAGTTTGCAGCCACTTTTGTTCTGACGCAGAAGTGAAGGTGGTGTTCGCATTCAACACATTGATCTTAAACTGTTCAAAATATATATACGAAACTTTGTACACAAAAAATCATACATGTGTTGAACTGGTACCTGTTGCTGTGCATGATTTAAAAAATATATATTTCTTTTGCGTTTCAAAGGCAACCAGATGGGCATCTTTGTAGATTAGGGTAGGGTTCGTTTGCGGGTAATAACCCATAAACCGCTCAATATTTCTTGTACGCACACATCACATTTTAAACACCGTGAAGACCAGATCCGGATTGGAATACGTCTTCAGAAACCAATGCAATAGGCGACTAACGCGACCGGGTCTCGCTGACTTGGTTGATGCATGTCATCGTATCCCAATTGTGTAGATCGATGCTCATGGTGTCAATCACTGGATCGTCTGGTCGAGACTCGATTATTTACAGACCCCCGTACTATAGCTGGAATATAACCATCCGTGACACACGTTCTACAAAGCGATCTTAGCGCTATACGGCTGTTGTTGTAAGCCAATATTAATATATGGGTGTCAGCGCTAAGGTCGCTTTGTGGAACGGCTCCCCGGTCGTAGTATTATAGGTCGGCTCTTACGAGCAGCATCGGGTACTGAGTACAAATAACCACCTGGGCCACACGTTCCACAAAGCAATCTGTTGTAAGCCTATGTTAAAGTATGGGCGTTAAGATCCGCTTAGCGCTAAGATGGCTTTGTGGAACGGGACCCTGGTTCTAGTATTAGTCGGCTCTTACGAACAGAATCGGATACTGGATACAAATAACCACCAGGGCCACACGTTCCACAAAGTGATCTTAGCGCTTCGACTGTTGTAAGCCTATGCTAAAATATGGGCGTAACGATCCTCTTAGCGCTAAGATGGCTTTATGGAACGGGACCCTAGTTCTAGCATTAGTCGGCTCTTACGAACAGCATAGGGTACTGAGTATTGTTTCTGCCGCTTACTCCACAGGGGTATTACATTATGTTGAATTTCAAAAGCAGTTTCTCGTGATCTGATCACACGACTCCTGGAATTTATACGTGTCCGACCTTTCTACAGTCTTCGGTGCTGTTGGTGCCGGAGCCGTGGATGAGCAGGGGATGGAAGAACACAGTATCCCCCGCCTCCATTTCGAGGTGGACCCGGGGGATGCTAGGGTCGTAGTTCTTAACACCAAAGTAGGCCACGTTCACACCTCCCTGCAGAGTGACAACGTCAACATTTATCTCTGTCACAGTATCAGATGACAAAACAAAAGGGAGAGGCAAATTATAGACTTCCGGGTCACTATAATGTTGACAATAAAAGTGAGTTTGTAAGTTGAGTTTTACGCAGCTTTTAGCAATATTCCAGCTTCTCTCCCGTTAATCGCATTGGCTTCCTTGTTATATTGTTATCTTTGAAAATTTATCCTACCTTGTAGGGCTGGGACGGGTTACTCGGGTACCAGGGTCGGGTGGGTACTGAGTAGGACCCGGGTACCCACAGGACTACCCGGACCCGTGGTTAGTCACGTGATATATTGTTTAATGACAAAAATGATCTGGAACTATATATGGTTACACTACAAGTCACTAATGTTCGCATTTCTTTCTGACTATGTACCCATTCCTTCTAATTTTTCATATAGTTGAACAAAGATATAACACAATTAGACTTCAGTGTATGAATGACCGGATTGTTTATTACGTGTATCTAAATTCGTTTTGCCAGGTTTACGCTAAAAATGTTCCCAATCGGACATTTTAAGACATCTCCTGAGACCTACAGTGGGTACCCAGGTAGGGTAGGGTAATAGGGGACTGGGAACCCGGGTAGTAAATTTGGACTCGTCCCAGCCCTACTGCCTTTTGTGAGCATATTATGTTGTATACATAGTATCTCAATGCACTTTATATATGGGGGCGGTCGGGTAGCCTAGTGGTTAAAGCGTTCGCTCGTCACGCCGAAGACCCGGATCGATTCCCGACATGGGTACAATGGATGTAGGGTGATTGTAAAGTTGATTGTAGCCGCCTAAGATCGATTGTAACTAAGATTGTTCTGTGCAAGTGGGCCCTGGTGTCCCCCGGCGTGATATTGCTGGAATATTGCTAAAAGCGGCGTAAAACCATACTCACTCACTCAATGCACTTTATCAGTATTCACCTCGTGAAGGGTCGGGAAACAGCCCTAACACGTCGATACAAACAATAAAGAAGTTTAGGTCAGGTCTTCATATTCTTCAAAGTTTTAAATGCCTTTCAAAACCAGGAATGGGCTTCACACATTGTACCCTTGTGGAGAGAAGAACCCAGGTCTTCGGCTTGACTAGCCACTAGTTTTAACCACTAGGGTACCCCATGGTTCCACGATCATCCACCAGGTGTTCGCGACGAGGTTGAGCATGTTAAGTACCCGCACACGACACCAGAATTAGCCATCCAATCAAATTACACTAAAGTGCGAGAGAAATTCAGTGAGGAGTTATTGACAATATGAATAACGTCACTTCCCAAACGAAGCTATTGTACCGAAGGGTCCATGGAATTTACCTTAATAAATGGAGTGAGTGAGTTTTATGCCGCCATATTCCAGCCATATAACGACGAGGGACAACAGAAATGGGTTTCACACATTATACTCATGTAGAGAATCGAACCCGGGCCTACGGCGTGACGAGCGACTGCTTTAACCACTAGGCTACCCCATGGCTCCTAATAAATGGATGTTTAGTACACAGGATAATGGAGGATAGGAGCCAAATTGACTGGTTTCTCCCTATACGGTCGCAATATAACAAACAATACAAGGGCCTTAAACTGTAGAGTCATATATGCAGATACCGGACAGGGTGAAAAAAAATGAATTAACCGTATCAATCTTGCTTATTAGTATTATATGACCCCTGTACTGATACTATTTCACCAGTACTCTGTTGATATTCAGGACCGCGTAAATTACCAACTAGACTTGATGACTGAGATTTTCTGAAATACTGTTATGTTGGAAATGCATAGCCGACGACACACCTTCCACTCGGGGTAGCCATGTTCCAGCAGCTCCCCCTTGTGGCTGCCGGGCAGAACTACAAGGCAGCCATTTTGTCTGTTCACTGGCTGCAAGGCTGTCCAGGAACACACGACCCGGTCAGCTGGTCGGACAGGAAAGTAGATCAAGTCTTGGTGCATTGGATGACGGGACGTACCCTTTCCTAAGAAAGGAAATATGTGAGTGAATAACAGTACAGTCAGCAATATTTCAGCTTCATCACGTGGCCTGTAAATAATCGAGTCTAGGCCAGGCAAACCAGGGGTTGATAGCATGCGCAATGATCCATGACGTTGGGGACGTTAACAGACTTTTAGTCACGGTTGCTCTGATAAGGTTATCCTTTATGTTTCTGTAAACAGCCGATTTATAGAGCTGGCTCACTGAGATACCATGCCGCAGTTTTAACATGAATACCCCACTCAGTCACAGTATACTGACTCCGAGCCGACCAGTCCTTGTTTTAGCCCCTTAATGCCGAGCGCCAGACAGGGTAACAACGTGTACAAGTACCATCTTTTAACGTCTTTTGGTATGACGCGGCCGGGGATCGAACCCCGGACCTTCCGCTCTCCGGGCGGACGCTCTACCACTAGACCACGGAGGCTTTCGGGATCACTATAGCCCTCACTAGTTGTGTTGAGGTGAGGTGAAATGGGGTTTAACGTCGCGTCAAAGGTTATTGCACTTACATAGCCACGTGCACCCACGTGTGTGGCTGCTTGTACTAGCCCGGACTCATGCCGATATATAGTGCTAGCCCACTGAGTACAAATGGCTGTACCTACCCGGGTCCGGCAGTTTGTTGATGAACATGGCGTGTACAGCTACGATGTCCGGGCCGGTGAAACACTCCGTGTAGTCCAACACCTGCAAAATACAAACACGATCCTGTGACCCCTGTCTTATGTCCAAACATAATTATGCTCAGAAGTTTGATGTTTAGCGTATCAGTATTCTAGCTATGTGACGGCAGGCTGTAAATAATCCTGTCTGGACCAGACAAACCAGTGTTTCATTTGTTGAGCAACGTCTCACGCCGTCGAGGAACGATCAACCAGGTCACCGAACCTGCCCACCCGACCCATCAAATCGTTTCTTCCAACTAGCATTGGTTATTTCGGACCTACTCTGGCCAGGGGTAAAATATTTTGAAACGTTAGTGGAACAAAGTATTCATTAATTTCGTTTTGAGTGAGTAAGTATAACTCCGATTTTAACATCACGTCGTTTAAGGGACCGGTTATTTATTAGAGGGTGGAGACTTTTTATGCACTAATGTACTGAAAATAATGACCCTCCCCTAATGATTTTCATAATTTTGGATGACCCTCCCCATGTCCTTGTACATTTTTGCATGACCCTCCCTGAAAAGACAAAAGGTAAAGGCACTTTATATTTTATTACCAAAAGATCCCTCCCTCCCCTCACTCCAACACACACACACACACACACACACACACCACACACACCACACACACACACACACACACACACTGATCTGATGATATGATTATAAAAGAAGCGTGTCACATAATCATCTTGTTTGCCACACTCTCAAACTCTCTGACCTTCGGAAGATGACAGTAGCTGAACAGCTCCCTGTCCTGGTGGAAGTCTTGAATCTTCGTTACGGTGCGCTCGCTTGGAATGAAGTCCGACTTGGCGACACTTACATCGTGAACGATGGATATGCCAGGCACCCTCACCTTACCGTTGCATATCTGCACAAACCTGCTCCTGTAACATACAGTCATTTGATGTTACAGGTTAATTTCTAGATACTTTGCGATGATAATTGCAAATGTTAGAATTACGACTGTCACACCCAATGACGCTGCCAGCATGTCGTCTGTCACGTTCGTTTCCGCAGCAGAACGCAAAATATCGTTCAAATCGACCACATATATCATCAGATACTGGTGATTTTTGCTTTTTATGCAGATTTTATTCGCATTGGAAGGAAACAAAAAGGACTTGACAGTTGGGATGTGATTTGTTTCCAGAGCTCGAAATCTGTTCACTATTCATGAAACTTTGAATACATACAAACCAAATGGTACCTTTTCACAGAGAGTATTTGAGGACTGTTGGAATCTCGTTCATCCAATAATGTATGTTACAAATATAATGACAAGGTTTAAACCTACTTATAGAGTGAGTGAGTAAATTAGGTTTAACTGCCTTTGGCAGTAGTCCAGTTACATCACGGAGTGTCCGCTTGATGTGGTAGGAAAGCCCGAAGAGATAGTCCCCATGACCAAAGGACGGAACCGAGACATATGTCATCAACTGATACTCTGGGCCAGACAAACCCGTGACTGAAAACATGAACCATGATCTGCGCCATCGTGAGAAGGAGGCACAACTTACAACGCTTGTCACTGGTTACCTGTATTTGTCTATGTGCTCCTGTGCCACCAGCTTCTTGATGACCAGGTACCCGTTCTCCTCGTAGAACTGTCTCTGTTTAAGCGTCAGTCGAGGGTTGTCCTGGGTATACCTGAACCTACCCCCCTCTCCACCATAAGCCTGGGTCTGGGACGCTGGTTCAAACTGCTACAAATGTTCAGGTATCCATGGTAACAGTGACCGTATTGCAGTTATTACGGCGTGCAGCTTAAGTCTATATATGGTAGGAAAGCCCGAAGTGATCATTGTCTTAGACTTTGATCTAAGGATATGGCTGACAAATAGAAAATGATCATCAGGGCGAATCTGCGATTCGAACCCACGATTATAGGATTCTGGAACGCCAAAGGGATGCAACTCTGCACAGCGAATAGAGACGACCCATGGCCATACATCATTTTGATGTTTAAAATGTATTGACTGAACGTTATTAAAATGCATTGACTGGACATTATTAAAATGCATTAACTGACTTCATTAAACATAATTATATGTGTAAGGATACGAGAGACTTTGTTGGTCTTGAGTGGATCATGTGGTTCATCAACGTCGTCAGACGGTCCGCCATGCTCTCCAGGTTTCAAACGTGTAGTGGATGTGAGGCGGACTGTAGCGATACTGCAGACAGTGAGAGAAATGAGTCCAGGAGTTGAGAGAAATACCTATGTGATCCTGACGAAAGGTTGAGCAAATGTCACCATGTATGTACATGACGATCGAGAGTCGCATATCTATACATTCATGTTGTGAGTGAGTGAGTGAGTGAGGTTTAACGCCGCTTTTAGCAATATTCCAGCAATATCACGGCGGGGGACGCCAGAAATGGGCTTCACACATTGTACCCATGTCGGTTATAGAACCCGGGTCTTCGGCGTGATGAGCGAACGCTTTAACCACTCGGCTACCCGACCGCCCCCACGGCGTGTCAGCTTGATGTGGAAGGAAAGTTTACGGTTTTGTTGACTCCCACGAGCACGGGTGCTGACAAACCTAGAACATTATCAGGGCAAACCCTGCACGCCTTAGGAACACGACTCCACACAGCGAATTGCGCGAACAGAACGTACACGTGATCATATAGGTTAGTGTATAGTACGTACATCAACGGAATGTTTAGTTCGCGGTTTGCGAACTAAACATCATGAGAACAATCAGGTTGCTTCTCGTAAGCCCCCGTACACCAGACTAACAATTACCCTGTCAAAAAAGGCATGGTATCTCAGTGTGCTATCACTATAAATCGGCATCAGTCCGGACTGGTACCAGCAGCCAAACACACACATACACGTGCATGCACGTCGCTATATAAGTGCAATAATCTCGGACGCGACGTTAAACCCCATTTCACCTCACCTCACCTCCAATTGGGAAAAAAAGTTCTGATAACGAAGGAAGATGACATCAAGTTCAAAACTGTATTGGAACTGCTCAGGTCATAGGTAGTTTTCCTCAGGGTCAATAAAGTACTGTACTTGGCTGACACCTTAATCAAACTATTAGAACAGAAGATAATCTTTTTTACCAATGGTGATGTTTTTGTTGTAACAGATAGGTTCTGTAATAAAGTCATCAAATGATTCAGGCTGTATTTTCTGTGAAAACGTACCAAGGCAATTACAGTGTCCAACCAAAACCGTTATTGATTTCTTTGAAAATTTTAGCTGGAAAAGCATTACCAAATACAGATATGATTTTGACAGAAATGGAAGTGAAAAACATTTTCCATTTAAGATTAAATTTAATTTGTGATGTCCAACAGTGTACTCATCCAAGACAGCTTCAGATCATTTACATTTACTTAAGTCTGTTGAAAAGGTAGTAACTTAAAACGTATGATTAAAACCAGTATTCCACTCAATTTGGAAACTGGGCAAACTCCTATGTGAACTATTCTTCCTAGCACATATCCATATTACTTGAGATTTGTCATAGTTAATTTTTATAATATCAGCGAATATGTTTAATGTGTCAACTTTAGCTTCAAAAGATTCGTGAGAGATGTCTCTAGTTTAACCTCTGTATCATCCACATATTGTGTTAACAGGCACTCTCCATCTCGTATTCGAAGTCCTTTGATGTTCAAATTCTTGAATGTCCAATGATATGCACTTTATTTAAACATATTTAGATTTCTAGGACAATACTGAATGATGTGGACTTTGTCCTAAACATGTTACAATATGTCTAGATTATGGGCACGTTGTATTTAGTGAGTGAGTGTGGTTTTACGCCGCTTTTAGCAATATTCCAGCAATATCACGGCAGAGGGCACCAGAAATGGGCTTCACACATTGTACCCATATCGGGAATCGAACCCGGGTGTTCGGCGTGACGAGCGAACGCTTTAACCACAAGGCTACCCGACCGCCCCCACGTTGTATTTAGGCTGTGAGACGTAGTGGTTTAGTGGCTCGGGATAATTTCTTCAGAGGTTCAGGACAATTTGTCAAATATGAAAGCAAATATCATCTGATGTTTACTGAGAAAACAACATGTGAAATGCTGGACTTCCTTATTGATAATAACATTTTGAGGAAAGGCATTTTGGCAAGAAGTAGGCATCACCATGGGCACCAATTGTGCTCCTCTTCTAGATAATCTGTTTCTTTATGCATATGAGTCGGATGTTCTGCTCGGATTGGCAAAGTCAAAACAAGGTAATTAGGCCAAGAAATTTAACTTAAGCGTCAGGCATATCCATGATCTGATATCGCTCAATAACCATCAAATGGCCAATTCTCGTCCACGCAATTGGGAACGATGACATGCATCAACCAAGTCAGCGAGCCTGACCACCCGATCCCGTTAGTCGCCTTTTACGACAAGCATAGTCGCCTTTTACGGCAAGCATTGGTTGCTGAAGACCTATTCTACCCCGGAATTTTCAGGGGTCTCAAATGTGAGTGAGTGAGTGAGGATTTTGACAAGAAATTCATAAGCAAAGTGAAGAAAAAAACATAGAAAAATTAGAAAGCGAGTCCAGCATTGTTGATGGTCTGTTGTTTGTTTGTTGTTTAACGCCGCACTTGTTGATTGACAACGAGCATCGATCCACGCAATTGGGATCGATGACATGCATCAACCAAATCAGCGAGTCTTAGGACAAGCATAGTCGCCTTTTACAGCAAGCATGGGTTACTGAAGACATATTCACCCCGGGTTTTCACGGGCCTGATGGTCTGTTGTAAAACCAGAAGCTACGGTACGAGAATATTATATATCTGGTAATAAATATTACGTTCCTTCATGAAGTATTGACAATAGGTAATAAATGTTGTTTTTTATTGAATTACTGGGGTACTGTTATAAACACTTTAACATTTTATCTTCATTATCAGTGGAACTTCAGTTGATATTTGTGAGAAACGTTCTTTTACTTTTTGGGGCACAACTTGAAATCAACTATGCCAAGAATGCAGTGAAGCTCGGTGAGTGCCCTGTTGACGCGAATGACCTTCGTTTGACCAGAGACCACAAAATTAGTTTATTTTATGGTCTGGTTTGACCACAGTTTCTTACTATTTGTTGCAACCCCTATCGGTTATCCGTCCTGCTGGCCAGTGAGCGATACTGTTGGATTGGTAAGCTACTGGTACATCTGGTTAGTTAGTTATCAGAAATAACGTGAACGCTGAGACTCCCTTACGCTTGTACGATATAATTGATACATTGATGAAAGTGGCGTTAACAAACACCTGCTCAACTGGGTCGTAACAACGTCGTTCTACAACTGGAATACCTTTGAAAGCCACGATAACCCAAACTCATCTGGCTTGCAACAACGCCGTGATATAACTAATATATTGTTGACAGCCGTGTTAATCCAAACCCACTCAGTCACCTGGATGAAACAACGACATGGTATAACTGATATACTCTTGAAAAACTTGTTAAACCAAACTCACTCACTCACCTGACTGCTACGGCAAGTCGTCGATGTCGTTGTCAACACTGCTCGTGTCTCGCGCAACAATGTGCTGGAGCGTATAACACGCCAGAATATATTAACATAAACCTTAAGCAGGTTGATATTTTTCCTATTTTGGAGATAATAATTTCAAAACATCTGCTACACTAATTTGTTAAGTTATTGAGCAGATATTAAAACAGTATGATTTATTGAAAGAAACACAATACTGTTTGGAGAATAAAACCGTTGTTGCTTTATACGAAATAATTTTGGTATTAACCGCTGCGTTAGCCGAGTGTAAACTTTCACAGTTGTATTACTAGCGAGCACAAATGGCATTATACTAACTCATTAGCTACTGGTTGGTGGGAACCAGTTAATTAAGGGTGGTTGGTTGGTTGGTTGGTTTGTTGTTTAACGCCGCGCTCAGCAATATTCCAGCTATATGACGGCGGTCTGTAAATAATCGAGTCTGTACCAGACGTCATATAGCTGGGATATTGCTTAGTGCGGCGTAAAACAACAAACACTGTTTTCTTGAGAGGCTGTAGACCAGTTTCCTTACGTTTGTTTGTTTGTTTAATGAAAAGCATAGTCACCGGCAAGCATGGGTTGATGAAGACCAATTCTAACCCTGATCTTCACGGGTTTCCCTATGTTATTGATTATGGCTCACACCACGTGTTGCACCACATATCGAGTGTACTGTAGTCATATAACGCCTAGCAAAACTACATATGTTGAGCAACCGGATTGTGCTCTTCAGGAAGAGGGACTGCGAATGTTCTGAACTCAGCTGAAGAACCTAATATAACCAGCATATAGCTGCTCCAACTTGGTGTTCAACATCCACGGGTTTAGATGCTTGATGTCTTGCCAAGAAACCTGTGGCGCTCTCGACAAAGGGGAGCAAATGTTTGTCTTCATTGGAAATTTTTAATCCATTGCTGCTCATCAAACTCATCAACCACCACGTTGTACCACCAAACCTTACTCCTCTCTTCCCGATACATGTGCCATTCTCGACTGAGACCAAAATCGTTTATAAGATATATGATACCGTTTACTTCCAAGAAGAGCTACAAATGTGTGAATGTTGTTGGTCAAATATGAAATGGTTAAACATGCACACATGATATGCCAATGCACATGAACGCGCTGCAATTATACTACTACTACTTACGTACATATTTAAATGTACACCTGTAGGTAGTATAATTACGTTCGTAGGTATCATTGCTCATACCAACAGGGTATACAGCATGTCCTCTTGTGACCAAATGGAAGACAACTGCCTTCTGATTTTCAAGATAATCAATATTAAAATAACCTGTTATTATCGTGATAATATAAAGATAGACAGCATTACCAGTTTATTCTGGTGTCATAATAAAATAATTAATGCTTATATTTGCAGGATACGTGGTGTCTTTGAACATTTACAATATTAACTTTAAGGTGTATCCAAACTGCGCCAAGACTGGGCCATTGGCACCAGAACATCAACCATTTCAGCAGGTAGACTACTCCACCTCCCGTTGTCTGTCTGTTGAAATTCTAACCAGGATCTTCACTGGGGACTGGGTGAGTGGGACATAATGATGGTTTTTGTCCCATAAATGTTGTGAAAAGCCCAGGGTCCCGTTCCTCAAAGCGATCTTAGCGCTACGACTGTACGTCTATGTTAAAGTACGGGAGTTACGATCCACTTAGCACTATGATCGCTTTGTGGAACGGGGCCCTGATGGCCACAAGTCGTGGACATTAAACATGACCCCGCGTGCAGGCAAAGCAAAAATCATAATCGAGGCAAATCTGAGATTCGAACCCAGGACCTGAGGACCCCTGCAGTCAAGATGTAGATCAAGCTGTATCTCTGACAAAACACAAACAGTATTACCTGTTACTACGTGCTAATACTACATTACCCTCTCACTGTGAACGGTCAACTACAAATAGTTTAAAATATTTCCCATGAAAAGTAAACACCCCCAAACCATTTGATCAACTGTAGATGTTTACAATCAATCCATAGATGTCAACTTCTGCTACGAGTGACTCGGTAGGTCGGTGGGAGGTTTGACAAAATGTTTAACTGTACCCTGCTCAGCATTAGGGGCATAAATGGACTGGTCAGTATACTGTGTTTTGAGTCGGGTATCCATGTTAAACTGTGGCATTGTATCTCACTGGGCTTGCACGTGAAGATTCCGGGGTAGAATAGGTCTTCAGCAACCCATGCTTGCCGTAAAAGGCAACTATGCTTGTCGTAAAAGGCGACTAACAGGATCGGGTGGTCAGGCTCGCTGACTTGGTTGATGCATGTCATCGTATCCCAATTGCGTGGTTCGATGCTCATGATATTAATCACGGGATTGTCTGGTCCAGACTCGATTATTTACAGACCGCCGTCATATAGCAGGAATATTGCTGAGTGCGGCGTAAAACAACAAACCAACCAACATCAGTAACACACACGTGCATGAACTTCCCTATATAAGTGCAATACTCTTCAAGGTGACACTAAACCCCATATCACCTCACCTCACATCACCTTTACATCTACCTGCAAAGACCTCTGTTCCTCCAGAGCACCTGTCACCTGAGCTCCGACCATGACACTTCATGATAACGGCAACAACTCACTGGGAGAACAAATCATTGTTTTATTCATTAGTATCAATATTTACATGAAAGGTATTTTACAGAATATTTGCTAACAATCTCAACACTCCTTGTTGACAGGTATCACGGTTAACAACGGAGGCAAGCAGAGCCTTCAGCAGAGCTCCAGCAGAACACTCCTACATAGAAAGTATAGATTGCACCACAGTATGGAAAACACAGATGAGGCATGGTGAGGCGGATGAACTGACCACTGAATTATCATAATCATAGTCATAATCAATAATTATTGGTAGTAGCCATCTCAAATCTGCAGAAATTCACAAAAGCAATAATTACTATATTCATTATAACTGTTTATAAAATAAATTTCTTACTAATTACTTTGTATGTTTGAATATAATTATTTCAATTCATTTGTTATAAATAAATTCACAATTCACTTTTCCATCAGAAATATTCTGAAAACTTCACACTTGCTCTATGATAACTTCTATATTAATGTCAGTAGGTATCAGCTATTCAGACATCATATTTCTATCCACTTTCATAGAGACATTTTGCACGGTTTCCACACCTTTGAGATAGTTGTTCATATCATAAATTGCCCAGGAGTGTACAAGGTAAAAACTATGTACATACGTACAAACAATGCACTTCATATCCATATATACATTGTTAATAGTTAGCAATAAGCAAAGATGTATAAACAGGTTGAACCCATCGACCAGCACTCACCTGAAATATACTGAACAAAACTTTGGGATCATGAATATTTTTAGGGTATTTTTTTTATAAAATTGAGTCTTCAGTCGTAATTACAAAAAAAGATCCCCCCAAATATTCATTATCCTTAACTCTTTTTGTTCAGTATAGTATGAAAGTCAAGGAATGAAAGAAAAATACCCATCCGGAAGTCGAAGCTAAGCTAAGCACATGATCAAACAAGTCGGAAACAGATAAGACAGCACTATTAGAAAATAACATGTTCCATCAAAATACGATTTGCAAAATATATTTGACAGTCAAAGTACAGCTGCGGTTGGTGCTGTTATCAGCAGGGTGGACGGTTGTCTGACAACGTGGTTGATGATTTCCAGAAATAAACATGACGTGTACATCTACCGATCTAGTTGCATAAAACCATCAAAATATAATCAGCCATAACACTCTTACCACCGTTTCAACCATTGAATTTTTACTCATAACTATTTAAGTTATTCTCCTGAATAATAGATAACATTTTGGTCATAGTTTCCGTAAAAGTTATCGGTACACACAGGGTTCTTGACAACTTTGAGGAGTTCCAAATTCTATTGTCAAAATTTGGACTAAGTCTTTAATTGTATAATTTTTAACACTGCAAACATGACCCTATAATCACCACAATGTTTTCTTGAATTGGACTTCTAGGGGTGATAAAGCTTGAAAAGTATTTGTTCGTCTTCGCAAATATGGATGCAATGACAGACAGAGACAGTTTCTTCTGTAGTATATATAGAATCTAAATGTAGAGCCACAAGGCAATGAAATAATGTTGCCATGCTGGTGAAGTGATTAGAGTTACCCGCCCTTACACTGTACTGAGGCAGGACAGATAAGGATGTAATTCTCCAGTGGTACATGATAAAAATGGAAATGACAATCATTTTAATTAAAATATGTTAAAGTTTATGGCAAAAATTGTCATCATCTTCAAACTAATATTCCCAATTCCTATTGCTACACGAAGACCTACCACCATCTTACCTTACACAAAGGGCAAGGATGTTTTGTGTAAATGCAGAAGACAGCAATATTGCAGCTACAGTATATCACAGCAGTCTGTAATGATGAAGTCAGACCAGACAAACCAGTGACTGACTGAATGAGCAGCATTGTCTTGGGGGACGATGACAGGAATCGGCCAAGTGACCGAGTCAGACCACCATGATATTCTGTCAAAGACATCTTCTCCATGACTGCAGTGTGTCTTACTGTTAATCATGTTTTTTTTCATTAAAGCAGAAACGGAAATTTGAACTATTTAGATAGAAGTATATATTGCAACATAATCATGTCAATGCCCTTACACAACACCTGTAGGTACCTACCCAGTATGCGTTTCATATATTAAATATTCCTCTCCAATGCTTCATTCATAAAATAAAATATACTCATAAACAACCTTGATAAAGCAGCAGGTTTGTGTAATGAGATCTGTAACACTGTCTTTGTTCATATATTGTGACCTATCTCAACTTGAAAGCTCTCTTGATCATAGTGTCAGAAAAGTTTATTTTATTTTTGTATTATTTGCCTTGAATTGTACGCATTCAGAACAACATCACCCATAACAATACCATTCCAGGACTACTGATATAAACATTGATTTAAACTCTCAGTATACAGTTCCTTTTCCAGTGACAAGTATAAAATATAAATCAATCAGATAAAGAATGTCAAAATTAGAAATTACTAGAAAAGGGTGTTATAACCCTACAAACACAGCCAAGCCAAGCCAAGCCAACCACATTTTTGTGATACATATGTACAGGACAATGCAGTGAACTCCAGACATATTGATGGAAATATAAATGGGAATGGCTAATAAGATAAACATGTGATTGACAATTGTCCTTGAAGAAAGTCACATCAATTTTCACATAATATTCTAACATTTCATGCAGTGACTTAATTTACTGATGTGAAGCAGTTCTACTATAAAAGTCAACATTTTCTTTTTTACCATCAGTATGCTATGAGTTAAGCACCACCAAAATCAATTTTCTTTTGTATGAATAGTATTTGTATTGCAACTCCTGGTGATCAGAAGTATGTTTGTTATTGTGATCACTCCACAATGTCTGGACGTAACTATCGCACAGAATGTTCACTGATATTTTTAAACTGATGAAATGGTTTGAACTCCTTATGATGTGTGATTGGTTAAAACAGAACTGAACATAAAAGAAATGGAATACCGAGTCTGAGCAAGCAATCAATAACAATCTGAATTCAACACAAGAGATCCTGAGAACTTCTACATGGCCAAGAATGAAAAGTCTTTTGTTTCTGGCTGAGGTAAGCAAAATCTAAGACATATTTTGACGTGCCATGAAAACATGTTTTGAGTTATGTGCCCTGGTTGTGTACAAATGATCAGTAGAGTTACCTGCCCTTGTTATGTAACATGCAGAGTTACCTGCCCTTGTTATGTAACATGCAGAGTTACCCACCCTTGCTGTGTACAAATGACAAAAGGGGCATTAATGACCCAGACAGAAACAAAAGACTTTTTCTCAGTAGAAACAGTATACCAGGAATGTTGGCAGGGCTAACAAAAACAAATACAACTTCTGGCACTTAAAGATGTCCGCTGGTATTTTTTCAAAGTATTTTCGTAGGTAGGTATTTTGTTAAGTTGAAAAAAGAAGGCAGTTAGCATGGATAGTGATCATTACCTTGCTTCAGACACATCAATGTCACAAATTACTATAAAAATCACTCACTGTGTGAACACATTTGAATAATAATAGAATTGAAAAAAAGGTATTTAACATTTTTAATATTCTAACCACATAACGAATGGTTCACATACAAAAAAACAATTAATAATGCTTGAGCAAATAGAAGAAAATGTGTTCATTTACATATTTCCATTAATCTTGTGTGAAGTGACATTCTATCAGTAAGTGAGGTGAAATTGGGTTTAACGTCGCGTCCAAGATTATTGCGCTTATATAGCGACGTCTATCAGTGAGTGAATGGGTGAGTTTAACATTGCTTTTAACTGTATTACAGTTGTATCACGACGTGTCAGCTTAATGAGGGAGGAAAGCTCGAAGTGATGCAGACAATTCCATCAATGAGATACAGAGCTATCAGACATCAAGGTTACAATATAGAGAGGTCTTGGTTCCAAAGAACATGGAATCACTTCTCCCACCAATTTTGTCAGCTGTCGGCAAAAACTGATCTGTTTAAAATCGGAATTAATATTGTTTTAAACCACCATATCATTAACTATTTGACCTTGTTCTATGATTTTCGGCAGCACCGATTGATATTGGCGATAGATTAAAAATTGTTGTTAAGTGACACGACAATTTGAGCTGTGTAGTCAACACAAAATCAAACCAGCAGACATCCTTAAAAAAATAAATGTTTGTCATGTGACAGTATACAGGGGGACTCTGGTGTAACGTGCTTCGATTAATCAGGGGTCATAACAAAAAGGTGTGCCTGATAACATTCATCACCACTTGTCATTTTTCATAACCAGCAGGAACTGACAACCAGGTTTGACAAAAATATAATTGGGTATATTCTGTCATGGTTAAAGTCACTGTGATCTGAACTGAATTTTTTAAGAAATGACTTTACTTACAATTTTTTATAGTTCTTAATGTGGAATAAAAAGTGGCACAATTCTGTAAATGTAGTCTTATACATAAAACACCTTTGCAGTTTTGAAATGTGAATGAGTTATGTAACCGGTTCCAGATATATATTACGTGACAGTGAACCATGTACATTCAGAATAAAGTTTCCCTGTACCGTATTGCCGATAATTATGAACTCAAAAGAAATACAGAGAACATAATGAAAGAAAATTCAGCAGTTGTACATTCCTTGAAGTGCTCCCAAGCAAGGGAGATGACTCTTCCTGTTTCAACAAAATGTGAACGGGACCATTTTTAAACAAATACATTCAAAGTTGAAAAACTCTCATTCAAGATAAATTCTCAGTGAAGATCAATAATGCTCTAATGGCAACAGAATACTTCGAATTCAATGAATCATCTATACAATAAGATTTTTAAATTATAACTAAAACCATATATATATATTGAATTATTCTACAAACCTACTTTTCACTTTTTTGTCTTCCTGATCGTGTTACCATCTGTCATTCACAAACCAACTCATCAGAAATAAACTCTGATAACAAAAATATAGATTCTTTTATCATAAAAACATATTTCAACATGAACACAACGCTCCTCATGAAAACAATAACAAAACTTAACCGTTCCTAATGTAAAGTGTTGGCTTCAAACATGAATACTGAAACTGAAAGCAACATTTTCCATACAAATTCATTCTTTTCACTTTCTAAAGGTGTCAACTTATTCAATTAATCAATTTATATTCTGAAATAACATCAGGCTAAAACAATTTTTTTGTTTTCTGGACAACCCAAGCCATAAATTTGAAAAATGAAAAAAAGAAGAGAAAAAGCTTGTCTAATTTAGGATTAATCTCGTTGTTTGATTTTCTGATATCATTTTGTGTTCATTTTTTCTTTGGAAAAAGTTTTAAATTTTCCCTCTTGCCTCACAAAAATCTTTAAAAATCAGAAAGAAAATTGGCCATATATTCATGGGAGCCATGCTCTACCGCGCTATAATCCAAGGGCTCAATAACGAGGGAACACTGTACGTAAAAACTTGTAATGTGTGTGAAAAGTCGTACGAAAATACGCTATTTGAAGGGGGCGTGGCTTAAATGCAAATGACCGATTGGGATTTTAAATTTTCCGGACCCCTGATAACATATCCTCCTTGAAGGAGTTTACAGAAATAACCATGGTAACCGTCACTTTTTCCTATTCACATAACAGCCCTAAAGAAAACATAAATACTAAAGATCTGTCCTGAGCATGGTGCAAAGCGATGACGAAATGATGATGCTGGTGACATGAGGTGTTAGTCTAACCATCTGCCGTATCAATCTTCTCCCGCTGGTGTGGGTTTTGTCATTCTCCGTGGACCACGGCCCCCAGGGCCCCTCGGCTTGGCAAACGCTTGGCGCACTGCATTCTTCTTGGGGTGGATCTCCTCTTGCAAGAATTCTGCAGTTAATTCTTTTGGGTCATCAATCTCGATCTGTGAATGACAAATTATCACAGATCATTCAAGTTAAAACATGTAACAGCAGTAGCAACTAACCTGAAAAAAGTGATGACTAAAAAGCAACGAATGTTACTTGCCCTCAGAACACTTATTTGTAAAACCAACTGCAATTAGTGGGCTTGATCAATTTCTATCCCCCAAAATCCTTACTCCTAATAGCTTATCTAAACAGTAATCAAAATACAATGGACAACATCTTAAGTAACGAAATAATCATTGTCAATGTAACATACCATGCTGGCTTGTGTTTTTGAGATCTGTATACGAAGTAAGAGAATTAGGACACATTTCTGTTTTACTTGCTTTATGGGTTTTTCACAGGAAAATACCTGTCGGAAGGTGGAAAAAAAGAAGCAATCTAACTATCTTTTAGTTTTCTGCTCTACTACAGGTCAGCTGGTATAAAAAAATAACAAGAGTCATCAGAGAATGACAAATCCCCCCCAGCCCCCACAAATTGGAAAGAACAAATCATCTGACTGTTAACTTTAAGTCCAACTTGATGAGAGAATTTTCTATCTAACCTGTTTGTCCGTATACAAGACTAGTTATTGAGCTATCAAAACAATACAATGCACGGACAGGTGGCAAATGAATTGACAGACAGATGAGGCATTGACTATATCCCCCTGCACAATACACCGGGGGGATAAGAATAGTTAAAGGTAGTAGGAGAGCCTGCAACTCAGCTTTTGCTTTAAGCAACGCAAACGTGATGAAACAAGCAGGAATTCTGTTGTGCATGTATGCAGCCTATCAATTTTCGGAGAAAGAACAAACTTTATTTTGACTCCCACGTTTAATCTATGTCAAGTTCATTGGGTCCTTGTTTATAATTTTTTTTGTGTTTGTGCAATAAGCTATCAGCGCAGCGAATTAAAAAAGAGAGCAAATTCTAACAAAAAAATATTCCATTTTAACCAAGTGGATCCGTGAAGCAAGTGAAAACACAGTGTGGCCTTATTATGATGGTATCTGAGTAGTTACATACAGATCCTGCACTACGGAACAGTAAATCAGTCAGTGACTTCAGACACTAGTCCACACGTGGTAACATGATAAACATCTCTTGTACTGTTACGCTGATCAACACACATGATTTGCAAGCAATGATGGTGGCAGTGAAAAAATAATTCATGATTTTCATCTATAGTGAAACCACACTCTGACTTAGACATTAAAGCACTGCCACAGACTTATCACGTGACAGGACTTTCTCTTGTTTGTAAACAGACCCAATTATTCTGAAATCAGAATGCAATCCTTTCGATGTGCTTTACATATTGTTTTGCATACTACAACTTAGACAGTGAGGTGCACGACAGTACATATCTTACATCAAAGTGTCCATATTTCTAGCTCTGTCAGGCTTTGATAACATCATGTGGTGCCGTAAATCCAATGTAAACAAATTATAACTACACAAATGGAAATAGTTTTTCACGTTTTAGGATAGAGAGTTAACCATTCTATGACATATGATATCTAGATGTGTAGACTCATCAGATGAAAGGATATGCAATATCTTGAATGGACTGTGTAAGATGAGACAAATTGTCACATGGCGCTGGCCTGTGGCAGAGGTACTAGGCTGGGCTTATGAAGTTCTGGGTAGGAGAGGGGTGAAGCCTACCTTTTTCACAATGGCGATGCCGATGGACTTCTCCAGAGTGTCTGTGAGGGGGGACTTGCAGCTGGAGTAGAGCATCCTCTCCTTGATGGAACACTTGTACCCCGGCATGGAGTAGATGAACACTGGAATACAGGTGTGAGAGAGTGAGTGAGTGAGTGATGGTGAGTGAGTGAGTGAGTGAGTGAGTGATGGTGGCTGGATGAGTGAGTGATGGCGTATGAGTGAGTGAGTGATGGTGGGTGTATGAGTGAGTGAGTGAGTGATGGTGAATGAGTGAGTGAGTGAGTGATGGTGAATGAGTGAGTGATGGCGTATGAGTGAGTGAGTGAGTGAGTGATGGTGGGTGGGTGAGTGAGTGAGGGATGGCGTATGAGTGAGTGAGTGAGTGAGTGATGGTGGGTGTGTGAGTGAGTGAGTGATGTTGAGTGAGTGAGTGATGGTGAGTGAGTGACAGAGTGATGGTGAGTGAGTGAGTGAGTGAGTGATGGTGAGTGAGTGAGTGATTGTGGGTGTATGAGTAAGGGTGTATGAGTGAGTAAGGGTGTATGAGTGAGTGATGTTGAGTGAGAGAGTGATGGTGAGTGACTGATAGTGAGTGAGTGAGTGAGTGAGTGAGTGAGTGATGGTGAGTGAGTGACAGAGTGGTGGTGAGTGAGTGATATTGGGTGTATGAGTGAGTGAGGGTGTGTGAGTGAGTGAGTGAGTGAGAGTGTGTGCTTCATGCAAGATACACAGTGACGACCATGCACGGTTGTATTTGTTCGAACTAATGCCGGTTTTATCATGGCGCAGTTGAACATGGGTATCCCACTCAGACACAGTATACTGACTGTGAACTGACCAGTCCTTGCACTATCCCCATAATGACGAGTGCCAGCAGGGAACAACAAGTACATCTCCTAATTATTTTGGGAAATGACACTGTCGGAGATCGACTGACCTCCCTCTCTCCACACAGAAGCATGAACTTCTGGAGGCCTGACGCGGAATCCCCAAAGGGAGACAAGCATGAGGTTAATGCCCCTGCAAGTTTTCCATCCGACAAAACAAACTTACCTGATTTCTCAATGTTTTATATAGTATCCCAACTAAGCAAAAACTCCAAGATTCCGGGTTAGAACTGGTCCCTAGCAACCTATGCCTGTCGTATGAGGTGACTTAGTGGATTGGGTGGTCAGACTGCAGGACATCCTGTGATGTCTGCATGTATGAGTGTTTCATTGTTATATGTTCAGGATTTTCTTCTCACATCTAGCAAAAGGATGTTTGTTCAATGTGTTTGATGCAATCTTTTTTTTTTACATGTGGCGATACTGATATAATGCACATATTTCTTGTTCTGGTAGATAGTTTCCCTTTGGCGAGATGTGAAATCGTACAGTGACAGTTCACTGGCGATAATATTACATCTTCTACAAAGTGGTATTATCACTGTGATTAACACAAAACAGTTACATGATGGGGTTTACAAACCTGTGTTCTCCATATAGTCTCCTTCGTGCGAGTGTTTGAAGTTGACAAGATGGTAGCGGGCATGGTCAGTGGGGACTTTGGATGTGAGCCTGGACAGGTTCAAGTCTTCTTCTACACACTCAACATCCACCACTTCTGCCTTGAGATCTAAACTCTGTCAACACAGGAAGAAATGCATCAGTGACAAGCCAAAACATCACAGGCATCTTCAGATATCACAGACATGTTCAGACATCAGAGATGAGTTCAGATATCACAGACATGTTCAGACATCAGAGACATGTTCAGATATAACAGATGTGTTCAGATATCACAGACATGTTCAGACATATTCAGACACAAGAAATGCATCGAGACAGGAATATGTGTTCAGACATGTTCAGTTATCAGAGACATGTTCAGACATAAGAGAATTGTTCAGGCATCAGAGATAACGAAAACATGAGACATGGCAATAACCTACACCATGTTAAAAACAGACAACGTGCAAAACTGCAGAACTTTCTTCTTACATCACCAAATTTCTCTGAAATGAATTTTAAAGAGATGGAGACAATATGAACTTACAAGTTGAACATACGAGTACATGCCCTCCTTGTAGCCCTCGAGCTTGTCCCGGGCCCCCTGTGTGAGGGGGAACATCACCCCCTGGACCGTCTGGTGCTTCGTGTCCACGCCGATCTCTGCATGTACCTGCAACAGAGCATGATGGTCAGCTTCCTCTCAACTTGGAAATGCAGGAATCGTGTCTACCAACTCTGAACATTATTCAGATATATGATGGCATGCCAGCTTCATGTGAGGGAGGTTGAAAGGGTGCAGACGGTGGAAGTGTACCACTTGGTGAAACCTACCAGTCCAGGTTTGGTACTGACAAACCAAGGAGGCCAATTTGGGTTAGAACCCACGACCAGCATAGCCTGGCGAAGCTAAGGGATACAACTCTGCGCAGCAAATGCCGCACCTTAGAGCAATGGGCTACCAACTCCCCTTCCATATTTGACATAATAAAGTACAAAGAAAAACACAAAACTGCATGTATAAATCAACAGTAACCATGCTCATAAAAACCCAAAGATACACATTCTTTCATAGCTTTTTCATTACCACTGAAAATATATAAAATAGTGTGCTTGTGTGTAATTTGCAACACAACTACTTCAATACTTATAACATTATATAATCTGATCATTTTACATCAACACGATAAAACAAAAAATAAATTATTTTACAGGTCATAAAACTAATTAATTTAAGATTAGGAAAACCATGATAAATGGGGCAAACCAAACCAACAGAGCAGACATTGAAATGAAAACTCTAATGAAAGTCTGGATGAACTACTTGGCACCACATCAGCAGAAACTACAGCAGCACCAGGGATGACACAACAACCGTGACATGTATCACAAACATGCTGCCAGCTGGGCTCACATGCTTATCACAACATCCACGCTTTCAACACCAACAACTACTGACAACACCAGCAACAATGGCCTTCTCATCTCAGGGGCCTATGGGGTGCCTAGTGATGGAAGCGTGCGGAGGGCATACACTTTAACTTTGTCTGAGTGAGTGAGTTTAAACATGGGCCCAAAATTGAATTCTGGGTAAACAGTGGTTATCTAGATCTACTCTCTACACAGATGCTGATATTCAGCCCCAAGTCAACAGTAAATGATAGCAAAAATTCCCAGTTTGGATAAAAAAAAAATTCCCAAGGCTTCAGAATTTAATACAAAGAAAGAAGAAAATTCAATAAAAATTTTTTTAAACAAAATCACAATTTGTTTCCAAATTTTCCTGCCAATGGTGCTTAGTTTGGAATCCTAGAGTGGGTGAGTTAAAATTTAACGTTGCATCAGCATTATTTCAGCCATATAGCGACGGAATCCTAGGTCCCTATTATATCACCACCAGCATGTCAGGTTTATGTGTAGGAACACCCCAGTGACACACCTACATGTTTACCACTTTGGAGAAACCCACCAGCATGGTTAATGTGCTGACCGACCAAGGTTCACACTCGGGCCAGATCTGGCATTCAAACCCATGATCAGCAGATCTCCATACAGCTAAGGGAAGCAACTCTGTACAGTAAATAGTGGCACCTGGGCCTTCATATGTAGACTTGGCAGATATCAAGATAACCAAGCACTGATGACCAAAATTTTTCAAAGACATAATAAATACTACTAAGATGAGAAAGTCCTTTTATCTTCCTAATGTTAACTAAATTCAGTAATGAAAATCATGTTTTTCTTCTTTTTTTCTCTGACCATACCATTCTGACTGATAATTCTTTTCAGAAATCATATTTAGAAAATGATTATAGCATTCAGTATTTCTCAAACACTGGTAGAGATGTCTCTACTTATAACCCACATAATATCTTGCACTTTAATTAAATATCTTAAACTGATTAAGATATGATTAAAGGATTGAACGTAACATATTCATAAAGAGATCCTAAAAGCACAGACCCGTGAAGATTTGGGGTAGAATAGGTCTTCAGGAACCCATGCTTGCCGTAAAAGATGACTATGCTTGTTGTAAGAGGCGACTAACGGGATCGGGTGGCCAGGCTTGCTGACTTGGTTGATACATGTCATCGATCCAAATTGCGTGGATCGATGCTCATGATATCAATCACTGGATTGTCTGGTCCAGACTCGATTATTTACAGACTGCCGTCATATAGCTGTAATATTGCTGAGTGCGGCGTTAAACAACCAACCAACCAACCTACCTAAAAGCACATATTATCATGCACATATTTTCGCACACACAATCTACAAGCAACCTCATTTCTTTCACTGCCATTTTACTTTCACATTCAATTAGAACACAAATTGAATTGAACCGAATATGAACTGTACTGATGATATTTAATTGAATAGGGAGAAGGCAGCAATAAGTGTTCCATCCATTGTCTTATTGGACAATAAAATATATTTAAAGTAAAATTTATTAAATTGATGAATAAAGCGTATGACAAAAAGTACAGTTCTGTTCAAACTTGGCAAAAGAAACTGCAATTGATATTAATGTGAGTGAGTGGGTACGATTTTATGCCACTTTTAGCAGTATTCCAACAATATCGTGTCAGAGGACACCAGCAACGGGCTTCGTACATTGATATTTATGTGAAACATGATCATGACAATATCAGACCTAGTTTATTTCAGAGTAGCTTAACATCATAAGTTTGTGACCCGAGTGTTGTTAGTTACTAACTGGGCATCCATACACAAATCAGTCCACATCTAAATACAGGATTACCTCGGCCATCTCGCGCCTAGCCTGATCCTGGCAACAGTATAGACATACATAATACAGGGGGACATAGGGCGTACATGCTGGGGAATGTCTTAACTGGAAAACTGGGGAAAATAAAGATTTTATAACTCACATAAAAACTAACATAAAACTGAACATAAGAAGTAACATTTAAATGATTATTGAGTAAAGTAAAACATGCAAATAAAAATAATTATTTATACCCTTAAGTTATTGTATTCAAAAGAAGAGTTATTTAAAGAGTACACTGTATATGAGGAAAGCACATAAACGTTTAATATCTTGACATCAGATCATAAGTGACGCATTCTTCTAAGATGAAAATTTTGGTCTGTCTTCACGATCTTAGTTCTCAAACAGCTGTACAAAACTAAATATTCTACTCCACTTTCATTAAAGATATTTCAATCTTTCCATGATTGACAAAACAAGGTCTTACAACATGTCACATGTATATTTAAATAGACGGACATGGCTGATCATCACAGCAAAAGTTGAATAGCATATGTTCGGATGAAGACACCTAGTTTTCTATCAGGTCATTACTCTAGATCTCTTTGTTTTTCTTACAGAGGTTAATGTAACTATACAGGATGCTCTACAGGACAATGTTGATGCAATCTTGCCATCTTGTCAACAGCCCACAGTCACCATGGTCACATAGACACACCTTGGGCATCAAATTACTTGTTTTGTTTAGTTTGTTTGTTTGTTTGTTTAACGCAGCACTCAGCAATATTCGAGCTATATGACGGCGGTCTGTAAATAATCGAGTCTGGACCAGACAATCCAGTGATTGACTTCATGAGCATCGATTCTCGCAATTGGGATACGATGACATGCATCAACCAAGTCAGCAAGCCTGACCACCCGATCCCGTTGCGACAAGCATTGTCGCCTTATACGGCAAGCATGGATTGTTTTGTTTAGTATTTAACATGGACCTGATATGCATAAGACTGCAAGTGAACAAAAGCCCATTCCTCCAATTAATGATGATTACATATTGAAACTGTTTATCAATGGCTTATCAATATGTCAAAGATGTAAGGCAGAAATCACACATAACATGTTATGTTCAAACAAGATCAAATGTAAAAATTCAGCGTAAGCTAATCTAAAATTCTTAATCAAATGAAAATATATTAAAGCAGGAAATTCTACCAGCTCGTATAGGTGCCTATCTCAGATGCTCAAGCTTGTGTGTAGTCCATTCTTGTTCTAAATTTGCACTACCATCAACAGCTGCTTGCATGCAATTGGCTCTCAAGATTGATATGAACTAGAAATGTTGAACACCGCCGATGAGAGAGTTGTGGAGATTCTGTCACAGTCTGATGGCAGGATTTGTCTCACCTCATTCTTCTTGATCATGTCCAGCTCCTCCTCGGCGTACGTGAGCGGCGCTGGTGCCTGCTGGGACTGCCGGTGTTTCCTGTAGCCCGCCAGTGTCACGTCCTCCTGCAAATAGACCCTTCACTTGAACACAGTTCACAGGTTTACCTGATGCCATTTTGAATCTCAAACCATAAAGCAGATTATTCAACATGTTGAAAGATATTGTCCTATTTGTCTATGTTAAGAATACTGTTTATAATGGTAAGATGTATTATAAGATGTATGATAATAACTTAAGAAGGACAGAAATGCCACTGTTTTACCTTTGCAGTTCCAAAAACTTCATCCTTGATGTAATTGCCGCCAAACTCCTTCCTCAAAGTGGCCCTGGTTCCAGCGTACAACATCTTCTGTCGGACCTAAAACAGAACATCAGTATCATAGGGGAATAACAGTACAACTTGTCATGATATCATGCATACCTTGACAGTTAGGTGATGATCTTGGTATGGATATGAAACATACCTTGAGAGTAAGGTCGGGATATATGAAACATACCTTGACAGTAAGGCCATGATATGAAACATACCTTGACAGTAAGGCCATGATATGAAACATATCTTGACAGTAAGGCCATGATATGAAACATATCTTGACAGTAAGGCCATGATTTGAAACATATCTTGACAGTAAGGCCATGATTTGAAACAAACCTTGACAGTAAGGTCATGGTATGGGGCATATCTTGATAGTAAGATGATGGTCATGCAATGATACATTAAATTCTATGGTCACAAGTCTGTTTGGTTGTTAGTTTGTTGTTTAATGCCGCACTCAGCAATATTACAGCTATATGATTGCTGTCTGTAAATAATCGAGTCTGGACCAGACAATCCAGAGATTGATATCATGAGCATCGATCCACGCAATTGGGATCGATGACATGCATCAACGAACTGCGATCCCGTTAGTCGCCTCTTACGACAAACATAGTAGCCTTTTACAGCAAGTATGAGTTGCTGAAAACCTATTCTACCCCGGATCTTCACAGGTGCTATCGTCACAAGAACATGCCAATTCAAAAAGCTTGTTCGACAACACAACCCGCTGAAGGTCCAAATCTAAGCCAACAATACAAATTTGGCTAAGAACTCTTGTAACGTGAACATATATCATCATCAAACAGAACTGCCAAATTATACATAATGCATATATGTGTTGTTTTGAATCTTGTATTGTGACAGAAAGTACTGAGATGCATCTGTCTTCAGGTAAACAGTTCAAGCCCTACTGATGAGTACAATACAATATAGACAAGGATAGGGAAACAATACACTCTAAATGAAGGTTGATGGCTACAGTCCCACTTTAAACAATGGGGTTTACCTGTGCCCATTTCATCCCATTACTCAAGCCCATTAACATTTAGTGTAAGTTCCACCTTGTATTCTTGTAGTCAAGCAGTAAAGGCAGGGCTGCTCACAAAACTCCAAACATCTCAGTTTTCACAATAAGTTAAGTGGTATAAGGGTAATGTTACTTTTCAGAGCATTATCATTTGCAGAAGCCTGAGGTCTGTCATTAACTGCCTAAAGGAGGAGGCATTTGAACAATCCGAGGACTTCTACAAATGATAATGCCCTTAAAAATAATGTTAACATTATTATAGCTAAAATGGGTATAATTTGTAGCTAATCCCAAAATGAACAAATCAAACAGCAGCATAAATTTAGTGGCTGTATTCAAACCCGAACAACAGATGTCACTGATTTACAAATAGAAACGTCACAGAACAATATAGGATGACGTCACAGACAAGAAACGTGACGCAAATCACATAACAATAGATTGGGGAGCCGGGAAATGTGGGCTGCTATCAAGTGACAGCTGCCCGCAGATTTCTGATAACATGCAGGCATTTTTATGATAATTCTATACATTTGAACTGTAATTAAGATTAATGTTAAAGTAATCAAATGCATCTCACTGGTGAAAAATCAGGGGACCAACTGATGAAAATCCACTGAAATGCCATTCCTGTGCCTCCTTTTTCATCTGTGCGGAAGAAGATATAGCATGGCTGCTTTTCCTCCAACAGCGGCAATATCAGCTGGTCATAATGTACTCCGGTCAAGGAAGTGGACATTCAAGAGTGAGTAAGTGACTGTAATATTGCTCAATGGCGAGGTGAGGCGATCGTGGTGAGGTGAGGTGAGGTGAAATGGAGTTTAACGTCGCGTCCAAGATTATTGCACTTATATAGCGACGTGCATGTACGTGTGTGTGTTTGTGTGGCTGCTTGTACTAGTCCGGGCTGATGCCGATTTATAGTGCTAGCCCACTGAGAAACCATGCCGCAGTTTAACATGAATACCCCACTAAGACACAGTATACTGACTCCGAGCCGACCAGTCCTTGTTTTAGTCCCTTAATGCCGAGCGCCAGACAGGGTAACAACAAGTACCATCTTTTAACATCTTTTGGTATGACGCGGTCGGGGATCGAACCCCGGACCTTCCGCTCTCCGGGCGGACGCTCTACCACTAGACCACGGAGGCGGTCCTGATCGTGGTGATATGGGGTTTAACATTTAAGATTATTGCACTTATCATACCTTTGCACGGCTTGCTAAGTATTCCTTACGGGTACCCACCTCATGTGAGTTTCGAAATTAATGAGCTACATGCTTTCAATGCATGTAAATTCTGATTTGACATGCCGTTTCACACAAAATATTTGCTAACACCAAAGAGTTTGTGTTTTATTTAGTCATGGTAGAATGGTGATAAACATACTGTGTTTTCAGTAGCTCTACAAAGTATGTTTATGTCTAAATAACCCACATGCCAATTTTCAGATGGTTTTGGTTACTATGTTATTTAGGCGTAGGAGCCTGTAAATGTTTCTACAAAGGATATCATCCTCCCAAGTGTTGACAGGTTTTTCATTGTGAGAAAGTACAAGTTGTTCTGAAAGAAAAAAAGAATATGAGAGAGAATGTAGAGAGAATAATGTTTATTATAGTGTCACATGTTATAAACACTTCATACTAAAACACGTACACAAACAATAAAATATAACATCTGACCAGGTATGGCCTACGAGACACTAAATATAAAATCATATGTATAACTTCATGATCAGAATAAGATAAATTAAGACATATACCTACACAATGTTAATGTTAAGTTAGAAAATTCACTGAACACACATACAGACAGGCACATACACAGACACATGCAGACACACACACGCCAAATTACTTACAGAGACATGCACACACGCACGCAATCATACACAATCACGTAGACACATACACAGGCACACTTATGAACATGCATACTGTCACAATACACCCCCCCCCCCCCACACACACACACACACACACACTCGCAAACGAACACACAATTGCATTCATCCAACAAACACATTACATTACCCCTAATATGTCGTGAATGTTATTTTTTAACATTCTTGAAATCTAACAGATCTGAACAAATTTTTTAATTAACATGATTAAGGGCTGCCAATAATAGTTCAGTGTCTGACATCCATCTTTTAGCAAACAAAAAGGTTTATATCAATTTTGTAAGTAGTTGTCAGACATTCAATTTGGTTTGAATAATTACATAGCAATTCTCGGATGAATAATAATAATAATAAAGTAATTACTGATTGACACACCCGTCTCTCTGTGAAAGTCAAGTTGACGGAATCTATTGGCAATTGAGCTATTTCTTTTTTTGGTCTTATGATATTGATTAATTTTTCACATTCTATTTACTGTCAACGATTAATGTCCTTGTACGATGACTGTATACAATGTGTATCTGTTTCCTTTACCTATTAACAGAACAATAGGGTCAGGGGTACAGCAAACTATATCATGTTTCTTATTTCTCAAGACCCACCTGTCGCTAAAATTGCCCTCACCCTAAATATTCACAAAAACATTTAACCACTCTTTTCAAAATAATTCATTTTAACTCAAAATTTGATTTTGCTCCAGATTCTGACTTTTGGCACATCCATGCCATTCATATTTTATCCCATTCACAGCTCATCTTCCCGAGGCAAGAGAGTTAACTGACTATTAAAGTCCAGTTTCCACCCTTGCCGAACTAGGCTGGTATTATAGAGTTACATTTTGGCTGGACAAACGAGTCTATGCAAAATCGCACAACGAAATCGAAATCCGGTTCGTAAACTGTCGTGCAGATTTCGGTCGATTGCAGGATTTGCAAAGCATGTGCACCGCCAACTCGTTGTCAGCAGATATTTTCCAAATCTTATCATGTTTTTAATTAAGGTGCTCACGTGATTTGATGCATTTCGCGATGTAAGACCCGTTTTATCACAATATAGATCTTGATTATCGATCAGATCGTCCTGACTGGGCGCCACCATTTAGTGTGAAGCAAATGCAAGTGATACGAGAGTAGAATCTGATTGGTCCAGAGGAGAGGCTTAGAAGGGACATAACTGGTAATAGCCACTGGTGGTGCTGCGATCGAGCCCAGTAATTCCAGCCTAGTTCGGCAAGGGTGGAAACTGGACTTTTAATGTCAGTTAACTCTCTTGCCTCGGGAAGATGTTCACAGCTGTGGTAGCCAGTCTCTTCCTACTCTGAGCCATAAGGAGAATATTCAAAAGAGGTGATGTGGTACATTAGAATTCAGTTTACTTTGTTTAGATTTGTACCTGCTAAAGGAATACAAAAATCTCCCCTACCTAGTCACTGTTTGGTATGGAGCTCTGGCCAGTTGGTAGATTTGAAAGTTTGAATATAGAACTCAAACTCACTTCGTCTGCTGTTCAAATTTTATTATGTAATGTTATTATCTAGCAACTACCCGAAATAACCCTTCTGACACAAGCATTTCAATTTCACACATTGCACTACCGGGTAATTACAAATAACCAGAAACCGGAAATGGATACTAGAGTATGGAGCATAGTCCTCCTCAAGAACACTGGTTAAAACAATATATATCTGTTACATCATCATGATCATGGCATGCAAGTTTACTAATAGATGAAAGCCTATAGTGACCAAGGTCATGGATATTTTGAACTTGTTGATGCCCACAAGCACAGGTATGGCACTGACATATCAAGAAAGATAATCAGGGTGATTTGGGATTCAAACCTATGAACATTAGATCCTGGCTCAGCAAAGGGACACAACTCAGCACAGCTTAATTTTATAAGAATATTTTGAGTTATGGTTACATGTGAGTTTTGCACCCTAAGTTTTAACACTGAAAAAGGAACAATGTTGATAGACAATATGAATGTACTTTGGCTAAAACTGCAACATTTTACAGTACAATTAGACTGCTAGATGCTAATTTTCTCTACATCTTTCATTTTGTGACATTAAGGGCCTAATCTGTAAACTGTTACAAGCTCACTTACCATTTTCAATAGAGATCTTTACCAAACGAATACTTCCATCCTTACAAATGGCAAAGAAGTCTGCCAAATTTTTGGAAGCTGTAAAATAAAGTAGATATAAAATAGTAAAATCTGGAATCAGTTGAAAGTTAATTCTATTTCTAAACCAACTTTTGAAAATGTCTGAATATATAAAATAAATGGAATGTCCTTGGGACTAAAACATCATCAAGCACATTACAAAATATTTCAGTCCATTCAAACGATTCAGATTATCAACTGAAGCCAAGAATAATCTTTAAAATAACACCTTAATATACACACGTAGGCTTTCTATTTACATGTTGATCTGTAGATGATCTCTGACATTAAAGGTTGTCAGGTGAAATAAACACTACGGTGTTAGTTTCATTATCAGGAAGGTTGAATAAGAAAACTACGTTCAATCATTTATTTACGATTCGAGACCTTATGCTACGAGGACTTACCTGATATTCCCGTTTGATGTGACATTTTTGCACAAGATTGATACCGGCCCAGTAGGAAGTGGAAGTGTCCGATTGAGGAAGCACACTCCCTCTTAATCACGTGACAGAAATGTCTAGGTGCCAGTAAAGAATATTTTCATTGGTGGTTGAACTTCCTTATTTGTCCAATCATCACACCGATACGAAAGGTGAAATGGCAGTCACATGATACAGTATTTTCATACATAATATTACCGCAGATTGGCTGTTTGGAATATATTGTCCAATGGAATCGTCTGTTACATTTTGCAAAGGCATGACCACCAAAATGGCGGATAACGTTGTTTTATCGCACATGTGAAAAGTTTCAGCATCGATTTTGCAAGTTCTTCTTTTTGTCAGCTGATTGTAACCATCCACAATGAACATTGCCCATAAGATAAACGAGAAAACCCGAACGGGAGATGTATTGATTTCCGAGGAGGTGGATTTTTCTTCGCTCCTGCTATCAAAGCCTGTGATTCAAGGCCTCCAGAACTCTGGGTTTGAACGGCCGTCACCAATACAACTAAAAGCTATCCCGCTAGGCCGGTGTGGACTAGGTGAATAAATCTGTTGGGGCTTTTAGTAACCGTGTGCTTATATGGAACCTTGCGATGGAGTGTACCGCCAGATGAGCATTAACTTGACATGAATGCACTTTGCATGTTTGTTAGTTCACCTGTGGAGTAAATGTTAATTAAGATGGTTTCGTTGCAATTAGACATCATCAAATAATCATGCACGTTTGAGAATGTTTATAACAACATTAAGACAACAAAGCCTGAGCTCTATCATCCACTCAATTACCGCGCTACTTAGTGCCACCTATTCACGATCCAACACCCGTTTTGGGTCTTAGGGAAACTTACATGTCTTTACGATCCAACACCCATTTTCGGTCTTAGGGAAACTTACTCGTCCTTACGATCCAACACTTGTTTTCGGTCTTAGGGATACTGACACATCTTTACAATCCAACACCACTTTTCGGTCTTAGGGAAACTTATACGTCTATGATCCAACACCCCTTTTCGGTCCTTAGGGTTAGCTTGCTTTGGGTAAGGGTCAGCAATACATTCATACCTTTTCAAGCGTTAATCTGGTTAATCCGATTGGTCGGTCATGTTGACTTAAACAATGGCGGGTGTGGTTTCAAGAAAAGATGAATGGGAGAGTGGACCGTGACATCACACACATGTGCAATTCATTGTTTACTGAAATACGCATGCTTGTTAGTGGGGTGCAAATGACCCGTTAAACGAGATCTGATTACATGTTATAGCGCTCGTGGTCCAGTGCTAGAGAGTCAGCTAATTAACGCATTAGTTAAGTTAAATGCACTACTCCTGACATTAAAATAGATACATTGATTAAAATCATTTCTCACCTTGTCTCCGGGTAAATTAATAGCAGAATACAAAAACATTTGGGCATATCTGGTGTAGCTCAGACTTTAGAGTTCAATATATTAGAGCCAACTGGTCATGGTAAAGTGATTATTGAAGCTGAACTTTCTTAGACATTGATGTGTAAATATGTGAAATTTTGGATGTTGTGTGCTAAACATGTCTTTGCTCTTTTTACAGATTTGATAGTTCAAGCAAAGTCAGGAACTGGAAAAACATGTGTCTTTTCTGTCATAGCTCTCGAGGCAATACAAGTGCAAAGCTCTGCTATTCAAGTGAGTGACTCATTGGTCATTGCCACACTTTGTTTTTCGAACTATGCATTGTGTGGTCATCTCGGGTACATCTATAATATATATTTCCTATACAGCTCTGGGATGTTTTGAGACATTGATCAGCATGTCAGTTGTTTTAAGGGTTTAACACCATCCTCAAGGTCATCATGGCAAGAAATATTTACTGAACATGCTGTAGCTCAATGAAAGTGGGGTTTTTTTCATCTTTGTTGCAGGTCACAATCAGAAAAGGTTGTAAGTGACCTATGTATAACATATATAAAGTCATGGTCACAGTGATAGTCATTCTTAAAGCATTTTTGTCATTTTCATTTCAGTGTTGATTTTTGTTGTTTTTTCAAAGAAGAGATTTTATATTTGTCTCTCCGGTCTTCAGCATGTTCAGATATTTTTCAGATAAAAATCTGTAAGACAAGTATATGTATTTAATTGGTCAGCCCTTTTATCATTGTCAAATTATGTATAAAACCTGATTTGGCTTTGATTATAATGATTACCTGTGCTAATGCCATTTTGTTATGTTGACAGGTATTGGTCCTCGCTCCAACAAGAGAGATTGCTATACAGATCTGGGATGTGATAAAAAATATTGGCAGTGCCATGTCAGCACTGCGATGTCACACTTTCATTGGTGGTCTTCCACTTAGCGAAGATAAACAAAACTTGAAGAAATGTCAAATTGCTGTAGGAACACCTGGTCAGTTTAACAATGTCAAAATACATATCTTTAGAAATTTTTGTGTTTGTAGATGTAGAAGTTAACCTTTGAATAAATTATGTACTGTGGTACTAATGATGATGTATCCAAATTGGTGTAATTTCTGGGACTGGTAATTCTAGAGAATAGCCATTAAGTATTTTAAAGTATTTTTATGTTTTTGAGCTTATTCAGTCTTCAAGAGTTGTCGGTTAGTCATTTGAAGCAAAAGTGAGTGCTTCAGTTGCTCGTATTTAGATATTAAAATGAATGATATGTTACCTGATTCTTGTTTTGATGACAGTGATAGTTGTCTGTGTATCTCATAACATACAGCATTCCAAGTCTGTTTTCCAGGTCGCATTAAGCAGCTGATCGAGACAAACTTGATGAATACTGAGAACGTTCGACTATTTGTGCTAGACGAGGCAGATAAACTTCTAGAAGATAGTTTCCAGGAACAAATCAAGTAATATACATCATTTATTTCCCTGGATCAGAAATTGATTGTACTTTATTTTGTTTCTGTCTCTCATTTGTCAGTAATGATTTACGTGACAGTCATGTCATTGTTATTTTATAACTTATCAGTCAGTCATTTCATCAGCGGTCTCATTGGAGAAATAATTAAAATGAAGCCTTTTTGTTCATGTGGTTCAGATTACCATGATAACTGCATACCCAATAGAAACTCTTCAACAAAGTTGCAGGGGTTTTGTGTTGCATGTCTACCTTCCTGTCCTATTTTGAAATTATTTGTAATTGGAACCACAAATTATTCTTATTACGCCTGATTGATCATATTAATCGATGCTGTTGAACATGTTGAACGATGAATGTTTGGTATTCATGGGACAGACAACATGGTAAACACGGTAAAGTGTCACTTTTCAACAGGACTGCCTCCGTGGTCTAGTGGTAGAGCGTCCGCCCGGAGAGCAGAAGGTCCGGGGTTTGATCCCTGGCCGCGTCATACCAAAAGACTTTAAAAGATGGTATTTGTTACCCTGTCTGGCGCTCGGCATTAAGGGGCTAAAACAAGGACTGGTCGGCTCGGAGTCAGTATACTGTGTCTGAGTGGGGTATTCATGTTAAACTGCGGCATGGTATCTCAGTGAGCTAGCACTATAAATCGGCATCACTCCGGACTAGTACAAGCAGCCACACACATACACACACACACACACATGTACATGCACATCGCTATATAAGTGCAATAATCTTGGACGCGACGTTAAACCCCATTTCACCTCACCTCACCTTTTCAACAGTGCCCCAAATTCCATATTTTACCACGAGGCAAGGGAGTTATTTGACTATAAAAGTCCACTTTCCACCCTTGCCGAACTCGTCTGGAATTATGGAGTTATATTTTGGCTGGACTAATGAGGCTGTGCATAGTCAAATCAAAATCGCATCACATCCGGTTTCGTAAACAGCCGTGCAGATTTCGGCCGATTGCCGGATTTGCAAAGCATGTGTACTGCCAACTCAGTATCAACAGATATTTTCCAAATCTTTCATGTTTTTACTCAAGGTGCTCACCTGATGTGATGCACTTCACGAAGTAAGACCCCTTTTATGACAATATAGATTTAGATTATCGGTCAAATTGTCACCACCATTTTGTCTGAAGCAAATGTAAGTGATATAAGAGGTGGAATCTGATTGGTCAGTAGGGGAGACATGAAAGGGACATAACTCATAATAGCCACTGGGGGCTGTATCGAGCCCAGAAATTCCAGCCTTGTTCCAGGGTGGGAACTGGACATTTACAGTCAGTTACCTCCCTTGCCTCAGGATGATGGTATTTTAATACCTGTCACTGTCTGAAAGTCTTGCTTTGTTTTCTTGGTTTGATGGTTTTTGCTCCATATTTCAGCTGGATCTATTCAGCACTACCTGACAACAAACAGATGTTGGCCTTGTCAGCCACTTACCCAGAATCCCTTGCCCAGCATCTGACACGCTACATGCGGAATCCAACGTTCATGAGACTCAACATCTCAGATCCTGCGCTTCTGGGTGAGCGTCCCTATTGTTATGTTTAGGCAATCTAAGTTAGATAGCACAGATCATGCAGATTAGAAAAGACTTTTAAAAACAAGCTTGGTTTGGGGATTCTTCCCACCCCTAAAGTGAGTGAGTGAATAAGGTTTTACGCCGCTTTTAGCAATATTCCAGCAATATCACAGGGGGGGGGACACCAGAAATGGGCTTCACACATTGTACCCATGTCGAACACTTTAACCACTAGGCCACCCGACTGCCCCTCCCCCCCCAAAAAAGGGGAAGAAGCTTAACAAACACTACACACATGGCAACATTAGGATAGCTTTTTGAAGGACAAAAAATAATGATATGAAATGTATTTCCATCATATGCTGCAGAACTTTAGTGTCACGTTAAATGCTATAAGCATCACATTTTCAAATTAGAAAAAATACATGAACATGATGTAAGGCCGCATTTTTTAATGTTTTGGTTTCAAGTGTTATTAAGGAAAATGCTGATAGTTGGATTAAAAAAAATAAGAATTATGTCACAGTAGGTATAATTTCAATCACTGATTATTGGTTAAAAATGCTCTTCTTTTTTATGTATATTGGATATGTGTGTTGCCATGACAATGTGACCCTAGTGATCCATGTTTGTTGTAGGTATCCGTCAGTACTACAAGAGCGTGGCGTTCAGTCCCATGGCCAACCTGGCATTTGAGGCCAAGACGAAGGCTGTCATCGAGATTCTGTCAGGCGTCAGCTTCCAGCAGTGTCTCATCTTCTCCAATCTACAGACCAGGTATCACCAGAGCAGCTGAAATATCTGTACTCATGTCATAGCTGTTGTACTATAGTAGAGCTATTTGGAGCTGAAGTATTGCGTCACATTATCCCTGAGCTCTTGCAATAATAATAATAATAATAACAACAACAACAAAAATAATAATAATGTGGCATCATCGTCATGCCTATGTCCTAGAACATTCTGGCTATTGTCTATTTAATTGTTAGCCCGGTCAATGGATCGGTGTAAGCTCAAATTACATTCAACAACAACAAATAACAACAACAATAATAACAACAACAATAACAACAACAATAATAATAATGTGGCATCATCGTCATGCCCATGTCCTAGAACATTCTGGCTATTGTCTATGTAATTGTTAGCCCGGTCAATGGATCAGTGTAAGCTCAAATTACATTCAACAACAACAAATAACAACAACAACAATAACAACAACAACAACAATAATAATGTGGCATCATCATCATGCCCATGTCCTAGAACATTCTGGCCATTGTCTATGTAATTGTTAGCCCGGTCAACGGATCAGTGTAAGCTCAAATTACATTCAACAACAACAACAACAATAATAATAATAATGTGGCATCATCGTCATGCCCATGTCCTCGAACATTCTGGCTATTGTCTATGTAATTGTTAGCCCGGTCAACGGATCAGTGTAAGCTCAAATTACATTCAACAACAACAACAACAACAACAATAATAATAATGTGGCGTTATCGTCATGCCCATGTCCTAGAACATTCTGGCTATTGTCTATGTAATTGTTAGCCCTGTCAATGGATCAGTGTAAGCTCAAATTACATTCTCAGCACCATGGGAAGTGTACAACCTAAGCTGGCTTTTAGGCACGACAAGGATTTGCCTCTACATTACCATCTCATCCAACATGTCCAACCAGGCACCTAACAAAGTCACACACATTTATGTTAATTTTTTAAAATGTTGGGATGCAAGCCCCTCATTAAAGAGATACCGATTAACTTGTCATTATTGAATAAAGCCATATTTCAAATAACCCTAATTGACGATTTTGACATGCAGAGCTCAGAACCTGTCTGATGAACTGCAGAGGCAGGGGTGGCCGACAGCCTGTATAGCCGGCAGCCATGAGCAGAAGGACAGACTCGAGGCCATGGCCAAACTGAAGACTTACAAGTGCCGTGTTCTCATCTCCACAGATCTGGTGAGTGTTATAATATATCCCGAAGACTACACATCTTTTGATGAGGATACTGAGATCTGGATATCGTAATAAGGGGGTGGTCGGGTAGCCTAGTGGTTAAAGCGTTCGCTCGTCACGCCAAAGACCTGGGTTCGATGGGTACATGGGTACTATGTGTGAAGCCCATTTCTGGTGTCCCCAGCCGTGATATTGCTGGAATATTGCTAAAAGCGGCGTAAAACCATACTCACTCACTCTAAGGTAATGACGTACAAAGTATTTTATGAACATGCAGAAATAATCCGAATCTCCACACAAAAGTTCAGTTTTATGATAATTAGACCAATGTGTTAAAAGGAGATCTGTGAGTACAAACAGAATTTTGAGACAATCCAGGTATGACGAGTCTCTCATAAACCTGAAGAATTTGTCATGATTATTTGTTAAGACTGCGCTTACCGTATTCGACGTAATAAGCGCCCACGGCGATGTTTGCTAATATATTGGCGAGTGAACAATCCCAGTTAGCACCCCTTCCGATTGATCAATGTTCACAAGACTTTTTTATTCGTGTATAATACGCCCTCGTGTGTTGTATGCCCCCTTAATTATGAGAAATTAATTTCTGGAAAATATATCTGTCGTGTATGATACGCACCTACTTTTGTTTTTTATCATTTCAGGCTGTCAGCATAATCTACGAAATTTACGATCTTTCAACCCTGTTTTTCTTTTTTCTCACCAAAATTATTTTCTAATAAGAGCCCCCTATTTCTTATTTTGAGAGCGCCCCCGGCGCTTATAACCTCGAATACAGTAATGTCATTTAATGTTGATATCATCAATAATTTCACTGTGCTCTTGTTTGATTCATGGAGATTTGTAGTTGTCTGGTCACTTTGTAAGTCATGTGCATAGAAAGTTTTGGAATGTTCATCTTTGGACCTGACAACTGATTTATTATTTTCCATCTACAGACAGCCCGAGGTATTGATGCAGATAAGGTCAACCTAGTCATCAACCTTGACGTCCCACGGGACCATGAAACCTACCTTCATCGCATCGGGAGAGCAGGGAGATTTGGTCAGTTTCAAGTTACCTCACATATGAGTTCTTAGAAAGACATTAAAACTTATCACTTACATCTTTCTGGATTAGAAAACTAACAACACCCGATATGCCATCAACACCGGTTTCTTTCACCTGTTCCAAAAAACTTAGGCTTACACAGTTGTCTCCCTTTGATCTTCCTTGGTTACTCATCTCCGTAATCTCAGGTTGGTTGGTTTGTTTGTTGTTTAACGCCGCACTCAGCAATATTCCAGCTATATGACGGCGGTCTGTAAATAATCGAGTCTGGACCAGACAATCCAGTGATTAATATCATGAGCATCGATCCACGCAATTGGGATCGATGACATGCATCAACCAAGTCAGCAAGTCTGACCACCCAATCCTGTTAGTCGCCTTTTATGACAAGCATAGTCGCCTTTTACGGCAAGCATGGGTTGCTGAAGACCTATTCTACCCTGGAATCTTCACGGGTCTGTCATCTCAGGCAGTGGTGGGAGAAATTCTTGTTTGACTGTTTTGATTCACATGACTATCACATGACACAGAACAAAACCATGGTGGGAACCAGACCATGTTCTGGGGACTTTAAAAAGCCTCGAATCAACATGTAAATAAAATGAAAACATGTTTTCTTAAAGCTGTGGTATGTTTTGGTTCGCAGAGTATGAAATGTAATACACAATACCCAAATTACCCAGGTCCTAAACCATCCCTTATTTTGTATAATAGATTGAGAAAAAAGTGATCCCAATACATAAAAAGTGAGTGGAAGTTGTTTTACACCGCAATTTGCAATATGCAAGCCATATCTGAATCAAGGCTAGGCCAACCAGTGGTTGAAAACATGAGCAACGATCCATGCCATTGGAGGTGAGGTGAGGTGAAATGGGGTTTAACGTCGCATCCAAGATTATTGCACTTATATAGCGACGTGCATGTACGTGTGCCATGCCATTGGAGTACAATAACACACAATCAGTCAGATCACACATTGTGAGCATCCAACCTTGTGACCACCTCTGGGGTATTGTGGTAGAGCGTCCACCCAGAGAATGGAAGGTCCAGGGTTCGATCCCCAGTCATGTCATACCGAAAGATGTCAAAAGATGGTACTTGTTGTTACAGACCCGTGAAGATACGGGGTAGAATAGGTCTTCAGCAACCCATGCTTGCCGTAAAAGGCGACTATGCTTGTCGTAAAAGGCGACTATGCTTGTCGTAAAAGACAACTAACGGGATCGGGTGGTCAGGCTCGCTGACTTTGTTGATGCATGTCATCGATCCCAATTGCGTGGACCAATGCTCATGATATTGATCACTGGATTGTCTGGTCCAGACTCGGTTATTTACAGACCGCCGTCATATAGCTGGAATATTGCTGAGTGAGGTGTAAAACAACCAACCAACCAACCAACTTGTTGTTACACTGCCTGGCGCTCGGCATAAAGGGGCTAAAATAAGGACTGGTTGGCTCAAAGTCATTGTACTGTGTGTCAGTAGGGTATTCATTGTATCTCACTGGGCTAGAACTATAAAATTGACATCAGCCTGAACTAGTACAAGCAGCCACGCATGCACGCACGCACGCACGCACGCACGCACGCACGTCACTGTATAAGTGCACGTCACTGTATAAGTGCACGTCACTGTATAAGTGCACGTCACTGTATAAGTGCATGTCACTGTATAAGTGCATGTCACTGTATAAGTGCAATAATCTTGGACCTGACCCCATTTCCCCTCACCTGAAAAATCCTCTTCTAAGGGTTGTCTTAAAATTACTGACGGTGGCGTAAAACAACATTCACTGACCTTATTTGCTGCGCGTGTTGCAGGATCGTACGGTGCTGCTGTGACAGTGATCAGTGAAGGACAGGAGCAGCTGGGTCTGTCTGCGGTGGAGAGGAAGTGCAACACCAACATCAACAGCCTGCCAGGTGAGACAATCTATACTCAGGTACTCAGCGTCCTACAAGGTGAGACTGTCAACTCACAGGTCCTGCCGGGTGAGACAATCTATACTCAGGTACTCAGTGTCCTACAAGGTGAGACTCTCAACTCACAGGTCCTGCCAGGTGAAACAATCTATACTCAGGTACTCAGTGTCATGAGGTGAGACTGTCAACTCACAGGTCTTCCTGGGTGAGACATTCAACTCACAGGTCTTGCTGGGTGAGACTGTCAAGTCACAGGTCTTGCTGGGTGAGACAGTCAGCTCATAGGTCCTGCCAGGTGAGACATTCAACTCACAGGTCTTGCTGGGTGAGACATTCAACTCACAGGTCTTGCTGGGTGAGACTGTCAACTCACAGGTCTTGCTGGGTGAGACTGTCAACTCACAGGTCTTGCTGGATGAGACAGTCAGCTCACAGTTTCTGCCAGGTGAGACAGTCAACTCACAGGTCTTGCTGGGTGAGACAGTCAGCTCAAAGGTCCTGCCAGGTGAGACATTCAACTCACAGGTCTTGCTGGGTGAGACTGTCAACTCACAGGTCTTGCTGGGTGAGACAGTCAACTCATAGGTCCTACAAGGTGAGACAGTCAACTCTCAGGTCTTGCTGGGTGAGACTGTCAACTCACAGGTCTTGCTGGGTGAGACAGTCAACTCACAGGTCCTACAAGGTGAGACAGTCAACTCACAGGTTCTGCCAGGTGAGACAGTCAACTCACAGGTCTTGCTGGGTGAGACTGTCAACTCACAGGTCCTACAAGGTGAGACAGTCAACTCACAGGTCTTGCTAGGTGAGACAGTCAACTCACAGGTTCTGCCAGGTGAGACAGTCAACTCATAGGTCTTGCCAGGTGAGACAGTCAACTCATAGGTCTTGCTAGGGGAGACAGTCAACTCACAGGTCCTACAAGGTGAGACAGTCAACTCACAGGTTCTGCCAGGTGAGACAGTCAACTCATAGGTCTTGCCAGGTGAGACAGTCAACTCACAGGTCTTGCTAGGTGAGACAGTCAACTCACAGGTCCTACAAGGTGACACAGTCAACTCACAGGTTCTGCCAGGTGAGACAGTCAACTCACAGGTCTTGCTGGGTGAGACAGTCAACTTACAGGTCCTACAAGGTGAGACAGTCAACTCACAGGTCTTGCTGGGTGAGACAGTCAACTCATAGGTCTTGCTGGGTGAGACAGTCAACTCACAGGTCCTACAATGTGAGACAGTCAACTCACAGGTCTTGCCAGGTGAGACAGTCAACTCACAGGTCTTGCTGGGTGAGACAGTCAACTCATAGGTTCTGCCAGGTGAGACAGTCAACTCACAGGTCTTGCTGGGTGAGACAGTCAACTCACAGGTCTTGCTGGGTGAGACAGTCAACTCACAGGTCTTGCCGGGTGAGACTGTCAGCTCACAGGTCCTGCCAGGTGAGACAGTCAACTCATAGGTCTTGCCAGGTGAGACTGTCAGCTCACAGGTCTTGCTGGGTGAGACAGTCAACTCATAGGTCTTGCCGGGTGAGACTGTCAACTCACAGGTCTTGCCGGGTGAGACAGTCAACTCATAGGTCTTGCTGGGTGAGACTGTCAACTCACAGGTCTTGCCGGGTGAGACTGTCAACTCACAGGTCTTGCTGGGTGAGACAGTCAACTCATAGGTCGTGCTGGGTGAGACATTCAACTCACAGGTCTCGCTTGGTGAGACATATTTACCCATTATACGGCTGTCAATGATTTTTATCCAACATATCAATTAGAACTACAGCAAACTGTGTCTGCATGAGTTCACAATGAGTGTTTGTCAGACCGTGAGGAAACAACCATATCTGCAGCATTAAGATTTTGAAGTTGGCTTTACAATGACAATTCCCAAATTTCATTTCACATGTAGCCACGAATAATTTTATCATGCAGTAAAAGTTGTTGCTTTTGTACCAGGGAAGCAACTGATTGACTAACACATTGCTCCTCTGTGCATACAGATCCTCTTCCTAGGGACCTGCTGAGAGTGACTGTCCAGATCAACCTTGATGACATGGTCACAACAGAGCAACTAATCACAAGGCCGGACTGCGGGAATAGGTCACGTGACCTCCCTGCGACCAGTGATAAAAGTCGAGACAAGGACCGAAAGCTGGAAGAAACAAAACACGAGAAGCAGAATACTGATATTGATGCAGGGGACGTGAGTTTAGTCAATGGATGTGCTGGAGGAGGCCGAGGTGATGTTGATGAAGAGACAGGGAGTGAGAATATATGTACACAATCTTCCACAAATGGGATCATTTCTGACAAACATTCTTCAAATACCTCAGAAAGATTACCAGAGAATATTGGCAAAGGTGTCTTGATACTTCCAGAAATATCTTCACAAATAAAACAGCCGAAGTCTGAGTACTTGTTACAAGACCCTCAAAGTAGTACCGTTGAACCAGGTATGGTCCCTATGTTACAGCCAGCAAAATGTCTGATGGACGAAAATAAACGAGACACAAATAGTGTGGACAGCAGAGGTGGTCCCTCTGAAAACAACAAACCCGGTGGGGACAACAGTGGACAGACCGTGAGTGGTTGTGATGTTAATCAAACTTCGGACCACACCTTGTTGACTGATTCTGGAAAAAAAATGTCAGATGGAAGAAAGATAAAGACAGCTAAGAAAGGTCGAAAGAGGAAAGCTAATAGCGACTCGATCAAGGAATCTCAGTCAGATCCTTCTTCGTATGAAGAGAAAAGTGTTGCCATGGTTACACAAATAAATGGACAAACACAAGGCAGTTCTACTGACAGTGCTGTTGCAACAAGTATTAAAGCATTATTAGGCACCAGGCAGAGAATCTGCTCAGGCGCCATGAATCAGATTGAGTTAACGGTTCCAAGCTACAGGGAATCACTGGGCAGGAAGAAGCTGACGAATCCACACACTTACAGCAGTGCTCTTGTTGACTATGAGACGTTCTTGGAACAAGGTGACAATGGTAAAAGTGTGCCGAATATTCCTGGGCTTGTTTTGAGGAAGATTGACCATGAAAAGAAGGATTCAACCCCGGACGCAGACTTTGTGAGGAGTGTCGCAGATTGTGTTGACAGGATGTACGATTGTGCTCTGTCCCAGATACCGTTAAGGGGAGACAATCATGACATGTCGAATGAAAGTGTTGGCGATGCTACAGCAGAGCTCTCTGTGATGCCGGTGTCTAGAGGTCAGATGTGTAGTAAAACGACACAAACAACAGCACCTGCTCAAAAGTTCAACCAGAGACCCAAGTCGGTCCGGTACGATCCCATGTCTGTGTCATCTCTCGCCATGGTTGACCTTGACCTTGCTGTCAGGGAAAACAAAGAGAATTTCCCCCAAAATGTCTCCAATAACAAAGCAATTCCCTTACAGTGTGTTGAAGGATTGGAGAGAGATACACGTGTTCCAGTTCCAACTGCAGATGGTGAACTACCAAACCAGAAAGGTCATGTTGGGGAGAAACGTTCCAAAGAGGATGAACATGTTTTGGTAGAAAAGGTTAAGCTGTCTAAGGTCAAGGTCGGTAGTTTGTCAGTGAATGAGTACAGTGTTGGATGTAAGGCTAAAGTAGATGATGTCTCAAATATAGCAATGCTAAGGAATGGCTGTGAGTTGATGTATGTGTCGGATGGAGTGGGGAGGATCAGCATGGCTGCAGATGCTGTCACAGTTGAGGAGCAGCTGATGAGGGACTGCAGACCAAGGTCGAGGAAAGGGAAGATGATGGCCGGCCTGGATGGCCTCGAGTACGGCAGGAAGTGTGGGCGCCATCTCCCTGACCAGCTCTACGGGACCGGAGGGGAAGTTGTCAGTCAGGGAGACACGGACAGCTCCGACTCGGACTCGTCCAGCTCAAGTTCCGAGTATGACCGAGAAGTGTTCAGGAATAACTATGTTGATGACCCAGTGTTCACCACAAGAAGGCAGCCTGATGATACATACGAGAGAAGAAACAGGGACAGACATTCCGATCATTACTCCTCAGGATATGATAACGAAGCTGATTACTTGCCCTACGACAATCAGTACGTGTTTGACGAACAGGACACTACGAATGTGCAATACAGTGACCAGGTGTGGGGCAATGATAATGATTTCCAACCCAACATGTCCAGTTATCCATACGATGTTTGGTCTCAGCCATGGGGGAACCCGTGGGGGTACTACCACCCCCATCCCAATTGGTACCCCCCTCCATATTACGCTCCCCCTCAGTACTATCCCAGTCCCTACCTGTACCCACCTGCCCACTGCCCAGCCCCCCCTCATCCCATGTGGTATGGGGGTGGGGGAGGTTATGGAAGGGTAGGACTGACAGATGAAGAAAGAATTGATGCTATGAGAAAAAATATGGAGTATCAGAGAGCATATATTAAGAAAATGGCAAAAATCAAGTATTAGACCATAATCAATGTTATTTGTCAGGGATGAAAGGAGTGCTGTTGAGACACAATGTTGCATTTGTGCTTATGAGTTATTAATAATAATATTACACATTTAACAAATATGCTGTTCAAAAAGGTTATCTACAATGTTACTGATGTTTCCACTACAGTCGTTAACTTTGTGTCGACACAAAGACTGATCACGTCGTCAAAATTAGCAATCTAACAAACTTAAGCAATAGTAAAACATCCCTTAGCCATGGCAGCCATTAGCAACTAGATCCTTGTTCTGTAATATGCAAGATGGCTGGTCTTGAATTGTCTAGGTATTTTTCAAGAAAAAGACTAAAATCGTCTTCAAATTAATGCATGATATTTTGTGGCAATTTCTTCACAGATGATTTGTCCGTTAGATATAATATTTGGATGGCAAATACATTAACACTTCTCATGATGGTGATGCTGTCTCCGGAGTTACGTGTTAGTTGTACATGTTTGTTACCAGGGTAAATATTGTTACTATATACCATAATATACCTACAAATAACTACTGTGTCTGTGATATGGAAATAAACAATGTTCCAAATGTGAAGTTTTGTCTTTTGGTTTATGGATGCATGCCCAATGTACTGTATCCTGGTATACTGGAAAACGCTGGGGACTTCTTGTATTAGTGAAGATCCGGGGTAGAATAGGTCCTCAGCAACCCATGCTTGCCGTAACAGGCAACTATGCTTGTCGTAAAAGGCGACTAACCGTATCGGGTGATCAGGCTCGCTGACTTGGTTGATGCATGTCATCATATCCCAATTGCATGGATCGATGCTTATGGTGTCAATCACTGGTTTGTCTGGTCCAGACTGGATTATTTACAGACCGCCATCAAGTAGCTGGAATATTGCTGAGGTGACTGTAGTGATAAATGTCTGTGCTGGTACTTGCCATTGAACCAAACTATTCTTTCTTGATAGTAAGACCTAGGATGAACTTAAGACTCTTTAAGATATGTGGTTCATAAGAAGGTGCCAAGTTCACCATAAATTATCTTGCCAGATGTATTTTACGAGTGTTTCTTTTACTGTTATAACTCCCATTCATCCATAATATTAAACAAATATTTTTAAGTATTTCGACTGTAGAAGTCAGAGAAAACATTTCTTGGAGGGTTTGGTTTAAAAAGTAAACCCTTGGGGTGGGAACAGCCTTCCCGATCATGTTTTTATATTGTCAACCAAAACCAAGTCTTGTTTTCTCCTTTGCAAAGTAATCAGATTTTTGTGCATCGACTGTCCATCTGTCTGTCAGCTCTGAGTTTGAAAACTGGAAAGGGCAATATCATATTCCCAAAACAGATTCTGATTCACGGGTGGCCGCGTCATCTAAGGCGCCGCGATTCGCTGTGCAGAGTTGCGTCCCTTGGGCATGCCAGAAACCTATGATTGTGGGTTCGAATCCCGCTTTGCCCCGATTATGTTTCTAGGTTTGTCAGCACCACGCCCGTGCTCGTGGGTTTCACCGAAGTAGTAAACATCTGAGACCTGCATCACTTCGGGCTTTCCTCCCACATTAAGCTGACACGCTGTGATATAACTGGAATACTCACTCACTCACTCTAGAGTGTTAAGCCGTTACCTGAATTTAACAATATTTGGATCATGGCATTTTGGCAATATCATATTCCCAAAACAGATTCTGATTCACGGGTGGCCGCGTCATCTAAGGCGCCGCGATTCGCTGTGCAGAGTTGCGTCCCTTGGGCATGCCAGAAACCTATGATTGTGGGTTCGAATCCCGCTTTGCCCCGATTATGTTTCTAGGTTTGTCAGCACCACGCCCGTGCTCGTGGGTTTCACCGAAGTAGTAAACATCTGAGACCTGCATCACTTCGGGCTTTCCTCCCACATTAAGCTGACACGCTGTGATATAACTGGAATACTCACTCACTCACTCTAGAGTGTTAAGCCGTTACCTGAATTTAACAATATTTGGATCATGGCATTTTGGCAATATCATATTCCCAAAACAGATTCTGATTCACGGGTGGCCGCGTCATCTAAGGCGCCGCGATTCGCTGTGCAGAGTTGCGTCCCTTGGGCATGCCAGAAACCTATGATTGTGGGTTCGAATCCCGCTTTGCCCCGATTATGTTTCTAGGTTTGTCAGCACCACGCCCGTGCTCGTGGGTTTCACCGAAGTAGTAAACATCTGAGACCTGCATCACTTCGGGCTTTCCTCCCACATTAAGCTGACACGCTGTGATATAACTGGAATACTCACTCACTCACTCTAGAGTGTTAAGCCGTTACCTGAATTTAACAATATTTGGATCATGAAAGTATCATACAGGAATATAGTTTTTCCTCACAGTGGAGTACAATGGACATACAAGTAAAAAGTGATATTCATCTTCATTATCTTGGATATTGCACATTTTACATATTTGTTCTTACCTTGGAGTTATGGTATAGGGCCCTCTCTCTATGCATAGATCATGGGATGACCCACACACACCCACACCAAAGGTTGAATGGTATATAATGACTGTAATGTTGTGAACATTATACACCTATTTTGTTTTTCAATACAAACAAATTTCTTTCAACTGTGGTTTTCACTTCAACTTAGTAAAACTACCCTAAGCTGCTGCCAACGGCAAGTTTTATATTATATTATTATAAAGCAAATGATAAGAGTGAGGTTGGTTTTAACATTACTTTGAACAGTATTCCAGTGACATCAAAGTGTCAGCTTGATGTTGGAGGAGGTGAGGTGAAATGGGTTTAACATCACATTCAAGATTATTTCAGTAATACAGCGATGTGCATGAGAGTGTGTGGCTGCTGGTACTGGTTTTGTAGCGCCGATACCAGGACTCCGAGATGGCCAGTTACTTTAATGAGTAATACGCACAATCATTTAACGGGGGCACGGGTGGCCCAGTGGTCTAAGGAGCCGCGATTCGCTGTGCAGAGCTGCGTCTCTTTGGCACGCCAGAAACCTATGATTGTGGGTTTGAATCCCGGTTCGCCCCAATTATGTGTCTAGGATTGTCAGCACCATACCCGTGCTTGTGGGTTTCACCGAAGTGGTAAATGTCTGAGACCTGCATCACTTCGGGCTTTCCTCCCACATTAAGCTGACACACCGCGATATAACTGGAATACTGTTAAAACAACATGTGTGATCCAAATCACAAATGCCTAAAGGATCAGAGCCTACAGCTGTGCTCACATAGTAGTGAGTGAGTGAGTTTGGTTTTACGCCGCTTTTAGCAATATTACAGCGGGGGACACCAGAAATGGGCTTCACACATTGTACCCATGTCAGGAATCGAACCCGGGTCTTCGGCGTAACGAGCGAACGCTTTAACCACTAGGCTACTAGACTGCCCCTGCTCACATAGTAAACAGTGCCTGGCATCCACATACAGCCTGTCGTCAACATGATGCAACATGAGATCTAGAGGAAACAGGTGTTCCAATCAACAAATACCAACTTGACAGAACCACCATTGACCAACTCCAAGTCCGTCTACAAATAGCTCATACTAAAGCAGAAGGAAGCACCCAGTATGTCAATAAGGACAAAGAAAACAAACAATCTTTAGTTTACAAGCAACTTTATATATTCATCTCTTCAGAGTATTTGACAAAAATTATAAAATTATGTATTTCCACAGTTACCATGGTTACATATAAATACTGCTTCCAGACAGTGTACCATGCCTTTATGACAGCAACCACTTGAAGGACTACATATAATACACACTATATGTACAGAGACTGGTAGCCAATGAGGGGACACAACACAGGTAGAAACCATTGGAACAGATGATAACAGATTTGTACCAAACAACTTTACAGCAACTTGTACATGAACATAAATAGTCAGAAACATTTCTATCTTGTGAAATCATACCCACACGTTGTTAATGCTCATCTGGTTTTCTTGCTATTAACATGGTTATATTTTAATACCAGTACCTTAAGTGATATGTTAGGCAGCTTAAGTTGTATACTCCCCAGGAAGCTGAGAATGAATATCGAGTGCATACTGATCCACTGACTGGGGTAATTATGTCTAAGTGCTTAGAACATGCTTATGCATGGAGTTCAGAGCTATGTCAATGGACTATTATTATTATTATTATTAATTATTTTTGTTACCTACCCTCCCCACTCTCACTGCAATATTTCCAAGTGTTTTCAAAAGGAAATAAACAGTGGCAAGTATCCAAAACAAATGTCTTTTAAAATTGTATTTTCTCTATCCAGCGATGGGAATGGATATTTTCCTTTTCAGATAAAATTTCTTTTCAATAGAGTGTGATACATAATTTGGGGGTGTTTATGGGGATTAAGGGGGGCTTGGCCCCCCTGAAGCTATCAGATTTTAACAAATTTGTGATAATTAAAATTCCTGGATCTGCAGAAGATTCTCACCCGTTTATCTTTTCTTGTTTCATTTTTAGGAATGTAAATAAAGAATTATAACTGTACCCTGGTCATGATAAGGGACAAAACCAATTCTATTCAAGTATTATCACCAAAAACGCAAGACAAAGCTGTCATCTGTACTAAATCTATTTTAAATATGTTTTAATAAATAAATTGCAAGTCATTCTATGTAATTTGATTGGCTTAACAAACAATTATTTTTGTGTTTATACTGTTTCTACTGTTTCCTGACTGGCCGACAAAAGAGTAGGCGGGGCATGAATTGCATTATCTCACTAAACGATGTCACTGATTTTGTATTATCTGCACTCTTCTTGTGTTAATAATAAAATAAGCAGTCTGTGAATGTATTATTGTCGACTTACTTATTCACAAGAGAACGGACTTCAATATATTTGCAGAAAATACTGAAATCAATTCTGAAATGATTTCCGTGAAAGGCCACTGGCACATAGAACATGACAGTATATACTGGTATTATACACACAAGAATGTACACAGGGTTACAACTGTAAGCACATATATACATTACTGGTCTAAAGACGTGTCATCTCGCAGTCTCAAATACACAGACACCATCAACCATTACGGCTTGTTGGTGATTGGATATTTCCGACTTCACACATGTGGAGTGAAGGATGTGAAAAGGGACATCTAGTGTGTCCACTTCCTTTACTCAATGTTACCATGGTTACGTTCATTTCCAAGGTCATCTTATCTGATTTCCACATCTATGTAGGCTAATATTATGAAAAGAAATGTATTTTTACTTTACTATTTAAACTATGTTCAGTGAAACCTTGTATATCCAGACTACGTCACTCATTGTCCAAATTACCAATCAAGAGTTATAATGGTGCTGCAAATATGTATTGTTGCTCTAAACTTGTCCAAAGTACAAGGTCTCTGGTAGGGCTGGGACGGGTAACTCGGGTACTCGGATCAGGTGGGTCCTCAGTAGAACCCGGGTACCCACAGGACTACCCGGACCCGTGATTAGTCACGTGATATATATTGTTTAATGACAAAAATTATCTAAAACTCTATGGTTACACTATAAGTCACTAATATTCCCTTTTCTTTCTGACAATGCACCCATTCCTTCTTACTTTTATATGTTTGAATAAAGATAAAACTTCATGCATTAGTGTATGCATGAGCGGATCGTTTTACACATGTCTCTATATACATTTTGCCAGGGTTACGGTCAAACCTTTCCAAATCGGACAGTTTGTACCTATATCTAAATATCTACAACGGGTACCCGGGTAGGGTCGGGTAATAGGGTGATGGGTACCCGGGTATTAAATTTGGACCCGTCCCTGCCCTAGTCTCTGGACTAAAGGGTCCAGAAAAACAAGGCGCCACTGCAGTCCGGACTCTGCTGGAAAGAAAGCTGCACCAATGGTTATGACTAACAGCACAGTCTAATCATACACCACAAATATTCCAACAAGTCTGGTGAGCGGGGCCCAGGCTAGCTACAGAAGCATGCAGCAAGATCATGGCAAGACAAACCCACAAAAGGGTTGCCAGTTTAGCAGGGGGAAAATACTGACTACTAAAGTTACCTGATTAGTGTCTTGACAGAAGATGTTTTGGCTTCTGTCTGAAATTGGTTTGTTATTCTTTCTACGAATGCAGTAACAAAAGACTTTTTCATTTGATGAATTAAAAACATTTACCACATTTGCATATATGTATTTTTTAATACAGCCAAAAAATCAATTTTTATCTTCTTTTCTATCATATTTTCAGGGATGAGAATGGATACTTTCCTTTTCAGCTGAAACTTATTTGCAATGGAGCTAACTCATAACTTGGGGGTGTTTCTTTGGATCTGGTTGGTTAGTAATCAAATATTTACGATGTATTCTAATTTATTGCTCTGCTATCAATGCAACAAGCAATGAAACCTATCTGACCCTAAAGATTTAAAAAAAAACTGCCTTAAGGCCTTCTCACTAAAACCATTTTTAAAGCTAAACTCTTTCCCATAACATAATTTCAAATTAATGAATGCAATATTGGTCACGTAGAGGAAAAACAACAACAACAACACACTATTTCATGTTTACCAATGTCTCCATGTAAAAAGATGTGTCAACTGCAGGCGTTGAATATTCAGCTGCTGATCAGATTGGTCTAATTCAGCGAAACAAGCTAGAATTAAAGGTTTGAAAATGGGTAAAGCAATGCCATGACTCATCACGTCTCATGATTTTATACAAACCTGTAAATTATACACTTAATATATGTACAGAATTTCATAAAATCACATTATGAAGAAATAAACAACACCAAACTGTATGTACACCCAGCACTCCTTGTAAACAAAGACATCAGCATGATTAAATAGATAACATAACCATATAACGTTAACATTGTAAGGGGAAATAATCTACCTTAGAACGGCTCAATAAACATCATTTTTCTACCAGTTCTGCTTCTGCACTCAATTTGCTTTCATTGATGGCGAAATAAATACAATGGTCTTGACAAGTATCTACAGGTACAATGATCTAAGGGTAACTAGATAAATACAGGATAAATACAGCCTATCTACAACCAGTTGTCCACAATGTGGCTTATGGTCTTTGCAAAACAAATGTTAAGTATAACAACATATAGTTGGAAGCAACACAATCTCTAAATTTTGATATCTTTTAAATTCACAAATTTTTAATTATTTTCAAAATTTGTTAAGATTTGAAAATCTAAATGTTCTTTTTCAGTTTACAATTTTATTACATGGGCATAAGTTTAAAATCAGCTGATCTTAAACAGTGTACTGGTATAATATTTTAAGATTCAGGGGAAAGGGCACAGCTGCAGGAAACAATATAGTCCATTTCACGTCAGGTCTTGACATTGTAATTACTGGGTGAAAATCGTATATTGGCTCTGTTAGGGTTGGATTACTAACCACCAATCATTTAGCTTCAATATTGCCCATTGTGTCAACAGTTTTGCATAAAATTATAATCATTAGCATTCAACTTTTGAATATATTTTAACCACGTATGGATAAAACGTCCATCTTATGTAAAATCATAATAGTTTCTACAGGTTAGTGTGCAATGATTTGAGTAAATGAATAAATATGTTTGCATTTACATATTTCCCTCAATAACATGCAGCAACACGGACAGTGTATTTCAGATTCATACTTATTTATGTAAGTCCCATGCCAATCTCAGTCATATCAGATCTTTTACTTGGATACGATACCTCTATCCATGAAAATCTGACAACACCTCCACAAGTGATTGCGTCAGGTGAACACTCAGCAAACTCTGACCGCCCAGTCTAAAGGATGTTCTTGAGCCGATCAATGTCAGCATTCTCAAACAATTCAGCTTAATTTCTTTACACCTCTATTTCAAAATTTCAATCTCAGTAAACTACCACAGAAAACAAAACAAATCCTTGACAGTACACCCTTTTGTGTTTAGAGGCCATGGCCACGACCTGTTGTTAAAAGGGGATTTCTTTTTCATAAACTGGTTTACAGGTGCACGGACACTATATTTCAAAAAACAAAAATAACTAGCAAACATTTTCATTACTGCTGAGAGAAACATCAAAGTATCTGCCTCAAATGAAAAAAACCCAACAACCCTGCAGATTGAGTTTTCAATGGCAGAGTGACACAGGAGTTTATTTTTTCTTACATCATACTCAATAGAACTTTTTAACAAAAAATTAACCCTACCTGACAAGAAATATCACATATTGCCCCCAAAATAATTTTTATTTTTGAATTTTTATTTTATTCTCATTTCAACCAACTACAGTGAATTTTGTAGAATATATCCATAAACCAAGTTATTAGAAATAAATGGCCTATAATATCCACAACAATATAACAATGCTTGTTGTTTTTGCATTCGGAATGCATTTTCAGGATACAGAAGTGTTTGTCTGATGCTTGGCTCACTCACACAGAGAATTGAGATGCCTTGAAACTTATTGGTAGATTAAAAAGTTATCGCAATCTCGTATGGACATGATAGAGGGGTCCTCAGATGCTCTAGAAGAAAGGCATCGGTGTAAAAGATCCTATTTTAATGAGACTGAGTCCCTGTTGACTTGACATACTTTGGGAGTTGAGGCGAGCAGGATCTGTGCACACATGGCTTGTTCAGACGTAAAATGTACCAAACTAAGGATGGAATCTTATATTATCTTCATAATTCAAAAATGTCTCCAATCATTTCTTTACTGAGATTTTGAACAAAAAGAGATTCAAATCTTAATAAAATTCAAAATATGGCAAATGAAATATCCATTTCAAATCTGCTGCTGAAAAGCTTCACACACAAATGCTGACCAATGAAACATTGCTCAAGAAGAAAGCAACACCTGCAAAAATAGATGCAAATTTGAGCATAAACCCTCAAAACACCGATGCTCAATGAATGTTCGTAATGTATCAAATATATATATGACTTATCAGTCTTATATGCAATGAGTGACAGGCATTAGCATATAATAACTAAAAGCTGAACTACCGTCTATCTGTTCTCAGACATGTCAATTACACACCAGCTTTAAGATTTCCAGGTGTTAACTACCCTATTTGCCATAGTAAGCGCCCTGACCAAATACTAGACCAGTAAGCTTTATAAGCGCTCCCTACTAAGACCGAAAACTAACATGAAAGTTTGTATTTTCTTGCGCAGAAAACTGTATCATAGAAGGGGATATAATTGCATTGTAACTATTATCAAAATCATTTTAGTTTCTTTGATAACTCCATCTCTGAAAACAAATTTAAGTTCTTGCGTACAGTTTAAAAAAAATATAAGTGCCTCCCTTTGTACATTTTCTTAAAGCACAAAGTGCTTATTATGGGGAAAGAGGTATGTGTTCACATGCTTAATACTTCCTAAGTGGTGTTCACTGAAACTTGGTGTACAGAACATTTAAGAGCATTTACATATGGTAGAGCATATACGGTAATAACATTGTGAAGAGCCTGCAACAAAGGAACCCACATGTAGAAGAAGAAAGCTCATAAAGTTACCCTTCACAAAAAGGTTCACTGAACAGATTATCCTAAATCACAGTTGAAAAGGCTGAAAAAACATGGCTTTTGCCAATGCTTGGTTGTCTGAAAAGACTATAAAAGAAAGTTTATGTCCATCATTGGTTTCATTTTGGCATTTTTATGATATTACATGTATATGTGGTTTATATACTTAAACAAGTGGAAGAAGCATTCGTGAAGCCATTTAATAAATGACTTGAGTGTGGACTTTCATAACAAAACTAAAGAGCAGTGTCAGAAACTAAGTATTAGTCCACTTGTCCCTATGATGAAAACATATAGCAAAACCCTCAAAAAGGCATATTTGTACTTGTCCTTATGATACCTTAACTATTGGGCAATTTGGCAATAGTTATAGGACTAGTGCCAATTTCTAATGCTGCGGAGCATTACAATGCCATCTCAATAAACTGTTTGTGAGTGAATGAGTTCAAATTTAATGTCACGTCGGCTATATTGCAGTCATATCGAGACTCAACTGTTTGTTTGGAGTGGTATGTTCAAGAGAATTCCATCATGATGTATTTAGACCATGTGCTACTCTAGGTCCACCAGTCTTTTTGCAGGACTTGATGACCATCTTAAACTCATCTGATTATAGGGACATTAAATGTTCAAGTGAGCATCTTATCTCCTGTATCGCATGGATTAAGAAGAATAATGCAGTGGTCCTATATATAGGTGACCAGCTCTGATCTTGGCTTGAGATAGCAGAGGGTACCTGTTCTGAGACCTGACCTGACCTGTCAGCTAGACAGCTAGACAGCTCGAGGGCACCTGTAATGGCCACCTACTCTAATCTGTGATCTGGTCGGCTGGAGGGAACCAGCTACAAGACAAAATAGCACATGCAAAAATGTTACACAAGGCAATGCCAATGTGGGACCTGACAACTGAAGATTTCTTCAGACAATCTGTTCAGTGTTACTATTCTAATCTTCCCAGTGTAATCTGATAGTTAGGCAGAGTCCATACACAAACCTTCATCACACCCATACAAATCACAGTCTCACACAACTACACACATCAGCTTCCTATCTATGTCTTCTCCTGTGCGGCTTCTCGAGCATTCTCTGCAAAGTTTGGAACAGGAAGTTGGTCAGTTGTTGCTGATTTTTCAGGCACTGGGACTGTGACAGGAGCTGGCTTGACGCTTTTCTCTGGGGAGGAGTTCTCTGACTGCTCGGTGCTGGCCCCTTCATCATCCATGGACGGCCAGTTGGCAGGACTGTCACTCTTACTCAGCCTCTCATTGAGAGCCTTCAGAGCCACTTGCCTGAAATAACACATTATGTTTGATGTTAGTGTGAGTACAAAGTGTCTCCTGTCGCTATGTTCACACAATCACATCAGTACAACCGCTTTCCTCTCACACAATCACAAGAAGTACAACCGCCCTCTTCTCACACAATCACATCAGTACAACCGTTTTCCTCTCACACAATCATAAGAAGTACAACCGCCCTCTTCTCACACAATCACATCAGTACAACCACCTTCCTCTCACACAATCACCTCAGTACAACCGCTTTCCACTCTCACAATCACAAGAAGTACAACCGCCCTCTTCTCTCACAATCACATCAGTACAACCGTTTTCCTCTCACACAATCACGAGAAGTACAACTGCCCTCTTCTCACACAATCATGTCAGCACATTCGCTCCCCTCTCATGCAATCGCTCTCCTCTCACACAAACCCGTCGGTACAACCTACCTCCTTCTCTCGGCATCCTGTGGGTCTGTCCCAGGGAGGCTGATGGTGATAGTTGATGGGGAGCTCACATCATATCGCCTCTGCGGTTTCTTACACAGCTTAATCTTCACCAGTCCCATGAAGATGGTATTTGACAATATGGCTATCAATGGTTGAACTTGTCGTGGAAAGAAGCTAAAAATCAACAAAGTTATTTTACAAGTTTTTTCAATCTCATCTGAATTAATCACATCAATATCACACAATGTATACACTTCTGTAAAGGCTGGCAGCTGTTTATCATTATTGGATAAAACTATGTCACCAGATGATTGAAGGTAAATATATTCAAGTATAGTGAAAATGATATATGTATCGCATTGATCTAATGATAAACACTGATCAATTCCCATGTGAATATAATGAGAGCATCCTTGCCATAACCAGCTGATAACTATATAAATACTGGCTTATTGATGATAATCTTGTTATTCTTCCGATTTCATTGCAGCATATCAGTATTTCTACCCAATGGTTATTGAAGTGTTTAAAAGTAGCATGAGTGAAAATGACAAAACAAGGAACATTTTTTGACAACTCTGCACCTAAGATTGCTGTGACCCATTAACACTGAACATGCTGAATGAAGTCTGCACACAAGGAATACCTCTTGTACAATGCAAACTGTTCTAAAACCGAAAATTTAGAACTCCTTCGTTTGAAATTGTCATGATATTAAATAGATTTGTGATGACAGACATCACACATGCTTCATCACTGGCTTGTTTTCTTATAAAACATATACCGTATTCAACGTAATAAGCGCCCTCAAAATTAGAAATAGGGGGCTCTTAATCATGTTAATAGTCTTCTTAGAATATTATTTTGGTGAAAAAAAAACAGTTGAAAGATCGTAAATTTCATGGTTTATGCTGACCGCCTGAAATGTTTATATACGACAGATATATTTTCCAGAATTTAATTGCCATTAATTAAAGGTGCATATAACACACGAGTGCATATTATACACGAATAAATAAGTCTTGTGTAACAAGGCTGACACAATGTTGCATTTACAATGTTTCGATGTAGATTCTTACACCGTTATTGAAGTACAACTTTATGCATAACAACTTCTTGCTTGTTGCACAAACAATGTTTCGACGTAGATTCTTACACTGTTATCAAAGTACAACTTTATGCATACCAAGGCTTGTTGCATTTACAATGTTTCGATGTAGATTCTTACACCATTATCAAAATACAACTTTATGCATAACAACTTCTGGCTTATTGCATTAACAATGTTTCGATGTAGATACTTACACCGTTATCAAAGTACAACTTTATGCATAACAACTTCTGGTATACTGCATTTAGCAATGTTTCAATGTAGACTCTTACACCTCTATCAAGGTGGAAGTCACTATCCATTAAATTGTATGTTTTCTTACTGATTACTCAACAGGTGTGTCAGTGATAAAAATTACCTGGCAAACGTAAAATTATCAGCCATGTCTCCTCTGTTCCCATTGCTGTGTTTCTGGTAGAACCTCAGGTACACCCAAGAGACAACAATCCCCCATCCAAACAAGATTGGGTACGGTCCATCCAGCGCGTGAACCAGTTGGAGAATGATAGAAATGATGAATAGCAAAAGTGGAATGTGAGTGTTTCTCAGTTTGCCAAATGGGGATGTAACTAAAATGTGATCTGGCATCACTTGTTTCACTGCCACAGAAAATCCAGCAATATAACCTGCCATTCCATGAATATTCACTGTGAACAAGATTCGCTCGTCCTCGGTAACTAGGTAGACAAGCAAATAACACATTGCTGTGAGGATTCCAACAGCAACATTGACGATCAGGAAAAAGATGAGCATGTCCAAAGCACCCCACAAAGGCTCCAACAGCTTGCCACACAGAATGACGACCGCAATATCGATGAGAACATCCCAGAAATGAAACTCAATGAAACAGTAGGTGAAAAACGAGTAAAAACTAAAATTGGGAGGCATTGCGAAGCCTGGATTTATGGTTATGAACGACACTACATTTGACAGAAATGAGAGAAGGTAGCCAAGTGTCACAGACACTGCTACGAATTTCACGACGACGCTGCTTTTTCCTAAAGCAGCTGCCATTTGCTCTTTCAGGAAGGGAAGTTTGTTCTGAGCCATGGACGTCGCCATCTTGCATCGTGACGGTAACAATGATGACGTCAACATTTGCCGAACTCCGCGACCCTCCACGTGCATTTGTTATGAAGATTACCTCCCTTTTCTGTAGAGTTACAACAGTCAGTTTCGTCCGTGAAAAGTTTTTGGAAACTGGCCAAGACGGCACCAATGAAACAGAATAATTGTCATCTCAAAATGGTTGAAAATTATTATATGGTATCTGATATTTTCAAAATGTAATAATAGTATGTTTTTTTGTTAGAATGTCATTTCATTTGAAGTTTGTTTTGTCGATCATCGTTTGCTTTTGAAAAGAGAAGAATGTTTCACAGCATAATCATGGTGGATTAGTAACAGCAAATGCTTTGGATTTTGAGAAATAGTCAGTTATATCACAATAGATCACTTATATGGATTACATAGGATGCAGGCTAAAACGGCACCTCAGGAAAACGTCACCGATTTCTCTGGCGAAAACGGCACCGCATTTGGGCAAAACGGCTACTATGTGTCGGGCGAAAACGGCACCTCTGTTTTTAATAATGATAAGAACGATTTTAGTAGTAATATATATAGTTTATTTACATGGTATTTGATGTATTTACATGCTATTGGATGTATGTGATGTATTTACACGGACAGGTAAGAAGTCCTCGGCAATCTGAAAAATGAATAAAAGTTAAAATACAATATTCGTTATGTTACAACATTGCGGTTATTCTGAGAATTTATACAATAGCATTATGTAGTTTATTTTATTATTAGTAGTACCTCGAAGTCCAATATCCTCGGCTCTTTGGGGCCAACAGTTCCCGGGTTCAGTTCGCCATGCGAATGAGGGTTGACTGGTTTTGGTGTCCACCAGCCTGTTCAGGTTCGACGAGTCTCTGTTGAGCATTTGTAGATGTTTTCAACAGCTTGTTCATTTACCTAAAACATAATACGTTCAATTACTCTACTGTAACAATAAACTATTCAACATGTAATTGAGAGCTTATTGTAAATTACCGAGAACAATTACACCAATCAGTTATAACAACACTATTAATACCTCAACTCGGACTTGAATTGCTGTCAACACTGTCCTGGTACCTGGTTTGGTACTCTCATTTCTTCTGCATCTTCTGATTGGAAACTGACATCAAAGTTACCGATCACCTCTTCAATGATGGGATCTATGCATCTCAAACAGCGGAAAGGGAAGTAAGCCTTCTTCTGTACGGCAAATTTCTATTTGACCTACTTGTTTTATGTAAATTTATTCCCACTTATTTGACCAAGGTGTAAAAAAATATTTCACATTAATTGGTATTTTGATTGTTTTTATCCCCCCGGCATATAATGCGGGGGGTTATAGCTATGGGCATGTCCGTCCGTCTGTACGTCTGTCTGAATCGTTTCCGGAGCAGAACTCGAAAACCGTAAAATATTTCTTCATCAAACTTCGCATTTATATCACTGAAGTGGTGAAGTTGTGCCTTTTGCTATTCAGGAATTTTAGTATTTTTTATTTTTTTACGTTTCCATGGCAACAAGTTGGACTTAGGTTCTATAAGGGTGGTGTTCATTTCCGGAGCGTAACTCAAAAACCGTTAAATATTTTCTTACCAAACTTTGCATGTCTACCAGGCACATACTGAACTGGTGCCTTTTGCTATTTAGGAATTTTATTTTATTTTTTTACGTTTCCATGGCAACAAGTTGGACTTAGGTTCTATAGGGTAGAGTTCGTTTCCGGATCATAACTCAAAACCCATTCAAAACTTTCTAACAAAACTTTGCATGTCTATCAGACTCATGCTGAACTGGTGCCTTTTGCTATTTAGGAATTTTATAAATTTATATTTCCATGGCAACTAGTTGGATTTAAGTTTTAATAACGGGTGGGTTCACTTATGGAGTATATATAACAAATAAACTGTTAAATATTTCCTTGCCAAACATTGCATGTCTATATATAAAGCACATACTGAACTGGTGCGGGGCGGTCGGGTAGCCTAGTGGTTAACGCGTTCGCTCGTCACGCCGAAGACCCGGGTTCGATTCCCGACATGGGTACAATGTGTGAAGCCCATTTCTGGTGTCCCCCGCCGTGATATTGCTGGAATATTGCTAAAAGCGGCGTAAAACAATACTCACACACTCACTCACTCACTGAACTGGTGCCATTTGATATTAAGGAGTTTTAGAAATGTTTATTTTAGAATTTCCATTGCAGCTATTTTGACATGGGCTAAGAGAAATGTTGGGTCAGTTACCTGGTTTGGGACCATAACGAGTTAAAATGGGCGGGGGACATAGATGACTTCGTTGACTATACGCTTGTTTAGTTATTGTTTCTTATAATTTGTCATTTGTTTGCATAAAAACCCCAACAGAAACACACTTGTTTTACTTTCCATTTCATATGGATGCGACCATGGTGGATCTTTTGTGGGTAAACAATGTATGCTTCTTCAAGAACATTCAAGTCTTGACTCATTACATACAGAATTGCACATTTACTTGTGGTTACTTTACAGACAGCTCCTGGGGGGATATGTCATCTTTCTGATGACTCTTGTTTCTTGGTATCAGTAAGCATTTCACTCACACACCCAGAAAGGCCAGTGACAACGACACATACTGGAGGAGTGAGGATTAGCGATGGCCCCAAATTGGTTCAATAAATCAATTCTTATTTTATTTGGGGTTTACAATTTAAAAAAAAGAAAAAGATAGGGGACTTCTGGAGAAGGGAGGATTAGTTAATCCCTGATCTGGGTATATATACCTGCATCCAGCCCGACCACAGTTCCTGGAATGTCAAGACCATGCACGGGTGGCCCAGTCGTCTAAGGCGCCGCGATTCGCTGTGCAGAGTTGCGTCCCTTGGGTACACCAGAAACCTATGATTGTGGGTTCGAATCCCGGTTCGCCCCGATTATGTTTCTAGGTTTGTCAGCACCATACCCGTGCTCGTGGGTTTCACTGAAGTGGTAGACGTCTGAGACCTGCATCACTTTGGGCTTTCCTCCCACATTAAGCTGACTCGCCGTGATATAACTGGAATACTGTTAAAAGCGGCGTTAAACCCAACTCACTCACTCTTAACAACCGACCACAGCTAATATCAAAGTGACTGTTCATTGCAACAAGTCTAAGAAAATGGTGTGAAGAAATCAGCAGGCTTTATCCTTTATCCTGTCAGGGATGGATTGACAGGGTATGTGAACCCGCGGTTTCTGTACAAGGAGCTTAGTTTGTCCATATGGAAAACCGAAACCTCTTCACCCAAGCTACTATTACATGTATCGACCGCAAGCAAAATTCAATCAACTAGTAGCAACAAAAAATGTTGAGCTAATAAAAAATATTGCTATATATTTGAAAGGAAATCTGCCTGTATAATGTATATTCAATATTTTATTGGACCGCCTCCGTGGTCTAATGGTAGAGCGTCCGCCCGGAGAGCGGAAGGTCCGGGGTTCGATCCCCAGCCGCGTCATACCAAAAGACGTTAAAAGATAGTACTTGTTGTTATCCTGTCTGGCGCTCGGCATTAAGGGGTTAAAGCAAGGACTGGTCGGCTCGGAATCAGTATACTGTGTCTTAGTGGGGTATTCATGTTAAACTGCGGCATGGTATCTCAGTGTGCTAGCACTATAAATCGGCATCAGTCCGGACTAGTACAAGCAGCCACACACACACACACGTGCATGCACGTCGCTATATAAGTGCAATAATCTTGGACGCGACGTTAAACCCCATTTCACCTCACCTCACAATATTGTATTGAGATAGTATTTGTCCCTCTTGTCCATGTGCAAAGTGCCACCCATGGACCACTACCTTAGTAAGGTTGGAGATGGACTTGTAAATGTCACCATTTTTACATGCGACCCCTTTTTGACTATTTGTCTGATCGACGTGTTGCCTTTGAAAAGCAAACAGTTCTTTGGATTTTTTTATTTGTGTATATCAGGGGGCATCAGTTCGGATCTTGTCTGAAGTGTATGCAAAGTTTCTTTTGTCTGTCTGCTTCAGTGTCTCTGGTCAGCTTACTATCTATTGTGTATTCAGTTTTGAAGGTTCCTGTCCGGCATATCCTGTTGGCAGTCTTACACATATGTTTGAGGAGGTGACTTTGTTTTGTATCGTTTTCCTTAATATCAACCCCTTGCTGATTGTACATTTGGAACATTTTGTACATTCACGGAACTCGGTATTTGTGTATTGAGGAGTTCATTATCCAGAATGACGTGACCTTAACCAACCTTGAACGTGACTGCGTACCTAAGAGTTAAGCTCATTGTCACACAGTGGGTTTACGATGATGATTATTATTGTTATTATTATTATGATGCACTCTGAATAAAGATGGCTGTCATGTGAACTGACAAGTAGCGTCGTGTTGTGTGTGCCCCACCAACATCTACCCCATACCCGCTACTACATTTAGGAGTGCTTTTGGCATTTATGGCTGATAATAGATGACTAATAAATTACTCAACTAGTCACTTTGGTTCTTGTAATGTTGCAGGTGCGTTCAACTGTGAAATTATTCTCCTATGTTATTGCAAACTCAATTGCCGAACTGTACATTCATTATTTTTTTAACGGTCAGTAGGCGTGTGTATGAATTACCTCCCCTACATATTGCCGAACTCTACGATAACTTTTAACTCAACTCATCCCATTCTATGGCTCCAATACATCCACTGTTTTCCTCACAATATTTGTACACGAGATCACAATACATTTCTTGAAAGATATGTCATAACTATTAAAGGAATACTTGGTGAATATATTTGATTTTTATTTATCCTTTTTGCCATATTTCATAATGGCAACATTTATAAGAAAGTAAACATTTATTGAAGTATTGGGTATAGTTAGGGGTTAAGCGCGGGGCAAGTTGATCGGAAGTTATCAAGCTGCTGCATATGGCGGTTCTTTCCCACACATTGTGGTTATGATATATGATAGCAGTAAGTTAAACTAAATTACTTTTTCGCCTTTGATGTACTTATTAAATGTAGAAGGTATCACAGTTTACCACAATGTAGTTGACATTGCTGCAATATAAGCAGATGATCCATAATTTGTATATTTTATGCTACTGTCAAATGCGGCTTTGGACAAAGGTCCACGGTTCGAACCCAATGAAAGCTCAAGGGGTTGTCACAACACTTTTTTTCATCTAAATCTTACACACACTGCGAGAATGAATGATAGTTTTTGTCCAAGTTGTATTTGTTTTATCAATACGGTCATATCAGTACATGTGGATGTTGATCACGTGTGTGTAATATATTTTGTGAGGAATTGTAATGTAATTATTTTCCAAAAATATATTCAGTAGTAAATGAATACTTTTACCACCACTTATATAATCATATTCTATTCACAGTTAACTGACAGGAAATTTTAGAAGATGTCGCTTGATTTTCTCACACAAATCATTGAGGAGATCGCTCTGGAAGGTCTGGATGGTAAGTTAATAAAACAAGTCATCAAAAGATGACATATTCCCCGGTTCCCATTTTTTAGCATTTTCAGATGTTTATCCTATGATAATACTTCCTGACAACTGTCAATATGGAAAAAGATATCACAGAGTCTGATCAAAGAATCTTTATTGTATTTGAACACATTTTCAAAGTCTTGACATTTAAAGGCATTCAAGCCCTGCTCTCACAAAAACACCAAGACCATTTGAGATGAAGTCCAGTTTATCTCCCTGGAAACTGGGGGAAATATTCCTAAACATTTCAAGACACCACTATAGGACATGATTGATAAACCATTCATGTTTTGTTGAATATTTCATGATTTTGAAGCTCTACTCTGAAACTACACCCACCCCATCTCTTGAAAGATATTGAATGGTTTTCAAGTTACGCTCTGGAAACGAAATTCACACCCCCCCCAATAGCAAAAGGCACCACTTCAGGATCTGTTTGATATTACTATTTCCCACTGCATTATATAAAAACAATTAACATAATAAAATCACTTTAATTTCGAAAACAAAGTGATTTGTTAATAAAGTGGCTGGCTTGGAGAGTTATAGAGTAGCTGATTACCAGAGAATCATGTTAATGACTGTCTGACTAAGTGAGGGTATTTCGCTTGGAGAATGCATGTTAATATTGATAAATGAGGACTGCTATCTGACTGCTCTGGCATACTATTCTACCTGACTTTCTACATGACAGTTTTCTTGAATTTCTACCTTACTGTTCCAAATGTTCTACCTCACTGTTCTGACTGTTCTACCTGACTATATTACCTTACCATGCTTAAGATTCTGACATTCTACCAGACTCTCTTGTCTGACTGTTCTACATAACTGTTGAAGTGTTTTACCAGACAGTCCTACCTGACTCTCCTACCTGACTCTCCTACCTGACTGTTCTTCCCAGGAGCCACCCTGAGCACGTTGTGGACGAGGCTGGAGCAGAGGAAGGGGTTCCAGCTGGCCGTTGATGACAAGTCTAAACTGTATCTGTGGAAGAGCTTTGCAGGTCATGTTGACTTGCAGTTCTATGAGATGCAGGACCCCCGACCACCCCTGGTCTATGTGAACAGATTTGATTTCATCGATCCTGACACTGGCTTCTGGATAGACACGGTGAGTCATACTGGGAGTGTATTCGGCACAGATTTACATTGTATCTATAGAGGAAAGAGTTTGGAAACTTATTTTCCATGTTTACCGTACTACCTTAGACAATGAATATGGTAAAAATTTAACAGACCAGTTTTTAACATCTGCAGGAAATCATGTTAACTCCTTTAATATTTGTTAATTCCTGATTTCTAAAAAAAAAATATCAAGAACTCCTATTAAGAAGCAAGATGAAAATACCCCAATATTTTTACATCATTAACAAGTGAGTTTACAACTTGTCTCACAGTATTTTGGTTTAATATCAGCCTCATTAAAAGAAGAAATTTGCGTCGAGAAGTTCATTTATGACTGTCTTCTGATTAGGTCAAATACTTCAGGGCTTGCTTGTGTAGCGGCAATAAAGTGTTTGAGTCCTGTAACAGGGTTCGAACAGCAGACCTTCTGATCCAAGGTTGGACACCTTGTCTACATGATCAAAGAGTTGTATCCCTTTAGTAAGCTGATAAGTAAAGGATATCATCTGTCCTCACCCTGCTACACCTGTATGAGGTACAATTTTGAAATTAAATGCCGAACTCTCGTTCAAAAAGTCATTTTGATTGGTTGTTGATTTCTAGCTTTTTAGTGAGAGAAATCCTGTGCAAAGTTGGTGATAACAGAGATGATGATGTAACTTCTTGAAACAACTCAATGGGGATTCGGTCCAGGGTATTTATCGTAATATGATGGCAATATGAAGTAGTAGGTAATGGAGGATGGTGATACTGAAGACAATATAAGTTGTACTTGGGGTACATGGGCTTTTACGAGTCCCTCGTTGGGTTTTATACTACTTGCCTCCAGCACAAAACCCTGTGTACCCCGAGTGATCCTGCTACAATAAAGTTATCTCACCGACATGTTTTCATATAACATTCTAAAAGAATTAAAACAAGTTCAAACTTGATAGAGAACAGCAGTTCGATTGAGCAGAGGTTAGCTTCTGCAATGTCACACGACTTTCATTGACTTGGCAAAAGGGGGTGGCTTTTTGCTTCGAAGCGGGGTATAAAGGATTTGTTCTGCCTCTCAGAAATCCATGAGCAGCCTGTCTTGCTCATGGTTGGGTATAAGGGATTTATTCTCTCGCTGAGAAATTTATTTCCCTCCAGGGCAGGATACAGCATATTTTATCAAGATACGTAAACCAGTCAGACATCATTATTCTAGCATGGAGGTATGATAAATAGAGGTTATCACGCAAGTGTGTTTGGGAATGGTATATATCCTGCATTAGGAATAAACATTGTATTTAGCAAGCCTTACTCTAACCCTAGTCTATGAGACGTCACGGCCACTTTTAGACATTGTTGACAGTCGGCCTGTTCTGTAATAACGTTAAGAAGTTCAGTCAGATATACACACAGCGCTAAAACGAATCAAGGTAACAATTCATACATATTTCGCCTAAATCCAACTATTTTTATTTGTGGAAAAGGTTTCAAGCGGCAGAGGTCGACAAGCACAGATATGGCTACTGATCCCGCTTGGCTAGGCCTAGTGCCCTCGCAAAATTGTTTCGAAATTTATATCTCCAAAGTTGCGAAAACTTATAAAATGCCTTAGTTACGTCGCAGTTAGACACTGATTTTCAGTATTTTTGTAATTGTAGCAATTATCCCTGTAGTTTATCCAGATTCACAATGGTTAATTCTGACTCGATCACCGAATGACATGTGTGACACCATGTTTGTTTATAAACACTGAAAGTAGTCCCTACTTGACCTTTGATATTTGCATCTCTATCCGCATATGACCCCAACAGATATCATTTTTATCTGTTGGCTTTATCCTGCCGAGAAACCTACCCATTATATGATAAAGTATTTTATAAAGATCACATGGACCAATCAGATTTCATCACTCTGACATGGAGGTATGACAATGGTATTTCCAGGACCTGGGCCCAAACATCTACCCTCTCAAGATGATCACAGGCGAGGATGTGCAGGGGTCATGTGAAGCCTTTCTCACACGCAAAGATGTCACAGACGATGTTCGGGAAGGAGAGTGGAAAGTCAAACTATCACTAGAAGATGCAATTGAGAGGTGAGAGCCCTGGGGATGTGGAGTCTGGGATGTGGGGCCTGAATGGGTCATAGGTTACCGCATACTTGTTGGAACAGCATACTAAATGGGGATTTGTTGTCAGGCTGATTGTGTGTCATCATACCCTAATCGTAAACGTCCTAGACCTTTCCTCCAATAGTAAGCTGGCATGCTGTGATATCACATGAATACTGTTAAGAGCAGGATTAAACCCAACTCACTCACCCACTCATCATACGCTGATGCTGTCATGCTATCAAACGCTGGACTTATTATTTGGGGCATAGATAGATCGGAAAATACAGAAATCTCCACAGAATTATGACAAATTAAAAATCTTGCTTTTTGTATGTTTTTCAAGATTTCAGCACTTTTTACTCAAAATGAAAAATCTGCATTATGTTTGTCATATGAATTTCTTTGAATTTTATTAAATCAAGTTTACATGTGAATAAAGCATTTACTTGTTGAGAAGGCCTTGTTTCACTCTACTGAAGGGGTCATGGGGCAGCCTGTGTAAAGTCCAATTTTGAAACTTATCCTATATCACACTATGCATTTCTCATTCTTCTTTTGATACTAAGTGGAAACAGGCCTAAACAAGGGTTTCCAGCTGGGGAAATCACATGTTCAGCGCGATTAGGTCGACCTGCATGAAAAGTGTGCATGACTCATATTGTTGGGAGGTGACCATGGTGATGTTATGTGTGTTCGGGTGGAATGTTTTTTTCAGAAGCTGGAAACCTTTGTTTAGGCACGTTTCCACTTAGGTTCGAAAAAATGAGAAATGCATAGTGTGAGATGGGATAAGTATATTAATATACAATTTATTGTTAAATTTACAATTTCTGGTTTCCCCCTGCTGTGATGTTGCTGGAATATTGCTAAAGGCAGTGTAAAACCATACTCACTCACTCACTGTACTGAATATATCTACTGAATGACAACTCTCTGCTGTGTTATAATCCAGGTGGGGAGATAGGCTTGTGGTTGTAGCGAGTCAGGCCCTGAGGTCAACAACATTGCTTGGAACCGAGGCCAAGTCCACTCTACGCATCGATGACATCGAGTACTGCCTCCTGGAGAGAATTGCAAGGTCAATGTTTCATGTTATTTAAAATCAAGGATTTGCTCATCGTATTGAGTTACCTATTTGTTATGAATTCCTTCTTTTAGAAGTAAACAGTCATGTACATGGCTCTGAGATGACGTTTCTGAAATTCTATTTCGAGGAGATGACTGTTATTGGATTGCCAAGAATGGTATTTCTTAATTAAATGCTTCATATAGAATACTAAACGAGCTCCCGTGTAATACCAATTTTATGAAACGAGTGAATAGTTGTGGTATCTGACGAGCGAAAGCGAGTCAGATACCACAACTATTCACGAGTTTCATAAAATTGGTTTTACACGGGAGCGAGTTTCGTATTTTATTTTTCACTTGCCACTTATAACTTTTTTAGAATTATACTGTTGAGTATGAATAGGCTGACACCTACACGATCCACGGCATAGTCCAATTGAGTTTAACAGAATAACACTTCAAAAACGTCAAAAGTTGAAACGTATGAATTTAATACCATACAACGGTCCACCTTTAGAATTCACAAAGTTATCGTAGGGCTAAGACTATCGCAACTCACATACTTTAACAGACTAACGACTGTCGTTGCGCTACAATACGATCGCCTTGTGGAATAGGGGCTTGCACCTCAAAGTTTACAATAACGTCACAATACCCGATGACGTAATTTGTGGAATTTTGTTGCAAGATCCATCGGCGAAACAATGCCATGTGACGTCAGCCTAGCAACAAGGTTGCTGGGGTCATCGAGTGTGCATAAGCTCCTCTCAGTGATCTATCAACTCCACACGCAATGTCGTTGAATAAGCCAAGGGATGTTGAGAGCTTTCAATAGTTGTTCTAGAAACGTGTTCCGAGAGTACATAAGCACGCGTTTTGGTATTACACAATGTGTAATACAGCTGTATGTTTATTAAACGGGTGATCTCTTCACGGGCAAGTAATAAACCTGCTTTGTTGACGCCAGAAGCATTGTTTGAGTTTAGGATACGGTAAAAGAAAAATATTTTTTTGCATGTAATTGGTTATTTCTGCTTAGAGATGTAAGTCCCGAAAGAACATTTTTTAGCAATTCGTAGTGCGTTTCGCTGTTGAGCATTGTTACCATGGTACCAGGTCTAATCCAAAGAATTTCAAAAACTGGTATTAATTATTTCCATGTTGTGCAGACCAGCTCCGTGGTCTCGTGAAAAGAATGTAGGCCCAAAGAGTGCAAGGTGGGTGGTTCGATCTCCGGCCGCGTCATATAGAACCCCATTTTACCTCACCTCCAAGTTGTACTTTCTTATATTTAGATCTCGTTACAATGGGGAGGTGACGACACACTCTGAGGTCACTGGAAGTTTGGGTGTGTTCAAGATCGAGTCCAAGAAACTGTTCTATCATTGCAAGAAGCTGGTGAAACTAAAGCTGATCACAAAGCAGGTGGGTAAATATTTGTAGTACCTCCTTGCTTGGGGGACTGTTCCTAAACCTGAAGCGGTACAGGACTGTCAGGTAAAAATCCCTTGATGGGTGTTGTTTTTCGTCCTTCAATCATTTCTCTACTGCAGTTTGTGGGGCATCCCAGGTTAGATTTGGTTCATACAAGGTGACTTCAGGAGTCTGCGGGTGAGGTTTGGTGACTTGGCTGATGCATGTCATCATATCTGAGTTTGTTTGTTCCGGACTTGATAATTTACAAACCGCTCTCATAAAGCTGAGTGCAGTGTTAAAAGACAAACTGTTTTATTGTACAGGAGTTCTGTATCCATGAGTCAGTGTTTTTTCTACATGCGTTCTGTATCAGCATGATCAGTGAGTAAGTGTTTTATTGTACAGGCGTTCTGTATCAGTGAGTCAGTGTTTTATTGTACAGGCGTTCTGTATCAGTGAGTCAGTGTTTTATTGTACAGGCATTCTGTATCAGTGAGTCAGTGTAGTGAGTCAGTGTTTTGTCATGCAGGTGTTCTGTATCAGTGAGTCAATGTAGTGAGTCAGTGTTTTATTGTACAGGCATTCTGTATCAGTGAGTCAGTGTAGTGAGTCAGTGTTTTGTTGTACAGGTGTTCTGTATCAGTGAGTCAACATAGTGAGTCAGTGTTTTGTCATGCAGGTGTTCTGTATCAGTGAGTCAATGTAGTGAGTCAGTGTTTTATTGTACAGGTGTTCTGTATCAGTGAGTCAGTGTAGTGAGTCAGTGTTTTGTTGTACAGGTGTTCTGTATCAGTGAGTCAATGTAGTGAGTCAGTGTTTTGTTGTACAGGTGTTCTGTATCAGTGAGTCAATGTAGTGAGTCAGTGTTTTGTTGTACAGGTGTTCTGTATCAGTGAGTCAGTGTAGTGAGTCAGTGTTTTGTTTTGGAGGCGTTCTGTATCAGTGAGTCAGTGTTTTATTGTACAGGCGTTCTGTATCAGTGAGTCAGTGTTTTGTTATGCAGGCGTTCTGTATCAGTGAGTCAGTGTTTTATTGTACAGGCGTTCTGTATCAGTGAGTCAATGTAGTGAGTCAGTGTTTTTTCATGCAGGTGTTCTGTATCAGTGAGTCAGTGTAGTGAGTCAATGTTTTGTTATGCAGGCGTTCTGTATCAGTGAGTCAGTGTTTTGTTGTGCATGCGTTCTGTATCAGTGAGTCAGTGTTTTGTTGTGCAGGCGTCCTGTATAAGTGAGTCAGTGTTTTGTTGTGCAGGCGTACTGTATAAGTGAGTCAGTGTTTTTTTGTGCAGGCGTTCCGTATCAGTGAGTCAGTGTTTTGTTGTGCAGGCGTTCTGTATCAGTGAGTCAGTGTTTTGTTGTGCAGGCATTCTGTATCAGTGAGTCAGTGTTTTGTTGTGCAGGCGTTCTGTATCAGTGAGTCAGTGTTTTGTTGTGCAGGCGTTCTGTATCAGTGAGTCAGTGTTTTGTTGTGCAGGCATTCTGTTTCAGTGAGTCAGTGTTTTGTTGTGCAGGCGTTCTGTATCAGTGAGTCAGTGTTTTGTTATGCAGGCGTTCTGTATCAGTGAGTCAGTGTTTTATTGTGCAGGCGTTCTGTATCAGTGAATCAGTGTTTTGTCATGCAGGTGTTCTGTATCAGTGAGTCAATGTAGTGAGTCAGTGTTTTGTTGTGCAGGCGTTCTGTATCAGTGAGTCAGTGTTTTGTTGTGGAGGCGTTCTGTATCAGTGAGTCAGTGTTTTGTTGTGCAGGCGTTCTGTATCAGTGAGTCAGTGTTTTGTTGTGCAGGCGTTCTGTATCAGTGAGTCAGTGTTTTGTTGTGCAGGCGTTCTGTATCAGTGAGTCAGTGTTTTGTTGTGCTGGCGTTCTGTATCAGTGAGTCAGTGTTTTGTTGTACAGGCGTTCTGTATCAGTGAGTCAGTGTTTTGTCATGCAGGCGTTCTGTATCCGTGACGAGAAGGGGAAGCAGCTCAACTGTCGCCTGATGCACCTGCGCCGCTACTTCAGTCGCATCATGAGCAAGACACGCATGCTGCTGGAGACGGTGTGTAAATACCTGGAGAGCAAGGAGAACCACTCCGAGGTCACCACCATCGTCAGGGAGGACTTTGTACGTACATGTCACACAGTATTCATTCCCTGCTTTAAACATAAACTGGGTAGGGTGGGGTAGCGATTAGTGACCATGTATTTAAAAAAAACACTGGAAAAAAATGTGTTTGGATTATATTTAGTCATGTTTACAAAATACACAATTGCAGGATCTTCCAGAGGTAGCCTTCAAAAGGCTGATCAAGGACAAATCGTTCTTCGTGGTGCAAGATGTACCATACCGCCAGTTCTACCCTGATGCCCCAGAAGAGGAGTTTCTCACAAAGCAAGTCTATACTTACCCTGCTCATACAAAGTCTAAAGTCATTGCAACATATTAAACACTAATTGTCAAGATGTCTGTCCACACAGGCTGGCATACTGACGTGTATGGGTCAGATGACAAGATGGTTATCAGCCAATCAGTTAGCTGGATTATATTACTAGTAATGACAAATATATATACATGTATCGTTTGTGTTAATACATGACCGCCAATACAATACTTGTATCATGGCATAGAGTGTCGCGATGCACCGAATATTGTAAATATGTGAATCGTTACCCTCCTATAAACATCTTTTCGTGCTATTTTGTGACTGAACAAATGTACGATGGAGCATTAATCCACTTGCACACATGCAGTCCTGTCGTGACCAGGAAATAGTTTTGACAGGTCGATGCCGTTTTTCTGTCAGGTCATTCCTGAAGGAGCGGAACCTGAAAGTCATCAAGTTGGTGAAGCCATTCAAGGAGGAAGTAGATGATGACGATGATGACGAGGAAGATGACAGGGTTGCAGGTGAGCTGATGGTGATTATAGGACCAGGTCATAGGGGGTTGACCAGTGTTCGGGTTTGGGTGATCCATAGTATTTCAAAGTCCTTTATCTCATGTTTCATGGATTTCACCTTTCAAATTATCAGAAACCAATTGTAGATATGATGAACTGACCGTTTTATGTTTTGGCGATGGGAAACAGTTATCTATTACAAGTTTTCTACACTTCATATGTTTACCCCGTCGTCCTTAGCAACCAATGGTGGTCGTAAGAGCAACTTGGATGACACTGCACTCAGACTCGGATTGTTGCTTTTATAAGTAATATCAATCACTGGATTGTCTTGTCCAGATTTGAATATATAATGGACTGCCATCTTAAAGCTGGAATATTGCCGAGTGCACATTTAACAACAAATTACTTTTATTATGTTTGCGTCTGACTTTCTATGTATTTGGTCAGACGTGTCAGATTTGAATACGAAAATTGGTTATCACTTCCCCCTCAGATTATGCAGCGGTGCCGTGGTTGTATGAGCGGCCACTTCTTCAGCAGGCAATGATGCATTTTGAGAAGGCGGGTGCGCAGGGGTTGATGCAGACACAGCTGCAGTCGTTGATGACCCTGCCCCGTCTCGAGTGTCGCACCATTGTACGCAACCTCCTCAAGTGTGGGGTCATCACCAGTGTCATGAAAAGTTTCGGCAAACAGAGAACTTCAATGTAAGTCAGACCCATCATTGTGTCCCATGTTAGTAGGATGTGCAGCAGTCTGTCACACCTGTTCATGGTATGACTACACCCGTGAATATCCGGGGTAGAATAGGTCTTCAGCCACCCATGCTTGTCATAAAAGGCGACAATGCTTGTCGTTAGAGACGACTAACGGGATCGGGCGGTGAGGCTCACTGACTTGATCATGCATGTCATCGTATCCCAATCGAGTGGATTGATGTTCATGATGTCAATCATTGGATTGTCTGGTCCAGACTCGATTATTTACAGACTGCTGTCATATAGCTGGACTATTGCTGAGTGCGGCGTTAAACAACAAACATGGTATAACAGGGATGTTTAGACAAAAGTGGATCAACCTGTTGCGACAGTGTGTTTGTGCCACCCTGTCAAATGATCCTATGATTAAAGGCAAAACACTGCTCATCCACACACTGTAAATGTTGAGTGGCAGCAGCAGACGTGCTGATGCTTAATGAATATTTTACAATACCTATTTAAATTAACTTGGGGGCTCTCGGTTGCTCACAACCTCATTTTGGCATTTACACTTCACCCAATGGCAACAATAACATGGAGTGAACTAAGTATCCCCCAAGTAGTACAGGGCACATAGCTGGGATAGTCCGGGTCCACGACCCCAGGGCACACATTCGCGGGATAGTCCGGGTCTGAGACCCCAGGGCATCAAATCCCACGAGATAGTCTGGGTCTTCGACCCCACGACAACGCATCTCGGGCTGTGGTCCTATACTACCCTACCTTTAAATGCAACAGAGTCTGCCTCCAAATTTTTGCCAAATATCGTATTAAAATAAATATATTCCATTTACTCCTTTTTGTGTTGTTACTGCACAAACTATTTAAATTCAAAAGCTTATTCTGAATCGTGGGGGCATGTGCTGCAATGTGCTGTACAGAGTTGCATCCCTTAGCCATGCCAGCATCTTATGACCATGGGTTAGAATCCTGGTTCGTCCAAATTATGTTTCTTGGTTTGTGAGCACCATACCAGTGCTTGTAGGTTCCACCAAAGTGGTAAACGTCTAAGACCTGCTTTCTTCCCAGGTCATGCTGTGATATGACTGAAATACTGTTGAAAGCTGGGTAAACCCAGTTCACTCTTTCTAACGTGTGTGTTCAAAGGAAATGTTTACTTATTGTTTCAGTCTGATAGCTACCAAGTTTTACAATGCGAGCAAGCTGAGCCAAGAGTTTGACATTGAGAAGAGTCGCCTGATGGAACACATGCAGGGGGAGATTCTGTCAGCAGGTTGGTGGGATACACCATGTTTATCAGGGAAATAACATGGGTAGAATCAGACCTGTCTCTAGGAACACATGCAGGGGGAGATTCTGTCAGCAGGTTGGTGGGATACACCATGTTTATCAGGGAAATAACATGGGTAGTATCAGACCTGGCTCTAGGAACACATGCAGGGGGAGATTCTGTCAGCAGGTTGGTGGGATACACCATGTTTATCAGGGAAATAACATGGGTAGTATCAGACCTGGCTCTAGGAACACATGCAGGGGGAGATTCTGTCAGCAGGTTGGTGGGATACACCATGTTTATCAGGGAAATAACATGGGTAGTATCAGACCTGGCTCTAGGAACACATGCAGGGGGAGATTCTGTCACCAGGTTGGTGGGATACACCATGTTTATCGGGGAAATAACATGGGTAGTATCAGACCTGGCTCTAGGAACACATGCAGGGGGAGATTCTGTCACAGGGTTGGTGGGATACACCACGTTTATCAGGGAAATAACATGGGTAGAATAAGACCTGGCTCTAGGAACACATGCAGGGGGAGATTCTGTCACCAGGTTGGTGGGATACACCATGTTTATCAGGGAAATAACATGGGCATTGCATCTATACGAAAGTAAACATTTTTATAATGAAGAAAATCATGTTTTTTCCCCCATTTGCCAGCCAAGGACACTTAGTTTGGAATCCTAGATAAATCCAAGTAAACCCCAAATCACTTGCGAAATCTCTCCAGTGAACAGTAATCAAGTCCTGTGTCTTCCCCTTGCAGATGACAGCATAGCTGAGGTCGTGACAGACATGGAGAAATCGCAGACTGAGGCAATCGATGTCGATACCTCGGCTAGTCTGAAGCCAGACGTGACGACTATCAGTGTGTCCGTTGTCAGCACCCCAGAAGCAGATGCCACTAAAACTCCTCCTGGAAAAGCAGTGAAGCGGAAGGCAAAACACCCCAAGAGTGGATCACCGGCTGCCAAATCTCCCAAATCATCCATTTCCACCCCTGACGGCAACCTGTTGGACCTCAGTATGTACAGATAAATCATCATGTTGTGTGATGGAAAAAATGTCCACAGTTAATATTTACTATTGCGTTCATTGTTGAAAAACAATGTAATTTCAAATTACAAAAACAAATTTTAATATTTTCGATGGAATCCTTTCAAGGGCTGGTTTTGACTTCACACTTCAAGACATTAAGTCACTCACAAAGAAAAGGATGAAAAACAAATATCTGTTTGCAAGTAACACATTCTGACTGTCAATGCCATGTTTCAAAATTCATTGCCTAAGAGTGAGTGAGTATGTTTTATGCCCATTTTAGCAATATACCGGTGATAACATTGATTGGGGACACCAGAAGTGGGCTTCACATGTACCCATATGGGGAACTGAACCCGTGTCTACAACGTGATTAGAGAACGCTTGAACCACAAGGCTACCACCCACACCCCCCTGCCTAGGAACTATATCAGACTGTATCACCTGACTGTATATATGTTGTTGTGTTTGTTGTTTCATTCACAGATGTAACCCGGTTTCCTAATTTATTATCCATGTTGTACTAATAGATGTTCTGGGATGTACTGGGTCTATTCATTAACGACATTGGGGTTATCATTAATATGAACAGGCTGGTGACGTGTGCCACACTACACTTGGTTGCCAGTTGCATTACTGATGTCATTACCGGGCTCAGAATCCTTCAGCCAACAGTGCTATGAGGGTTTCAATGTCAACTGAAAATCAACCACTATCTCCATGAACAATGAGTGTTTGTCCTGCCTGAATAGAATTGTCAGTTATATGTGAGTGAGTGAGTGAGTTGGGTTTAACACCGCTTTTAACAGTATTCCAGTTATATCATGGCGTGTCAGCTTAATGTGGGAGGAAAGCCCGAAGTGATGCAGGTCTCAGACGTTAACCACTTCAGTGAAACCCACGAGCACAGGTATGGTGCTGACAAACCTAGAAACATCATCGGGGTGAACCGGGATTCGAACCCACAATCATAGGTTTCTGGCGTGCCCAAGGGATGCAACTCTGCACAGCGAATCGCGGCGCCTTGGATGACTGGGCCACCCGTGTCCCCTCAGTTATATGTGATACACAATCTACAGTAATCAGGATACTGGTCCAGACAGCCTTATGTTCTTGCATTCCACAGGCTAAGCAAATGGAATGAACTACATCCATTCTCTGCCCTGGTTGTAGCAGGGTTTTACTTTACCTACCAAACTAGGTCCTGGAGCCCTGGGGACCCCAAGGTTTAATTTCAAGGGTCCTTACAGGATATATGAATTTCAGGAATTTGTATTACTTGTGAAGTACTCGGGCAATGATTACTATTGTGCATCCTTAGGAATGCAGTAGATTATCTTCTGCATCCATTCAGTACATTTGTGTGTACTGGACTCATATTTCTGCGTTGTGTAAAATCCTGTTGTAGGCAGGTAGTATTTTTCTACTGGTGTCACATGTAGCCGGTGAAGTAAATAGCTTGAACAGCCTGATGTCTCAGTTAGTCTACAAGAGGAAACAGTTCAATGTACTATATATTTCAGAACATTTGACTGCCCTGAAGCTGAGGAGGGCAAACAAAATCCTTGACGCCTTGAAAGAAGCAAAGGTTTTTGAAAGTATTCCTGCCATCTACAAGGTGAGTCAGTGTGAGTCAGTGTAAATCAGTGTGAGTCAGTGGGAGTCAGTGTGAATCAGTGTGAGTCAGTGTGAATCAGTGTGAATCAGTGTGAGTCAGTGTGAATCAGTGTGAATCAGTGTGAGTCAGTGTGAATCAGTGTGAGTCAGTGTGAATCAGTGTGAGTCAGTGTGAGTCAGTGGGAATCAGTGTGAGTCAGTGTGAGTCAGTGTGAATCAGTGTGAGTCAGTGTGAATCAGTGTGAGTCAGTGTGAGTCAGTGTGAGTCAGTGTGAATCAGTGTGAGTCAGTGTGAATCAGTGTGAGTCAGTGTAAATCAGTGTGAGTCAGTGTGAGTCAGTGTGAATCAGTGTGAATCAGTGTGAATCAGTGTGAGTCAGTGTGAGTCAGTGGGAATCAGTGTGAGTCAGTGTGAATCAGTGTGAGTCAGTGTGAATCAGTGTGAGTCAGTGTGATTCAGTGTGAGTCAGTGTGAATCAGTGTGAGTCAGTGTGAGTCAGTGTAAATCAGTGGGAGTCAGTGTGAATCAGTGTGAATCAGTGTGAGTCAGTGTGAATCAGTGTGAGTCAGTGTGAATCAGTGTGAGTCAGTGTGAGTCAGTGTGAATCAGTGTGAATCAGTGTGAATCTGTGAGTCAGTGTGAATCAGTGTGAGTCAGCGTGAGTCAGTGTGAGTCAGTGTGAATCAGTGTGAGTCAGTGTGAATCAGTGTGAATCAGTGTGAGTCAGTGTGAATCAGTGTGAGTCAGTGTGAATCAGTGTGAATCAGTGTGAGTCAGTGTGAATCAGTGTGAGTCAGTGTGAATCAGTGTGAATCAGTGTGAGTCAGTGTAAATCAGCGTTTATCAGTGTGAATCATTTACTTCTGAAATTCTTGCTTCTTCCTGAACAACCTGTAAATGTCATGTAGAAGACTGTGAATGCTGTGGAAATGGTCATTACTTTGGAACTGATCTAACTCTTTTCTTCATCTGGACGTTATAGCTAGATGCTGGTGTATACTGACATGTAGTTGATGATGTTGCTAAATGTTGGTGTATACTGACATGTAGTTGATGTTGGTGCTAAATGCTGGTGTATACTGACATGTAGTTGATGATGTTGCTAGATGCTGGTGTATACTGACGTGTAGTTGATGATGTTGCTAGATGCTGGTGTATACTGATGTGTAGTTGATGATGTTGCTAAATGTTGTTGTATACTGACATGTAGTTGATGATGTTGCTAGATGCTGTTGTATACTGACATGTAGTTGATGATGTTGCTAGATGCTGATGTATACTGACATGTAGTTGATGATGTTGCTAGATGCTGTTGTATACTGACATGTAGTTGATGATGTTGCTAGATGCTGATGTATACTGACATGTAGTTAATGATGTTGCTAGATGCTGCTGATGACGGAGGCGGATGAGGGATGTACAGAGAGAATGGACAGGAAGACAATGACCCAACTCATCAACTGGCTAAAGGCCAACGGCAAAATCAAGATTATTAAGTCCATTGTTCAGCAAGAAGATCAGGTCCTTGAGGTTTGGAATCCAACATTTATAACTTGTCTTTGTAAGGCTTTCATAAGAAAAACAACAGCTGTTTCATGACAGGGCTTCACCTGACCCAAAATATGGTGTCCCTCCTGTGATGCAGATAATATTCACTGCGAGTTCCACTGAACACAAAAGTGTATGGATGTTGAAATGATTGACATTAATTAAATTGAACATGAACATACAATTTATCTGATGTCTAAGATCAGAAAAACAGTCAGGTTTTGGACAGTCTGCGACAGATTTACTTGCCTCAACTTGGTTCAAACAATGAAATCACCATGTATGATAAGCCTAAAGCATCACACATAGTTCATATTGTATGCTGTGCTCTAGGATCACCATTTTAATGCCTAGGACCCCAACAAAATGTATTACCTAAATTTCCCAGGACCATTGTCAAATCCTTGTTAATTACTACAGTTTTGAGATCAATTGTAACTATGGTAATATTAGAGATGATAAATAAGTTCTGTCTGAATGTATGCATGGTGTGATAAATTTCAGTTATAATAATGGTCTGATGTCCCTCAGTTGATGCTCACATGTTCTGATTCCACTGGAGTTTGTGTGTAATAATGGTCTGATTCCACTGGAGTTTGTGTGTAATAATGGTCTGATTCCACTGGAGTTTGCGTGTAATAATGTCCTGATTCCTCTGAAATTTGTGTGTAATAATGGTCTGATATCCTTCAATTGATACTCACTTGTTCTGATTCAGCTGGAGTTTGTGTGTTCGCCAGACGTGCAGCCTCAGGACCAGATAATCAAAACCTTCATCGATCACGCCAAGATGAAGAATTTTGGGATGAAGAAGAAACATGGCAGCAAGTCATCGAGGGGTGATCCAACACTGGTGCGTGGGGAAATACTGTTGTGTAGCTTTGTGTATGCCAGATCTGCTTTGACAGTATCACAAGATCTTTCTGCCTCATTTGGTCTCAGATTAACATTTTTTGTTGTTTCACAGACATTTCTTAGAAGTTGACGGATGACAAAGTAGACAATTATGGATAACAACTTTTTTTTATACAGTAATAGCGACGTTTCGGTATAGATCATTATTATATATGTAGCGGCCATAAAATTTCCGAGTCCCGTGATGGGATTCGAACCACAGACCTTCTACATTGGCGCCCAACGTGGGGCTGAGCACGTTCATATTAAATTTGAGCCAAATAAGCCTCAGTACCCTACTAGCTTGCTGACAGGGTTAACCTCTTTGGTCATGTGGACAAGGCGTCCGACCTCGAATCAGAAGGTCCGTGGTTCGAATCCCATCACAGGACTCGGAAATTTTATGGCCGCTACATATATATAAGTCATGGAGGTTGATGGAGAGGATTTGGATGTTTTCCCAGTTGATGTTGTGAGTATGGTTTTATGATGCTTTTAGCAACAAACCAGCAATATTCCAGCAATATCACGGCAGGGGACACCAGAAATGGGCTTCACACATTGAACCCGTGTCGGGAATCGAAAACAGCAAATGCTTTAACCACTATAGGCTACCTAACCTCCCCATTTTCAGTGTAGAGCTAGGTTACCTGTACATTTAAGGGTGGTGTGTCAGATGTTAAATAAAGCACAGATAAATCAACAGGTAACCTGTTTCTACATTAAGAACACAGTATGTTTATCTCCATTCTATGATGTGAACTTTTGTCAGCAAAACACTCTTTGGTGTTAGCAAAGATATTGAGTGAAGTGTAAATTATGGAAATATGACGATAGCCTTTAAAAAAAGTATTGCGCTGTATGTGCATAAACATTGTGGTACATTGTAATACTTTACTCACATATATGATAGGTATTGAAAGTGTGTAGCACAGCTAATTTGTAAGCCAACACGAAGCAGAAAGCTGTTCCCTCACCCTCCCTCTCGCCAAACTGTGTAGGAAGCTCTTCCTTCACCCTCCCTCTCGCCAAACTGTGTAGGAAGCTCTTCCTTCACCCTCCCTCTCGCCAAACTGTGTAGGAAGCTCTTCCTTCACCCTCCCTCTCGCCAAACTGTAGGAAGCTCTTCCTTCACCCTCCCTCTCGCCAAACTGTGTAGGAAGCTCTTCCTTCACCCTCCCTCTCGCCAAACTGTGTAGGAAGCTCTTCCTTCACCCTCCCTCTCGCCACACTGTGTAGGAATCTGTTTCCTCACCTTCCCTCTCGCCAAACTGTGTAGGAAGCTCTTCCTTCACCCTCCCTCTCGCCAAACTGTGTAGGAATCTGTTTCCTCACCTTCCCTCTCGCCAAACTGTGTAGGAAGCTCTTCCTTCACCCTCCCTCTCGCCACACTGTGTAGGAATCTGTTTCCTCACCTTCCCTCTCGCCAAACTGTGTAGGAAGCTCTTCCTTCACCCTCCCTCTCGCCAAACTGTGTAGGAATCTGTTTCCTCACCCTCCCTCTCGCCAAACTGTGTAGGAAGCTCTTCCTTCACCCTCCCTCTCGCCAAACTGAGTAGGAATCTGTTTCCTCACCTTCCCTCCACTATTTGCAGCATCTGCCACCAGATCTTCCCGAGAGTCTTCGAGAGAGCATCATGAAGTTCCGCGAGTATCGTAGCAAGCTGAAGGTGGAGGAGATGGTGTATGACCCGGTAGTGTAAACATTTAAACATTTACTGAATCAGTAGTGAGGGACCAGGAACCAGATAATTTGTCCCCAGAATTTACAGCATTAATTCATGAGGAATTCTGTAATACAGACTTTCAAGTTTGTTTTTGTATATATTACGTAGTCATTTAAGCCAAGAAAATGAAGAAAATATAGGTAATGTTAACCCTACAGAAAACCTGACTAGACTCAGCATGTTGTTCACAAATTGTGACGTCATGAAAAATGGATGACGTCATGTCATATTGTTCTCAACAGCAAAGTAATATGATGTCATATCGCTCGACTGACCATTGAACAATGAGAATCGCTATAGAGCATTTGTGTAAATATCAGTTAGGACATGCAATCTTTCTATCCTAATGAATAATATTATTTTGTTTTATATTAATTTTGTTGTGTTGTCACTGCATCATTGGACTGTCCTCTGTTTCAGAGTGCACTGCTACAGATAATATGAGTCCTCAGTTTCTTGGTTTCAATTCTCTGTGTTTTGTCTGCAGAAGGAATGTTTGTTGATGACAGCATTGTGTTTCAGAGTGCACTGCTACAGATAATATGTGTTTTGTCTGCAGAAGAAATGTTTGTTGACGACAGCATTGTGTTTCAAAGTGCACTGCTACAGATAATATGTGTTTTGTCTGAAAGAAGGAATGTTTGTTGATGACAGCATTGTGTTTCAGAGTGCACTGCAACAGATAATATGTGTTTTGTCTGAAAGAAGGAATGTTTGTTGACGACAGCATTGTGTTTCAGAGTGCACTGCTACAAATAATATGTGTTTTGTCTGCAGAAGGAATGTTTGTTGATGACAGCATTGTGTTTCAGAGTGCACTGCTACAGATAATATGTGTTTTGTCTGAAAGAAGGAATGTTTGTTGACGACAGCATTGTGTTTCAAAGTGCACTGCTACAGATAATATGTGTTTTGTCTGAAAGAAGGAATGTTTGTTGACGACAGCATTGTGTTTCAAAGTGCACTGCTACAGATAATATGTGTTTTGTCTGAAAGAAGAAATGTTTGTTGACGACAGCATTGTGTTTCGGAGTGCACTGCTACAGATAATATGTGTTTTGTCTGCAGAAGGAATGTTTGTTGATGACAGCATTGTGTTTCAGAGTGCACTGCTACAGATAATATGTGTTTTGTCTGCAGAAGAAATGTTTGTTGACAACAGCATTGTGTTTCAGAGTGCACTGCTACAGATAATGTGTGTTTTGTCTGCAGAAGAAATGTTTGTTGACAACAGCATTGTGTTTCAGAGTGCATATATGAAGTACAACTTCCTGCCAAAGGTGAAGCGACACAAGATGGTGTATGAGTACCTCCACTACCTCCTGTACGGCTACGCTGGCCACCTTGTTGATCAGTCAGATTCTACCGAGGCCTCAGCTCTGAGTCAGGACGATGAGTCAGGGGACACAGGAGCGAAGGTACACACCCTTTGTGACTTTATGACTATAAATAATGAGTGTGTGAACAGGTATGGCTTTGGGACATTTTAAGCAATATTCCAATTTTTCAAAAGTCTAGACATTTTGCATGAAATAGTTAACTTTCATTGAGAAGATATCAAATGAAAATATGATTTTCACTTCTCACTGTCCTTGTTTTCACTCATCAGTCAGACGAACAGAGTCACCTGTCTGTCCATGAACAGATCGAGGCCATGAAAGAACCGCCACTTTATCTGGATGATTTGACATGGAAACGGTACCTGGCGCCACTTCGGTCTAACCATGGTATGTAGTCAGTAAGATGAAGGGTGTGGAGTTTATGTTGTGTTGAGAGTTGTTATCTTGTTAGCTGCAAGTTTTGGAATATTTCCTAAAAATATATGTTTTCTCAGAGCTACAGGATAAGCTTTTGGCTATTTGGGTATTTTACCCAGGGGTTTAATTTTGATTGGGTATCCACAAGTTTTAGAGAGTATTCAAATTTTATTTACCCACCTGTTTCTTGACATTTGGGTATTTCACTTAAAACCTGTTTCGTAACAATCCCTGTAAATCATTTGAAACTATATGAATAGTAGTATACCCGTCAGCGTCTGCTTGGGGCTCCCTGTCCGGAAATCCATATTTTTGTTTACAAAACCTAGCATTGTAAGAAAGTTGCTTTTGTTTTAATTACCAATCAGCGACTAATTAAAACACTATATGTACATTGACTAGGCATGGTGGGCTTTTCAATTGTCATCTATCAGTATGTTTGTCACAGAAGCTTTTCCAAATGTACCGTAACTGTCGATGAGTGAATTTGGCGATCGGCTGATACACAATCACTTTATCTAACAGTTGTAGTAAATACAATTGTTTTGTTTAATCGTTGTAATAAACGCATTAATTTTATTTCAATAGTGTATTTATAATTGTTGTTGCGTATTTCATATGCTAGGATTTGATTTGTTGACATATTTTAGTTTATTTAATGCGTATTTTATGCAAATATGCAGCTTATCTTGAGCTCTGTTTCCTGCCTTGTTTGTAGGACATGGCCAGGGTTGGTTTTTGATGAGTGACGTGCTTGTGCTGATGCCTCTGGTTGTCTACTGCAAGGTCGTCAGTCTGCCATACAAGGTCAGTCATACTGCTGTAATTGCTCTGTAATGTAAAACAATGTTCACACATTTATTGGTAATGTTATGTTACGTCTTATACTGACAGCCATTAATCAAATCACAAAGCTTTTTATGGGTAATATTGGCTAATACCCCTTCATTCAATGAGTTGCCATCTTGGTAGGTCTGTGCTGAGTTGTGGACCTTTGTTGTTCCAGGATCCACTGTTCCACTCCAGCCCAAATACTATAAATCTTGAAATTAACGTGAACGTGAATTAAAAGCGAAAAATGCGAGTGGTCTTTGCTCGCATTATTAAACATCACATTTATATCAACAATAAGACATTTCGGGTAGCAGAAATACCAACTTTGACATATGCTTTAAAAACAAACAACTATGTATTCCACATCACTGTTAATTGAGCAGCACTTGTAACAAGTATATAAACAATGTCATTCAAACACTAATTACATCCTGTGAATTGTCACTGCTGGGCCAAGACAAGAGTTCTACTCACTTATGTCATCACTGATCACACCTGCAAGTCAAGACAGACGCAGGGGCATGGGTGGCCCAGTCGTCTAAGGCGCCGCGATTCGCTGTGCAGAGTTGCGTCCCTTTGGCATGCCAGAAACCTATGATTGTGGGTTCGAATCACGGTTCGCCCCGATTATGTTTCTAGGTTTGTCAGCACCATACCTGTGCTTGTTGGTTTCACCGAAGCGGTAAACGTCTGAGACCTGCATCAAGCTGACATGCAACGATATAGCTGGAATACTGTTAAAAGTGGCGTTAAACCAAACTCACTCACCCAGACAGACGCCACCCGCGCAACACAGTGTCTTTGTTCTTTGCGACTGCATCAAAGGCTGACACAAGCCAGCGTGCATGTATCGTTTTGGCGGAAGTACTCAACTCAGCGCTAATAAGCGGTGTTATTTGGTGTGTGATTGGATTATTGTAAGGTTTAATTAAGGTGAGGATTTTCCTGTATTTTCTTTAGATATAAATCCACTGATGCTTGAGAGGAGGGGGTTGTCGCAATCATATTAAGTCACATTTTTGGCTAGGGGCCAGCGGTTGCATTCTTTTGGAGACGCATTAATTTCACGATTTACAGTACTGAACTCACTCCACTCCACATACTGAACTCACTCACATTCTATTTACAGATTGATGGTCTGATTGAGATGCTGGACCACCCTAAGAAGCGGTTCTACCCAGTGGTGTGCCTCCCGCCCTCCATCAGACAGCAGGTGCTGTTCGCGCGGCGCTACACACAGTCCTTCCACGACAGCTGCTACCAGCTCTGCCTCATGGGGCTGCTGTCATTTGGGCCGCAGGTCTTCAAAGATAAGGACAAGGTGACTTATTTTCCTGTCAAATGTATGTGTTGAACTTACATTTACAGTCAGTGATAATCAAGTGAATAAGAAGTTGATGTACAAGTAAAAAAATTATAGCATATCGATAAATTGATATTTTGTTGCAAATCAAATTTCTAATGTTTGCAGTAAATGATTAGGAAAAAGGTTTTGTGTTGTATTGAGGTCTAATGACATTGAGTTATCGATGTATCAGCGAATAATTTCATCCATTAAAGAATGTGGTGTCACAAATTCATTCAGTATCCTCTGAAACTTATGAAAATGGGGATGTAGGTAGGGATGTCATTGTATATCTCTCTGTCGATGTAGCGGTAAATTCTTAATGTTGATGCGGTATTGATACAAAATAGTGAATTGATAAATTGCAAGTCTACATAGGGATTTTTTTCATGCACATACAGAGTCATTATTTTTATTTTGAATCAGTACATCAATATATTTTGATACTTTTGAGTTGATATATGTCAATTCTAAAAGTTCCAATGAAAGACACCATTTATGGAAAGTCAGGGCGGGAATGATTCAATGTGGATGCATTGTGATTAGGGCTGGGACGGGTAACTCTGATACCCGGGTCGAGTGGGTACTGAGTAGGACCCGGGTACCCACAGGACTACCCGGACCTGTGGTTGGTCACGTGATATAATTGTTTAATGACAAAAATTATCTAGAACTCTATGGTTACACTACAAGTCACTAATGTTCGCGTTTCTTTCTGACTATGCACCCATTCCTTCTGATTTTTCATATGGTTGAATAAAGATATAACTTAAGTCGACTTCAGTGTATACATGACCATGATTGTTTAATACATGTATCTAAATACGTTTTGCAAGTGCTGTGGTAAAACAATTCCCAATCGGACATTTTGTATCTCTTGAGACCTACAGTGGGTGCGATATCGATATGCCTAAAAAAATAAAAGAATTGGTTCTCAGGCAATGTCTTTTGAAAATAAAGTGTGGATGGGAGGTGTTTTTTTGTTTGGTTGTTCAAACTAGTGTGTACAATTAATCTAAATCAACCTGGGAAAGGGCCTTCCTACATAAATGTATTCCTTGATGAGTAAAATACTGGAATACAGTATTTGACTACCATTGGACTACCAATAAATGCATACTACACTCATACAGTGAGCGTTAATTTTATTTTACAACGCGAAGACAATATGGTGAGCACAAATAACTGGACGAAGATCTGTACTGAAGTACGCGAGTTAGTCCTATTATTACATTAGTCCTATTATTACACTCTCTGGCTGTAAAAGTGTTCATTGTAGTATATCGACTTACATTTGTAATCCATTGTAATAAATTTATCCAAGATTCTACCATGACTACCTGAAATACTTGAATTTGATTGGACAATAAAAAAAAAAAAAAATTCGGCATAATCAATTTGGATTGAAAATGCATCTGATTTAATGACTGCTTCACTGCGCATTTATATAACACAGTCTGCTTTCTACGAACTTCCCCGCAAAACTGTCACTGTTGGTGATCCCTGTTGGTACACTTTAAAACCACTTGGCCACAATCCTCTGTCACAAATAATGAAATGTTTGAAATTCTGGCATGTTATTTCCCCTAACTCACACATACATGTTTGCTTTGTGGCAGTGTTTTATGTTCCTTCAAAAGAAGGCTCTCCTGCTGGACACAAGGACATCCATCATTGCCTACTGCAAGACCACCCCAGAACTGGATGTATCCTTCAAGGAGCAATACTACACACTCAACACAGATGAGGATGTCCACACTTACTGGTGTGACCTGGAGGTCATTGCCCTCAACTCCAACCTCGGCTACAAGGGAGGTAAGTGCTGTTGATGATGAGTGAGTGAGTGAGTTTTACGCCGCTTTTAGCAATATTCCAGCAATATCACGGCGGGGGACACCAGAAATAGGCTTCACACATTGTACCCATGTCGGGAATCGAACCCGGGTCTTCGGCGTGACGAGCGAACGCTTTAACCACTAGGCTACCCGACCACCCCTTGTTGAGGATGATGATCTATATAGATTAAAAGTCTATATATGTCATGAAATAGTTAGCGTTCGTTGAGAAAATATAATAAAATGTGGAAAATTATATCCATTTGTGTATTTATCCTTTGTTTTCAATGGATGTGGAGGTCCATGTGCAGACAGTAAAGCCTTATGAATAGCTGACGATACGGTCACTTTGATGTGTAAAAATATATCGTCATACTCCTCACTCCAGCAGTAGCATAATTTTAGATATTTTTAAGTTTTAAGTTGTTTTATTATAATTATACAAAACAATATGTAGATTTAACTAAAAAGGCCTCCTTTAAGCTAGGCTGCTCTCATTTCGGAATAAATGTGTTTGTTTACAAACAAGAGAAATGTTCCTTCTCGTTATATGCAAATTAGCTTGTGGCAGTAGTGCAATGCTAACTCATCACTGCACCGGAGTAGAACACTTCGTACAGTAAGTCTCTCTGCTCTGCTTGCTTCAGTGTTGGACAACGAAGACGACACAGAGCCAAGCTTCTCCCTGGTGGACGCCCTAACTAATGTCAAGTTCCAGGAGGACCCCCCCATCCCATACCTCCCGGGGGACCGGCGTGGTGCTTCGGGCTTCGACTCCAGCCTATTCCTGTAAGTCAATTGAAACACACTCTCTTTCAGGAGCTACGAGACTTGGTAATAACTTTCCTGTATTTGCAGGTGCAAGTGTGCATTTTAGATTCTTAATTCTGATTGGACAAATGAAGCCATATGACATCACAGTGCTTCATCGTTGAGAAAAATACGATATGACGTCATCCATTGTTCATGACATCACAGGGGCGGTCGGGTAGCCTAGTGGTTAAAGCGTTCACTCGTCATGCCTAAGACCTGGGTTCGATTCCCGACATGGGTACAATGTGTGAAGCCCGTTTCTGGTGTCCCCCGCTGTGATATTGCTGGAATATTGCTAAAAGTGACGAAAACCATACTCACTCACTCATGACATCACAAATTGATTACATGACGTCATCTGAACAATAGGCTGCCTTCATAAACGTTTCGCTCCAGGGTTTGCATTTCATACATTTTTTCTTCATTTTCCCTCTTAAAATGTCAGTGAGTAATAGATAGAGTTATCCACACGAAACTCGGATTTACGCATTATTTATCCCCTGTGAATGAATGATGTACGTCCCTTGTCAAAGGCTCGGAATTAACACATTCATTTACTCGAGACAGATAATCATAATTCCTCATAGTTCATTGGTTATTCTCTAATGAATCATTCAAACACCATTTTAATTATTCGCTGACTCCTGTGTTGAGAAACAGACCGATCCAGCAGTTTATGTTTCCCCTAATTAGACAGTGTATCATGACACCAAGTACAGACACCGGAGCATTGTCCATGTTTAACATTCCGGGGGTACCATATAGTTGTATCCAGCAGTTGATGATTCCCCTAATTAGACAGTGTATCATGACACCAAGTACAGACACCGGAGCATTGTCCATGTTTAACATTCCGGGGGTACCATATAGTTGTATCCAGCAGTTGATGATTCCCCTAATTAGACAGTGTATCATGACACCAAGTACAAACACTGGAGCATTGTCCATGTTTAACATTCCGGGGGTACTATATAGTTGCATAGTCAAGCTGCTGTGCAGAGTTGCGTCCCTTAGGCGAGGCAAGATCATTTAATTAGAGGTTTGAATCCAATATTTTCATGATTATGATCATTGGTTTGTTGGCATGCTTATGGGTTTCCCTAAGTAAACAAATATGGAACTCTGATCGCTATTGTCTTCAGCTGAAGGAACATGGGACAATGTATGGGAGGGTGTTTGGTAGCTAGGCGGGCGGGGATGAAAATGTAATAAAATTAATTTATCATGGCCATATTTTTACAAAATCGTATTGTATTGCATTGTATTTGCATTGTATTTGAATTGTATTGTATTGTATTTGTTTTGTTTTGAATTGTATTGAATTTGTATTGTATTGTATTGTATTGTATTTGTATTTGTATTTGTATTTGTTTTGAATTGTATTGTATTGTATTGTATTGTATTTGTATTTGAATTGTATTGTATTGTATTTGTTTTGTTTTGAATTGTATTGTATTTGTTTTGTTTTGTATTGTATTGTATTGTATTGTATTGTATTGTATTGTATTTGTATTGTATTTGTATTGTATTTGTGTTGAATTTGTAATGTATTGGGCCCACCATTGCTGTTATGCAGCCATCTCATCCGTAACTGGTCTCGTCCGGGGGAGGTGAGACGGAAGAAGCCAGACACACACAACGAGCTGGTCAAGAGGCGAGCGGCGCAGCGAACACGCAAAAAGAGTAAGCTTTCTTTCCTAGGAAAGAACTTCAGAAACTCATGTTCAGAGAAGGTTCAAAAGGAACAGCTGGCTGTAGATTCATGTTCATAATGGCTCTGTTTAGTTGTAGACTTGAAACGCTAATTACAACACAATTTTTCTCTATCCAACTCATAAAATTTATTTAAAAAATGCCAGGGGTCATTAAACGAGTAGTACATAATTTATTTCAGCAAGTGTATGTCTTGTATCGATACAGAGAGAAAAGCATCGTTTCGCCCCTAATGCCTTGTATGTGTGGACGTTATCTCATGTCTGCCGTAGGAGCTGACTAAGTTGGGGATTGGTTGGTCACACTCTGTTGTGTATGATTGTGCCATGAGTGTGCCCCTTCAAAGATGCTGGTTCTAATGGGCCTTCAACACATGCTTGTCTCAAGAGGCGACAAATACGATTGAAGGTCAGGCTCGCTGAGTTGGTTCCAATGTGATCCCAATTGCATAGATTGATGCTCATGTTGTCAGTCACTGGATTGTCTGGTCCAGACTCAATTATTTAGATATAACTGAATCCAGCATTAAACAACAAACAAACAAAACCTTGAATGCGGGGCATTGATCATGCAATTAACCAATGACTGTAGTCTTGTTTATTGCAAGCAACTTTGACATATGATATATAACTGGGGCTTATGGTTAAAAGGTGGTACTAGTCAACCCTGATCATGTCGATATGTTTCACGTGTCATCAAAAACACTGGTGTGCCTGGCCCGGACTTGCTTGTTCCCAGGGCGCCATGATGTTGCTTGAATATTGCTGAACGTAGCATACCTAAATGCATGTCCATTGTTCCTTCATTGATTCTACTGGTCAAGTGGGACGTTAGTGTAACTCCATCTTAGTTGTATTGCACTGTCAGTAACTGAACATTCAGATGTGTCTTTTGTTAAAATCAAGTGAAAACAGGGGGCACGGGTGGCCCAGTCGTCTAAGGCGCCACGATTCACTGTGCAGAGTTGCGTCCCTTGTGCTTGCCAGAAACCTATGATTGTGGGTTTGAATCACGGTTCGCCCCGATTATGTTTCTAGGTTTGTCAGCACCATACCTGTGCTCGTGGGTTTCACCAAAATGGTAAACGTTCTGAGACCTGCATCACTTCGGGTTTTCCTCCCACATTAAGCTGACACGCCGTGATATGACTGGAATACTGTTAAAAGCGGCGTTAAACCCAACTCACTCACTCACTCAAGTGAAAAGAGGTACAGTAAACTGCGGTTATAACAAACTCAAAGGGACCACTAATTTTAGTTTGTTATAACTGTAGTACAGCATACATAAGCAAATGGATGAGACCCCAAAATCCCAGTTCACTATATATATCTGTCAGGTCATTATAAGCGTGTTCGTTATAAACGTAGTTTACTGTATATGCATAACTTATTCGTCTCATTGTTTCTAGAAACAGGTGTTCAAGAGAGGAATGAAGGTGGGAGATTGAAGTTCCTGTCAACGTCTCTCAGCAAGCGCCTACCGCGATTAATCCCACAACAACAGCTGGGCATGATGGGACCTTTCAGTTAGTAGCACTCTGTATTCTTCAGTCATATATTTACACACACACACACACACACACACACACACACACACACACACACTCTTGAAATTAGCAGACATTTACCGATTGGCATGAGGAATGAATAACACGAAACATGTGACAAACAAACAATGAGAAAATAAAGTAATTACATTACCTTTAGTATTGATCATTATTGACAATACTGGCATGGTTGTTAATTTATTTTAATTTAATTAATTTAATTAAATTATATTATACATTTATATACCGCAGGTATCCAGGTAATAGTATCTGCTCAAATGTGGTTTTATTTGTTCCCCGATCAGTGGATCTGTTTGCATTCCAGTTATCATTCTCAACTCCCTGGGGAGTATACAACCCAAGCTGCCTACAGGCGCTAAAAGGTTTTTTAACCCACCTCACATATCTGGTACCCGTTCCCTGCTGGGTGAACAGAGGCCCATTTGAACTTAGTCACTTGCCCAGGGTGACTCCAAACGTTTTGACACTTGTGTATGTACGTATTCGTGTGTCTACCATCGGGTCATCTACCATCAGACGAGTGAGTTCTTTTGAGTGCACAGGGTGTATGTACTGTACACTGGGGGTAGTGACTGTTGTAATATCGAGTAATGACTGCTCCCTATCATATCAGTCCAGTATAATAACTGATCCCTGTACATCCAGGCTTTTTAAGATCATGGCCTCCGAGAGTAAATATGTCAAGTCAGACGTGCTTCTTGTTGTCTCTGTAATTAGTGTTTGGATAACACAGGATATTGAAACAGTGACAACACTGTAAAGTCTTGTAAACATTGTTAGGCCTAGGGCTGAATAACAACCAATTAACATACAAAATATGTATACATTTATGTATTATTACCAGTATAAAATACATAAATATAATAAAACAAAACAGCTCAAATATTCCACTTTCACATCACAAGCTCATATAAAAGTCAACATGAAGTTAAACGAAATCGGAATTATATCTGAAGGAATTATTATAAAGAAGGAATATGCAGGACCAAGGTTTTACTTTGAGATAACTGTAAGTTCAACACATGTAAGTTTGACACAACAGTGTTATATGGCTGGAATATTGCTGAATTTGAGCAATATAAACTTTTGTTACTCTCCAACACTTTGATCACATGGAAATGTTTATGTATCTTTGTTTGTGTATCCAGCTGAAGACAATAAACCAACCATGTCTAAGAGGACTCGAGGAAACCGGGGTGGGAAGGGCGTGAAGAGGAAGCCTCTGGACAAATCTGCTGACGGTAATCACCTTCTGCAGAATAAGTAGCTCAAGGTTTATTCTTGTTTTCAGAGGGGTGTTGGAGCAGCCCAGTGGTTAAAGCGTTCGCCCGGGTCCGATTCCCCACATGGGTGCAATGTGTGTCCCCCTAATGATATTGATGGGGGCAGTGGGGTAGCCTAGTGCTTAAAGCATTCGCCCGGGTCCCCACATGGGTGCAATGTGCGAAGCTTGTGTCCCCCTTATGATATTGATGGGGGCAGCGAGGTAGCCTAGTGCTTAAAGCGTTCACTCATCATGCCGAAGACTCAGGTTTGATTCCCCACATGGATGCAATGAGCGAAGCTGGTGTCCCCCTAATGATCTTGATGGGGGCAGCAAGGTAGCCTAGTGCTTAAAGCGTTCACCCATCATGCCGAAGACTCGGGTTTGATTCCCCACATGAATGCAATGAGCGAAGCTGGTGTCCCCCTAATGATCTTGATGGGGGCAGCAAGGTAGCCTAGTGCTTAAAGCGTTCACTCATCATGCCGAAGACTCGGGTTTGATTCCCCACATGAATGCAATGAGCGAAGCTGGTGTTCCCCTAATGATATTGATGGGGGCAGCAAGGTAGCCTAGTGCTTAAAGCGTTCACTCATCATGCCGAAGACTCGGGTTTGATTCCCCACATGAATGCAATGAGCGAAGCTGGTGTCCCCCTAATGATCTTGATGGGGGCAGCAAGGTAGCCTAGTGCTTAAAGCATTCACTCATCATGCCGAAGACTCGGGTTTGATTCCCCACATGAATGCAATGAGCGAAGCTGGTCACCCCCTAATGATCTTGATGGGGGCAGCAAGGTAGCCTAGTGCTTAAAGCATTCACTCATCACGCCGAAGGCTCAGGTTTGATTCCCCACATGGGTGCAATGGTTGAAACCCAGGGACAGGGATGGGGTGACCTGTAGGGAACTCTCAAGTGTGACCAGAGGCCTGTTCTTAGCAATATTCGTGCCATGACAGTCATAAATCTGTGTTATCGTATGAGAGTTTTAGCATCTTAGCACTCCCTTATGGAACAGGCCCTGGTTTATTATTTGTCTTCTTTCCCTGACTGTAGATTGTTGCTCACACTATTAACCACTGGTTTGTCTGGTCCAAGTTTAGGAGATAAACCTTTTCAGTTTTGATGTAGTTCATTGTTGATTAAGCACTGCTAAATGACATTTACAACCGAACTCGTTATCTCCATTCTACCATGGCTAAAATGCCTTTTAAAAAAGACTCTTTTTCTTGCACAGTGCAGTGATGCAGTCAGAAATAGTTGTCACTCATTACCCACTTCAAGATTAGTAAAATTAACCAATCAAATTAGATTATCCTTCAATATCATGGTAGAGTTAGTTATTTACATTCTAGGGATGGAAATTAGCTCTAGCCCGCTAGCCTGGACAAAGACTTGTTAATGTTAAATGTATCCTAAGGGCCCACAGAATTTCAAACATTTTGAGAGGTATTGCTTTATGTTGTCACTTTTCAGGCTTGTAGACATTCTTGGTTAATTTCCATCACTGTATTCTTCCATGATATAGATGGAACATTGCAACTGCTGCAGAAAACAATCTTCAGCTTCACCTGAACTATATGGACGTCAAGATATAACCCCCTGTTATTGTTTGTGTCAATTAGGTGCGAAGAAGATGAAGATTCCCAAGCTGAGGACTGCTTTCAGGATCTCCAACAAAAACAGGAAGATCAGAACGAGGAAGCGACCCGAAGACAAGATACGTAAGTGGCAGGTCAAAGTTAAGGTTGGCACAGGCATGAAAAAGACCTTATAATTTGGTAAAATGGTTTGAAAAGAACTTGAATTTAGGAAGTCTGTTCAAATTGTGATCATTTTCATAAAAAGGCCTTAAAAACGCCTTAAATATGAATAAATAGCATATGAAAGCCATTTGTTACACTCAATTCTTTCTTTATTCCAAATTTAGTTTTTGAAAGTAGAAACATATTATTGCATCACTTTTAGAAACATTATATGCAAATCTAATAATTAATGATTTATTGGGTTCCTATTGGTAATTTTCCTTCATTTCCCTCCCTCCCTCCCTCACTCACTTCCTCATTCGATGTTTTTATATGTGCCAGGTAAGCGTACCTATGACGACATTGACCGGTCGGCTCTGGGCCTCATGATACAGGAGAGAGTGACCTGGACAGCGCGGGAAGACACAATAGTGAGTACATCAATAATGTCACATATCTATGTATCAGAGTTTGGGACCTGGCAAGGAAGGAGTAATAAGAGATGGAGGATGGGTATTAGTTGAAGTGGGTCATCGGAGTGTCGTGGGGTAATGGGTGATGTGGGTGGTAGTAGGGTAAAGGGTGATGTGAGTCAGTGGGGTGGGGTGAAGTAATGGGTGATGTAGGTTGTTCGGGTGTGGTGGGGGATTTTTTTTGTAAATGGCTGTGTGGTAGGGTAAAGTAGGTCAATGGGTGAATTGAGTCACTCAGAGTACATTGTTGTTGAGGGTGGGGAATGTATTGGGTGTTGTGTATCTTGTTGGATCTGTACATATGACAAACATCTCCTTCAGATACTGCTGTGCAAGACGGCCAGCCTGCTGCTGGCACGGCACCGTCGGGGGATGATCGTCCCGTGGACAGTGGTCCGTGACATCCTGCATGATGCTGTCCCTGTGAGTACTGTCTTGTCATGCACATAAAATAATCAAAAGTGGATTTATTTCCTGAACAAAACACAAAGCTGCATGGTGACCTTGACCTTCCCTCATGATGTTTGGGTACTTCTGGCCAAGCAGAACATGCTCACGTAATTTGAGCATTGGGACTATTGTATCATCAATAGTTTGAAATGGACTAACAATAGTCACCTTTATTATGATGCTGTTTCTTGTGAATAAGAATACCACTATTAGGCTTTCATGCTAAAGCTTTTTCTTGTCTGTAGGAGTCCAGAGACAAGTCCTCCCCAGCTTGCCAGAGACGGGTGGCTTTTGGGATGAAGAACCCTCAGACGATGATGAGTGTGTCCATCTACCTGGGAGAAGCTCACCAGGACAAGGTACGTAGAACACCAGTGTGGAGGACTTGTTCAGCCTTCTGTCTTCCCTTTGGCCCAGGGGTCCGAGTTCTCTTTGGTGCCACAACATCCCTTAGTGACTGACTGCTTATCCTTGGGGAGAGGAGGAGAATTTGTTAGGGGAATGAATTTGGTCACTACATGATTTAGGACATACATTTTTATCTCTGAGTAAAGCTGACAAAATTCAGAATTTTTATTTGTTCAATTCCAGCTAAACAGAGACAAATTTTATAGAAAATCAGAATTTTATTTTGTTTTTCAAATTCCAGCTATCTCACTACCCCCATCACTACACCATCTCACCACTTCTTATTTAACAAATTAATCTTGCTAGGATGCACGGTCATTGTTTAAAATATCGGATTTAGCCTTGTTATTATATATCTTACAATTGCTAGCACCAAGACTTTCCCCCAACAAGTTGAATAACTAACATTCTGTTTGAGGCAAAATGAAAGCGAATGGGATCATTAACTTTAAGTCGTAAAGTTCCCTTAACATGGTGCATTCTGAAGCTTACTGTTGTAATGACCTCTGTGATGACCTCTGTGATGACCTCTGTGATGACCCCTTTCAGGAGCTGATGGAGAAGTATGGATACCGCCCGTTCAAATCTGTGGAGAAGGACATCAGGGAAATCTTCAAGGGCTGTGTTCAGATGCTCATAGACAAATTCACGTAAGTTAGATATAATGTGTTCCCATAAGTGGTACTCTGAGCAGAGTTGAGTCCCTTAGCCATGTTAGGATCTGATGATGATGGTTCATGTCCTTGATTTGACAAGCACATGTTCCTTGGCTTCTCTGCACCATGGAGACACAGGTGCTGCTATTCTCTGTGCAGAGTTGCATCCCTTGGGCATGCCAAGAACCTGTGATCGTGGGCTTGAATCCTGGTTTGCCTCGATTATGTTTCTAGCTTTGTCAGCACCATATCCATCCTTGTGGCTTTCACCAAAGTGGTAAATGCCTGAGACCTGCATCACTTCAGATTTGCCTCCTACCCACTCTTGGCACCACATTCCTACTTGGTTTAACCAAAGTGATAAAAGTTGAAAACCTTTGCTACCTTTTACTTCCCTCCCACATTTAGCTAATGTGCCATGATTTAACTGAATTATTGTTAAACCTGGGTTTTGATGTCCCACATTTCTGGTCCTGGTGTCCTGCACTGTGATATCACTAGAATATTACTAAAAGCAGTGTGAGACCATTCTCCCTCAGTCTTGATTTCTTGGGGAACACAAAAAGAAATACACTAATAAGGGTAGTGTGAGTGTGAGTGTGAGTGTGAGTGTGAGTGTGAGTGTGAGTGTGAGTGCCTGGAATTTATGTGGCTAAGGTTTGTGGCCTTCTACCTGACAGGTCTGGTGATCAGGAGAAGATAATCCTGCCGGCCACCCTGACGGAGTTGAGGGAGAACTTCAATGTGAAGGTAGCTGGGCCGATCACCACGAAGGAGCAGCCGCCGGAAGTCTTGAAGGAGAAGAATGTGTACTACTACACCCTGCAGAACCTCATACACGTGAGTCACACTCCCGTTATACACGTCACACTCACATCACACACATCACACCCTGCAGAACCTCATACACGTGAGTCACACTCCCGTCATACGTGTCACACTCACATCACACCCTGCAGAACCACATACATGTGGTCACATTCCTGTCATACACGTCGCACTCACATTACACACGTCACACCATGAAGAACCACATACATGTGAGTCACACAGCCGTCATGCATGTCAGTCACACAGCCGTCATACACGTCACACTCACATCACACACATCACACCCTGCAGAACCTCATACATGTGAGTCACACAGCCGTCATACACGTCACACACACATCACACCCTGCGGAACCTCATACATGTGAGTCACACAGCTGTCACACACACATCACACCCTTTAGAACCTCATACATGTGAGTCACACAGCCGTCACACACACATCACACCCTGCAGAACCTCATACATGTGAGTCACTCCCGTCATACAGCTCACACTCACATCACACACGTCACACCCTGCAGAACCTCGTACATGTAAGTCACACCCCCATCATACACGTCACACTGGCATCACATACGTCACACCCTGCAGAACCTCATACATATGAGTCACACTCCCGTCATACACGTCACACTCACATCACACACGTCACACCCTGAAGAACCACATACATGTGAGTCACATTCCCGTCATACACGTCGCACTCACATTACACATGTCACACCCTGAAGAACCACATACATGTGAGTCACACAGCCGTCATGCATGTTAGTCACACAGCTGTCATACACGTCACACTCACATCACACACGTCACACCCTGCAGAACCTCATACATGTGAGTCACACAGCCGTCATACACGTCACACTCACATTACACACGTCACACCCAGAAGAACCACATACATGTGAGTCACACAGCCGTCATGTATGTCAAGTCACACAGCCGTCATACACGTCACACTCACATCACACACGTCACACCCTGCAGAACCTCATACATGTGAGTCACACAGCCGTCATACACGTCACACTCACATCACACACGTCACACCCTGCAGAACCTCATACATGTGAGTCACACACATCAGACCCTGAAGAACCACTAACTGTGAAGTGACACACACATCACACCCTAAAGAACCACATACATGTGACTCACACCCGTCACACACATCACACATCAGTACATCATGGATGTCAGTCCCTCAAACTTCACACACATCTGCTGCCATGATCTGCTGGTGATTGATGTTAGCCTAGTGGTTAAAGCGTTCGCTTGTCACGCCTAAGACCCGGGTTCAATTCCTAACATGGGTACAATGTTTGAAGCCCATTTCTGGTGTGCCCCGCCATTACATTGCTGGAATATTGCTAAAAGCGGCGTAAAATCAAAACTCACTCACTCACTCCTCAACAATATCATCAGTTTTTCAGCACTTAACATCTGCTTGGGGGTCTTTTTTATGGCTCATTAAGATGGCATGCAGTGATACTACTGAAATACTGTCCACTGCAGATTTAACTCACTCACTACCTGCAGTTGATACACACGCACAGCATCCACCATGATGCAGAAATCCTGCCAAACCCACAAGCTTATGGAGAGAGAATGTTTAGACGCACATGATGCAAAAAAGATGGGTTCAGGATAATTATGAGGAAGATACTTTTTGACATAAGCATTGAACATGTAGCTCGGGATCAATATACGACTCAACTTTTCATAGGGATAATCAGATATAATTTTTTAATTTGAAGTTTACACGATATACGGCTTTTCCATTGGACGAGAGGTTGGTCACCTGACCGCGAAATTGACATTCATAAGTGTATGAACGACACACTTTGACGTTCATACGTTTTTCACGAGACCGTGTTCTTGAAATGACGTAAACACTAACGGACTACTTCCACATTCCTGGGGAAACCCCTGGGAATTCCCTACCACGAAAACATACATACGTTCTTTCTGATCATTTAGAACCTTTATTCTTGGTCTCAGCGTTTCAGTATACATTGAGAAATGTCAGAGAGCGTGACTGCATGATTGTTCACGAATATCCTCGCTGCGGCCTATCCTAATGAACAAACGAAGAAATGCACATCTAAACTATCGTAGTATCAAAAGTGGAGTAGTATACTGTAAAATGATTCAGGAACATTCTCTTGCATCTCTTCCCAGTCCTACATCTCGGCACAGAAAGACAAGCAGGGTCGAGCATACGAGATGTTCCGCCTCTTCAAGCAGTACCCGGATGAGCTTCTGGCCCAGGTCTTCAACGACATGAACAAGATGGGGCTCATCACCAAGGTCAAGGTAAAGAAACTCCTATCTAAAGACATCATTGTGTTCCTTATGAATGAAATTGCGGTCTGGAAATACTCCGTCACTTTATGTCCCCCCCCCTATTGAATGAGTTGTTGTCCATTGTGGCACACGGTCCTGTGTAAAGAGCACAGGTCACACATCAGGTAAAGTTTAGGAACTTTGGTTGCGGTGAGTAGTGGGTTGGGTGAACGCGTTTGGAAACTTGCTTCCAGAAATTTTCTAGGACTTTGATCCTGCCCAAAACTGAAGCACAGGGTGTCTCCTTTGGCAAGTGACTTTGTTGAAATATGCCTCTGTTCAGCCAGCAGTGAATGAGATTAAAATATTACGTGACAGCAAAATAACAAAAGCCCAGGCTCAGATGGCTTTCCCACTGAATTTTATAAATTCTTTTGGAAAGATATTGGACAATTTTTATTGCGATCATTGAATTGTGGTTTAATATCTGGTGAACTCTCTGTTACCCAGAAACAAGGGGTTATTGTCTGTATTCCAAAGGGGGACAAGCCTAAACGCTTCATAACTAACTGGAGGCCCATATCACTATTGAATGTTTCATATAAGCTGGCATCTTCATGCATAGCAAATAGAATCAAGTCAAGATTGCCATTTATCATTAATGAAGATCAGACTGGCTTTATGACAGGTCGCTACATTGGTGACAATATTCGCTTAATCTATGATGCCACCTCATGTACAGAAAAATCAAACATTCCTGGTATGCTTCTTCTTATAGACTTTGAGAAGGCATTTGATTCCATTGCTTGGTCATTTATAGATAAATCTTTATCCTTTTGGGGATTTGGTGAAAATTTAAGGAAATATATATCGGTATTTTACAATGATATAAAAAGCTGTATGTCCATCAATGGTCAGTTGTCATCTTGGTTTAATATCAGACGCGGTTGCCGACAGGGTGACCCATTGTCACCGTATATATTTATTCTCTGTGCAGAAATACTAGCCAATATGATCCGCTCTAATAGAGATGTCAAAGGTATCCTGGTGGACGGTAGTGAGTATCTTCTTAGTCAGTATGCTGATGATATGGAAATATTACTTGATGGTAGTCAGTCCTCCTTTGTATCATGTAATAACTCTCTTGATTGTTTTGCCAAAATATCTGGTCTTAAGATTAACTATAATAAAACTCAAGTTATCTGGCTTGGCTCGAAGAGAGGTTGTAAGGAAAAGTTCAAAGATGATTTGCCTGTTGGTTGGAATCCAGAAGAGTTTAGAATTCTAGGAGTCAAATTTTGCACAAATCTGAAAAAAATGGTTCAGTTGAACTTTAAAGACAAATTATTTGAGTTAAAACAGATTATGAATAGGTGGATGAAACGGATAGTTACACCAATTGGTAGGGTGGCAATCATTAAATCCTTGTTGATTTCAAAACTCAATTATCTATTGTTATCACTGCCTGATCCCCCAAATGATTTTCTTGTTACTTTAAATGCTATGCTTTTTAAATTTCTTTGGAGTGATAAACGAGACAAAGTAAAGAGGATTAAAGTTTGTCAACCTGTTAAGCAAGGGGGCTTAGGTATGGTGAATATCTTTTCATATGTAACATCTCTTAAGGCCACATGGATAAGGAGACTTGTGTCCTCGGGTGATCCAAAATGGAAGCACCTATTTAAATCTACATATCCTTATTTGTGTAAACTTGGTGAGTTTGGTGTGACGTTTTTTGAAAGAAAATTATCTTTGATAAGTAATGAGTTTTGGAAAAGTTGTTTTCAGTCATTTATAGTGCTTGATAAGAAAATCAAGCCAGAATCTTTCAGTAGTTTTTTAACTGAACCAATTTTTTATAACCCTAATATTAAAATTAACAGGAAATCATTTTTCTTGAAATGCTGGTTTGAGAAGGGCATCTCCCAAATTATAGACTTGGTCAAGGCCAATAAGGAGTTTCTGTCATATGAGGAATTTAATGATATGTATGGTATTTGTTCATCCTATTTGGAGTTTTATGGTGTTGTTAGCAGCGTTAAACAATACCTTGGAGCTCTAAATTTAGTTAGAGTTCCAACAGATTCTGTGGAGGATCAGCGCTGTGTGGTAAAAACTATTTGTAGTTCCAAGTCCGGTTCAAAACATATTTATTTTTCATTGGTTTCTACAGAAGTAAAAACTAAAGGGCAGGAAAAGTGGGAATTACAATTTGAAAACTTAAATTGGAACAATATTTATAATAAAATTTTCAGTACAACACAGGATGTCAAACTGCGATGGTTTCAATACAAAATTACCCACAGAATTCTCACCACTAATACTTTTCTGTATTTACTCAATTATGCTCAGAATGATTTGTGCTCCTTCTGTCACAATGAAAAGGAAACAATTACTCACTTGTTTTGGGAATGTGATGTAATAAAACAATTTTGGGATGAAGTGTCATTGTGGATCGACCAGTGCTTTCATGTTTATAATATGACATTTTGTGCAGAATTGATACTTTTTGGAGTTAAAGAGAACATAAAAACAGATAAAGTGTTTGATTTACTTTTACTAATTGCAAAATACTATATTTATAGATGCAAATTCCAAAATACAAAACCTTATTTTCATGTTTATAAAAAGGAAGCTTTTTCACGATACAACATTGAAAAAGATATTGCTTTCAAGACAGGTAATCAACAGAAATTCTATGGTGCTTGGATGCTGTATCATCAACTTTTCGAAAATGAGGAGCAGCTTTCAATTTAATTTTAGTTTTGTACTTAAGATTTTAATGTTTGAGACCATGTACTTTCCTAAACTGCAATATGATATATAAACAAGAGTGAATGTGTGAGTGAGAAGTATGTTATTTTCTGTATAAAAAAAACAACAAAGTAAGATGTACTGATAAGTTGTGCTTTATGTCATGGGCTTTCTGCTACCCTGGGCGGAAGCCCATTTATGTAACAGGTGTGTCTTTCTAAAAACAATAAAAGGAAAAAAAAAAAAATATTACGTGACTGTTAACCTTCTAGCGCTTCTCAGGCAGCTTGGGTTGTATACCCCCCAGGGAGCTGAGAATGAAAATCGAGGGCACACTGATCCATTGGCCAGGATAATAATGTAGCACTTTCGGGTGTGGATTTGGTGCATTATATATACACACATCATCATTGTCTGACATTTCAACCTGCTACGAAAGAATGAAAAGGCTGTGGCGAAATGGAGGTGAGCGTGGTTCCGTCTCTGAATCAGAGATTGACTTGTCAGCAAGTAGTGGCTTATACTGGAGTATAGACATGCACTGGATGTTTTTGTGTGAGTACAGTTGGAATATTGGAAAGGAGTGTGAATATTGTTGACATCTGTTGACTGAATGTTGTCACTTGTTATTCCAGAAGGACAACCCAAATCACATCAGGAAGCGTCAGTTTGTGACAGCAGTTGCGCACAAGAAGCTCACACAGAAGTAAGTTTCTTTGCTGTTCTATTGCAGGAATATGTCTGAAACGGTCATAAAATTCTACTTGTTTACTCTCTTTCATCTGAACTTTACTTCACATGAACCCCTGTGGGGCTTCCGGGTTACAGCAGGTCTCTGGCAGCTAGAGTCCAAATTTACTACCCGGGTACCCGACTCCCCTTACCCGACCTACCCGGGTACCCGACCCCCTATTACCCGACCTACCTGGGTACCCGACCCCCTATTACCCGACCTACCTGGGTACCCGACCCCCTATTACCCGACCTACCTGGGTACCTGACCCCCTATTACCTGACCTACCCGGGTACCCGACCCCCTATTACCCGACCTACCCGGGTACCCGACCCCCTATTACCTGACCTACCTGGGTACCCGACCCCCTATTACCCGACCTACCTGGGTACCTGCTGTTGGACTCAAGTTGGGTACAAAATGTTCACTTGGGAAGTGTTTTATCCGAGCCCTGGCAGAAAGTATTTAGTTAAAACGATCGGATCGTGCATACAGTTGAAGTTGACTGAAGCTTCGTCTTTACTCAAACATATCAATTCAGAAAGAAGGTGGCCATAGTCAGAAAGAAATGCGAACATTAGCAACTTGTACCGGTACTTGTGTAACCATGGAATTTTATTATTAATGTCAATAAACGATTTATCACATGACTAGCCACTGACCCGGGTAGTCCTGTGGGTACCCGGGTCCTACTGAGGACCCATGCACCCAACCCGAGTACCCGAGTTACTTGTCCCATCCCTACTGGCAACCTATGCTGGTCATGAGGGGCAACCAAATAGATCGGTCGGTCAGGCTTTGTGACTTAGTTGATAGTATGGCTTTGTACCCCAAGGGCGTGGATCTTTGCTTATAATATTTGTTACTGGATTGCCTGTCCGGACTCGATTATTTACAGGCCTCAGTCATATAGCTGAGTGTGGTGTTAAACAACAAACAAACAGACAGGACTTTACATGGAGTTGCATATAAAGCAAGGGAGCTCACTCTTGCAGAACCCTCAGAAGTCCCTCTATAATAAACATCAGAAGATTTCTGGTTTCCTGTTGACTTTGGGGTATTGGTTACTGAAGCACCTGTAAATGTCGACATTGGTAATATTTTATGTCACTTCACGTAAGTCAGAGACAGTTTACTTTTGAACTTTAAATTGTAATGTAAGATTCAATGTTTTGAAGTTTTGATGATTTTGAACTTACATTCTGAAGTCACAGTGGCCCTTGAGTCTAGGGGGCCACAACTCACTGAGTTGCAGCCCCTACCTGTTCCAAGATCTGCTGATCATGTGCATGAATCCCAAAACCTTCCTAATTTTAATTCTGAATAATAAATCTGTAGAAATGTGCATGCTCTGATTCACTTGAGCTGTCCAGACGCATTAAGCAGACATGACAAAATGTTTCTCTGCTCATATACAAGTTACATGTAATATGTTTTGTTTCGTTCACAAGACATATTTGGTGTATTTAATATATATTAAAGAAATTAAGTTTGCTCTACCCTAGGAATTTTCTGACATGGGCCTTTTATGTGAAAATTTCGAATATTCCAGAGTTACGCCCATACATCCCAATCTTAAAATGGCTCATTGTATTTGAAAAAATGTGAACCTTTTTTCAAATTTAGGGGCTAAAAGCACAAGGCCCCACCCTAGAATTATCCCTGATAAAGTATAGTTTTGCCCTGAACTTGTATAGTTAAAGCATGAGGATGCTTGCTTCAGGGACTAGATCTATAACATGAAATTTGAGAACAAGTGTGGAACTATTCTTTAAAAAAATGGATGCAGCATTATATATGTATCGATATTATGTTTGATCAATATTTGAAGGACAGTTTTTTATATAGTTATTTTCTCCACATTCATGTCAGTCTCCCATCTGTGGGAGTTATCATAGAGAGAGTGTGACAAAATAACGGAGACCTGTTGCATATTGCAGTGTTGAGGGTGTTAATGAGTTTTTTATGTGCAGAAATTTTGGGAAATTTCTGGCCCAAAGTACTTAAAAACACCCACAAATCTGATGACTCTTGATGTTAACCTTTAAAGGCTCTCATGGGGATTCCAGGTCTGAATTGGTCCTCGTTCTTGTTGTAAGAGGTGACTTAATGGAATTGTTGGAGGGGTGCGTTCTCGGTGACTCATCTGATTGCTTGTCATCATACGCTTGGTTTGTCGGATCCAAACATCCCAGAGAGGGTCGGGGGATTCGAATCAAACTGGCCGCATCATACCAAAAGATGTCAAGAGATGGTACTTGTTGTTACCCTGTCTGACGCTCAGCATTAAGGGGCTAAAACAAGGACTGGTCGGCTCGGACTCAGTATACTGTGTCTTGAGTTGGGTATTCATGTGAAACTGCAGTATGGTATCTCAGTGGGCTTGCATTAGTCCGGACTAGTACAAGCAGCCAACCAGAGACACACACATGTGCATGCTCGTTGCTATGTGAGTGCAATAATGTTGAACATAACGTAAAACCCCATTTCACCTCACCTCACCTGATCCTAACATGTCACAGCCTAATACCTGGAGTATTGCACTGATCAGCAAACACAGAAACACGTAACACTGATGTAATGACCACTTGCAGGTACTACTACAACTTCCACTCACGGTTCCCGGCCAACCTGTTCACCCAGAGCTACACAATGCTGGACAAGATAGTGCAGGTGTACACCGAGGGGGTCAGTGATGGGGTGGAGCTTGGGGGCGAGACCGGTGACTACCTGGGGGGACATGTCGCCACCATCTGTGGCCTGTTTGCCATGAAGAAGGTAGGTACCAGCTTCCTCACATAGGATGGTGAACAGGTTGTAGGGACTTGTCGATTTCTCCAAGTGTTCATTTTACATTTACAACTAGTCTGAAATGACCAGTAAACTAGCTGCATTTAGCTCGTGGTGTCCTTGTCTCTTAAATGTTAGAGAGCATGTACCAGGTTTGAAATACCTTTGAGTTTGTGAGATGTCAACAGATAAAACAAAACAATTGATACTGATATGTGCCAGTTTCTACACAGCAACTGGTCTGAAATTGAGGAAAGGTTGTAAAGACTGGTAGTTTTCTCTGAAAAAAAGAGAAATATTACATTGAAAGTAATACTGTTCGAAGCAATGTTAAACATTGTGACACTCAATCTTATTTCCAGCTTGACTTCTGCCTGCGTATCCCAGAAGACATCCTTATCGTTGATAAAGTTGGTTTAGTGAAGGATCCAGTGGGTCGAGGCAAGACTCAAGCCCGGTCAGCACCTTCACAGACATCTACAGCTAGACCACACGCTACAGTGTCAACAATGGTGCAGTCCACATCAACCTCCACATCGGCGTCAACCTCAACATCAACAGGCACCTCCTCAGAGCCAGTGGTGCCTGAGAGTGACATGATCGTGGTGGAGGAAGTGGAGGTTGCAGCTGATAGGTCAGTTGAGGTCACCTGACCCGAGAAGCATTTATTGAAAAACTATTTGTGAAAGATTGGGATTAGGATATGTGAACAGTTTAATAGTATGGGAGTGCAATTTGATTGGTCTAAGAGACAAGTGATTTTACAACAAGCATGAACTTCTGGGGACCAATACGGCAATATATAACATTACCAGTAAAAGTTTTGATCCTTGATCTGTCAGCACCAAACCCTTGAAGATCTGGGGTAGAATAGGTCTTCATCAACCAATGCTTGCCGTAAAAGGCGACTATGCTTGTCTTAAAAGGCCACTAAGGAGATCGGGTGATCAGGCTTGCTGACTTGCTTGATGCATGTCATCGATCCCAACTGCTTAGATCGATGCTTATGATATTAATCACTGGATTGTCTGGTCCAGACTCGATTATCTACAGACCGCCGTCATATAGCTGGAATATTGCTGAGTGTGGTGTTAAACAACAAACCAACCAATGCAATTACCAACAGGGAGAAACATCCGTGGCCAAACACAGATGCAAACACACTAACAGACACACACAGTCAAGCCCAGATCAATCACTGGATTGTCTGGTCCAGATTTGATTATTTACAAGCTGCTGTCATATAGCTGGAATATTGCCGAGTGTGGTGTTAAACAACAAACCCCTTGACCATCCATTAAGCCTTCCATCAGTCTACTCAGGGATTTGATAGTATGGGAGTGTGATCTGATTGGTTTTAGAGACAAATGATGGAATAAGTTGTCTGTATGTTATGTCAGGCCGTTTGGTATTGATGAAAGGATCAGAGCAGGTCTCCAGTAATCCACGCTGGTCGTAAGAGGCTACCGAATGGATCAACGGTCAGCCTCGGTGCCTTGGTCATCATTCCCCGGTGGTGTGGTTCATTGTTCACAATATGAATCACTGAATTGTCTGGTCCAGACTCGATTATTTACAGGCCGGACATAAAGCTGGAATATTGCTGAGTGTGAATTTAACAACAGACATACAAACAAATTGATGAAAGGTACAGTTGGCCCTAATCCAGTTTGCAGTTCACAGTTTCTGGATCAAGGGTTTGAAGTTCAGATTGATCTGACAGCATCATACCCTGGTGAAGTTACCTACAGTGAGAAACATCTGGCCAAACACAAACACAAACACACAGTCAAGGCCAGGTCTTCCTTATGATAAACTAACTCTTTAACCAAATGTCTACTCTCCCTCCCATACCGTACAGAGTACAACATAGCAGACGCAGCAGACAGGGAACTGAAATATTGTGAAAGAAATGCTATATTGTAACTCCCTTACTCCAGTAGGTCCTTGGACAAGGACTGAAATATTGGAACTAAAATATTGGAACTGAAATATTGCGAAAGAAATGCTATATTGTAACTCCCTTACTCCAGTAGGTCCTTGGACGAGGACTGAAATGTTGGAACTAAAATATTGGAACTGAAATATTGCGAAAGAAATGCTATATTGTAACTCCCTTACTCCAGTAGGTCCTTGGAAGAGGACTGAAATATTGTGAAAGAAATGCTATATTGCAACTCCCTTACTCCAGTAGGTCCTTGGACAAGGACTGAAATATTGGAACTAAAATATTGGAACTGAAATATTGCGAAAGAAATGCTATATTGTAACTCCCTTACTCCAGTAGGTCCTTGGAAGAGGACTGAAATATTGGAACTAAAATATTGGAACTGAAATATTGCGAAAGAAATGCTATATTGTAACTCCCTTACTCCAGTAGGTCCTTGGACGAGGACTGAAATGTTGGAACTAAAATATTGGAACTGAAATATTGCGAAAGAAATGCTATATTGTAACTCCCTTACTCCAGTAGGTCCTTGGAAGAGGACTGAAATATTGTGAAAGAAATGCTATATTGCAACTCCCTTACTCCAGTAGGTCCTTGGACAAGGACTGAAATATTGGAACTAAAATATTGGAACTGAAATATTGCGAAAGAAATGCTATATTGTAACTCCCTTACTCCAGTAGGTCCTTGGAAGAGGACTGAAATATTGGAACTAAAATATTGGAACTGAAATATTGCGAAAGAAATGCTATATTGCAACTCCCTTACTCCAGTAGGTCCTTGGAAGAGGACTGAAATGTTGGAACTAAAATATTGGAACTGAAATATTGCGAAAGAAATGCTATATTGTAACTCCCTTACTCCAGTAGGTCCTTGGAAGAGGACTGAAATATTGGAACTAAAATATTGGAACTGAAATATTGCGAAAGAAATGCTATATTGCAACTCCCTTACTCCAGTAGGTCCTTGGAAGAGGACTGAAATATTGTGAAAGAAATGCTATATTGCAACTCCCTTACTCCAGTAGGTCCTTGGAAGAGGACTGAAATATTGTGAAAGAAATGCTATATTGCAACTCCCTTACTCCAGTAGGTCCTTGGACAAGGACTGAAATATTGGAACTAAAATATTGGAACTGAAATATTGCGAAAGAAATGCTATATTGTAACTCCCTTACTCCAGTAGGTCCTTGGAAGAGGACTGAAATATTGGAACTAAAATATTGGAACTGAAATATTGCGAAAGAAATGCTATATTGTAACTCCCTTACTCCAGTAGGTCCTTGGAAGAGGACTGAAATGTTGGAACTAAAATATTGGAACTGAAATATTGCGAAAGAAATGCTATATTGTAACTCCCTTACTCCAGTAGGTCCTTGGAAGAGGACTGAAATATTGTGAAAGAAATGCTATATTGCAACTCCCTTACTCCAGTAGGTCCTTGGACAAGGACTGAAATATTGGAACTAAAATATTGGAACTGAAATATTGCGAAAGAAATGCTATATTGTAACTCCCTTACTCCAGTAGGTCCTTGGAAGAGGACTGAAATATTGGAACTAAAATATTGGAACTGAAATATTGCGAAAGAAATGCTATATTGTAACTCCCTTACTCCAGTAGGTCCTTGGACGAGGACTGAAATGTTGGAACTAAAATATTGGAACTGAAATATTGCGAAAGAAATGCTATATTGTAACTCCCTTACTCCAGTAGGTCCTTGGAAGAGGACTGAAATATTGTGAAAGAAATGCTATATTGCAACTCCCTTACTCCAGTAGGTCCTTGGACAAGGACTGAAATATTGGAACTGAAATATTGCGAAAGAAATGCTATATTGTAACTCCCTTACTCCAGTAGGTCCTTGGAAGAGGACTGAAATATTGGAACTAAAATATTGGAACTGAAATATTGCGAAAGAAATGCTATATTGCAACTCCCTTACTCCAGTAGGTCCTTGGAAGAGGACTGAAATGTTGGAACTAAAATATTGGAACTGAAATATTGCGAAAGAAATGCTATATTGTAACTCCCTTACTCCAGTAGGTCCTTGGAAGAGGACTGAAATATTGGAACTAAAATATTGGAACTGAAATATTGCGAAAGAAATGCTATATTGCAACTCCCTTACTCCAGTAGGTCCTTGGAAGAGGACTGAAATGTTGGAACTAAAATATTGGAACTGAAATATTGCGAAAGAAATGCTATATTGTAACTCCCTTACTCCAGTAGGTCCTTGAAAGAGGTGATGTTGTTGATTGTTGCTCATAATATCAACCACAAGTTCCAGACTCAAATATTTACAGGCCCATCTGAAAAGCTGTAATACTGAGTGTGGTGCTAAACACAGAAGTCAAAACTTGGAAACTAAAAGGTTATCAAGCTGTATTTTGTAAATATATTTATGTCTGCTCATAATATCAGTCACTGGATTGTCTGATCCAAATTTGTGTATGTACAGGCTGCTGTCGAAAAGCCGAGAATGATGTTAAACAAAAAAATGCCTCGACCATCCATAATCCTTCCTTCAGTCTACCCAAGGTGTTTATGCATACAGTGGCATTATTATTTCCATCATTAGTTAAAAAAACCTGTTTGTGTTGATTGACAGTGTTGTATTTGCAGCAGCAGTCCCCACTCTGGACCAGGACCAAGCACATCGTTTGCTGCTGACACCGTGGAAACAATGAAGAGGAGGAACTGCCGCAGTCTCGTCATCATCGAAGGTGAAATCGGTGCCGGTGAAAGCCTGTTGTCCAAGGTCCCATCACGGAATGCATCTCGGTCCCTCCTGTCCCTAGCTCGGAACCGGATCCTGTCCTCAGTTGATACCAAATCCTCGAACGTTCAGGATCACTTTGTCATCAACTCCTGTGACGTCAAAGTATCTCTCCACCTGGCATCGACAGTAACGCCATCAGCTGATGGCCGACTGACGGACAGGGAACTGGAGGAGACGAAAAACCTGTTCCTGAAGCCCCAGAAGGCCAAGGAGATGTATCGCAAGCACCTGCAGTACTTCCCCTTCCACCTGGACCTGCAGGAGGTGTGGGAGGAGCTCGGCATGGAGTACGGCACCGAGGATGTCGTCATGATCAAGAAAGTGTACGAGGCCATCCACAGCAGTAGCAGCATTGGTGTCCGAGAGAGTGCCATCAAGGTAGGGTGTCCCTACATTAGAAGGAATTCTCTGTAATTTTCAGCAATTTCATTAGCTATTGAGAAAAAAGAGGCTTAAAACCAATCTCTCTCCATCACTCCTGGTACCCAGACATTAGGATCACTGGATTGTCTGGTCCTGATTTATGTGCCATCCTTCATATAGCTGGAATATTGTTGATTACAGCATTAAATAAAACGAACAAAATTGTGGATGGAGTTCTCTCTAGGTTGTCAGATTCATGGTGAGCTGGGGCAGACCATGTCTTACGTACTCACTGCTCGTCACCACAACAATAGTGAATGTGGAACTGTGGTTATTGTGTCTGGCAAACCCTTTTGCTCTTACGACTTGTTGGTCTCGTCCTGACCTGATACAGCAGTAACAATGCTGACTGTGGGGTAAAACAACATTCACTCACTGATGCTGAAGATGTATTTGTTTGATGAAATGTTACTAGTTACAAAGAAAACCCCAACAAATTCATTTGAAACATGGTGCACAAAATAGCATCAGGAGCATAATTTTGCTATTCTTTTTCTGTCTTCTTTATGTTTCCTTGGCCTTGAATAACACAGTGATAATTTGTCCTACTTCTCAGACCACCATTTTCTGAATTGCTGCCCCCATAGAATGATTTACTTTTCTTGGTTAGGTCAATTGGTGACAGTCACAGTGAGATGGCACCATTCATTGATGTGTATATCAGTTGACCGCCAGTCATTTATATCAAATAGTGATGAACTGTCTGCAAATTGCATAGTTTGGGAGATAAAACTGAGGTCACTCTCATGTAATTCCTAATTTGACCCATTACCTACTACCGGTACCTACATGTCAGAATTATGAGATCTGATTGGTCCACATAATCTTGATAAAATATGATATATCCCGTCTGGGAGGGAAATATATTTCTCAGCGGAGAATAAATTCCTTATACCAAGCCATGGAGAAAGCAGGTTGCGTGTGGATTTCTCAGCAGTAGAATAAACCGCTTAAACAGCTCTTCGAAATCATAGCACAAGTTAATCTACACTCAATCAAACATGTTTTCTATCAATTTTGAAGAATTTGTTTAAATTCTTTTACAATGTCATATTAAAACATGTCGGTAAGATAAATGTGTTGTAGCAGGAACACTCAGGGTCCATGAGGTTTTATGCGTACCTCGTTATGTTTTATACCACGAACCTCCCGGTCCGGCTTATGGTAAAAAAAACTAATGAGGGACCCATAAAACAACACCTTGGACCCCTGGTGATCCTGCTACAACTTATATTGTAAACCATTACAAAAGCAGTCAGGGATAAACTTTCATGTAAGAAACAAACATGGACTTCTGGTTCAGTCAGAGGAGGAAGTTGGCGACATTCAAAAGGAAATGTGGTTCCTGATAGGATTCAAAGGCAAATGGCCAGTCATTAATTATTGACAACTGAATTACTGCAGTCAGTGTGGGAGACAGTTATCAAGACTAGTATAGGTAACCCCAGGAGGACTATTGAGACAGCCAGTCACAGGGCAGGGTCAAGTGGTTACATAGTGGCATGTTCATCTGTGCTAGAGTGTGTTCTGGATGTAATAATTTACAAATATAGAATCATGGAACTTCAGAGAATATTCTCCATACTCTACGTTAATTTCATATTCTTGCTGGTGCTATGATTGTGTGATGATTTTCTTTCTTGGATAGGTATTGAAATTTAGTTTTCTGATATATATTATGGTAAAAACAATTTACTGTATTTATCTGTATTATAAAAAGTTCATTAGTGTGGCATTTCAGTGTAACAAAACCATACATACCGTAATACATATTTGTTAAACACCATTTGTACATCACATTGTCCATCTGTCTACCACCCATACATCCATCTATTGGTACATACATCCATCTATTGGTACATACATCCATCTATTGGTACATACATCCATCTATTGGTACATACATCCATCTATTGGTACATACATCCATCTATTGGTACATACATCCATCTATCTATTGGTACATACATCCATCTATTGGTACATACATCCATCTATTGGTACATACATCCATCTATTGGTACATACATCCATCAATTGGTACATACATCTAGTACCAGTACATCTGAACATCCAGCGGTCCATCTGTCCATCACACCACAATCCATCTGTTGGTCCGAACATCCTCCAGTTCATCTGTCCATCACACCACCATCCATCTATTGGTCCGAAAATCCACCAGTAAATCTGTCCATCACACCAACATCCATCTATTGGTCCGAAAATCCTCCAGTAGAGTCCATCCACCCATACATCCATCAGTCCATCCACCCATGCTACCATCAGTCCATCCACCCATACATCCATCAGTCCATCCACCCATGCCTCCATCAGTTCATCCACCCATACATTCATCAGTCCATCCACCCATACATCCATCAGTCCATCCATCCACCCATGCCTCCATCAGTCCTTCCAGCCATACATCTATCATTCCATCCACCCATACATCCATCAATCCATCCACCCATACATCTATCAGTCCATCCAACCATACATCCATCAGTCCATCCACCCATGCTACCATCAGTCCATCAACCCATACATCCATCAGTCCATCCACCCATGCCTCCATCAGTCCATTTACCCATGCCTCCATCAGTCCATCAACCCATACATCCATCAGTCCATCCACCCATACATCCATCAGTCCATCCACCCATACATTCATCAGTCCATCCACCCATACATCTATCAGTCCATCCACCCATGCCTCCATCAGTCCATCCACCCATACATCCATCAGTCCATCCACCCATGCCTCCATCAGTCCATCCACCCATACATTCATCAGTCCATCCACCCATACATCTATCAGTCCATCCACCCATACATCCATCAGTCCATCCACCCATACATCCATCAGTCCATCCACCCATGCCTCCATCAGTCCATCCACCCATGCCTCCATCAGTTCATCCACCCATACATCCATCAGTCCTACTATTGGTTCACCTTCCCGTCCTTAGGTCCTCTGTCAGTTCATCCACCTACCACTGTCACACATCAGTCATATTTTAATCAGTTCATTCATCACATGACCACGTTCCCGTGAAAAATTGCTTTGCCTTTGCATGTATTTGTGTTGGATGCCCCAGGTGGGGCAGGATATGTGCACTATCTCAACTGATATCATCAGTGATTCAAGGACACATGTTCATAATACAGATGGAAGTGTACAATGGATTCTGCTTTCAGACGATAGTTCTTATGAATATGGAAAGGGTATGTCGCTATTATTTACAGTACACTAAACAGGGCTATTCACCCTTGGTCAAAGTAGAATCAGAATGTGGGTCAGAGATCCAATCAGTGCCCCACTTCTGTATGATGCTTGAAGCAGTCCATCCCCCCCCCCCCCCCCATTGTTGAGAGCTATGGGAAATGGAATGGTATAGAGATAGCAAGTTTGACATGAGACAGACAAGGGTCTTCCTGCTAACTCATGGTATTTGAGGGTCAACTCATTTGAACAAGAAACATGATGTATGACTACTGTGTACAGCCATAGGCTCATATTAGTATCTTGACACACATCCTCTTTCCTCTGTTCCTATTAAATATCTGATTAATCCATAGTGTTGCAGGAGAACTGAATGCCATTTGCAGTGACCCAATACTCTGCTGGCTTTAGTCATGCTTGGTCTCAAATAGCCTTTGTCTGAAATAAAACAGATGTATTGAAAATTTTTCTACAAGAAATACAATGTAATAATGCTTATTGGGTAATTAATAATAATTGGATTGTTTAAGAGAAGAAAACAGTTTTAGAAATGTGACATGCTGTATTTGCCATAATAAGCATCTTAGTCTCCTAAAAAAATGAGAGAGAGAGAGAGAGACCCTCTCAAGTAGAAAGAATATGTGAATGCCATAAACATCGTTTGGGGCACTGATCTCCATATACAAATTGGGGCCTTCTGTTGAGCTTATGCTGTGTGTAACATGTAGTGGGATAGAAAATTAGGTTGTTGCTATGTGGCCAGCCCGTGTTCTCCTCCTCATAATGATGAATACTAATTATACAGCTGAATATGCCAATCTTTCAACATGCTTATGAGACAATTATCATGAAAAAGTTACCTTGACGAGATGACATTGAGCAGAACAAAGAAACAAGCAATTCATCAACATGCTCCACCCAGGAAGTGAGTGAGTGGTATGGCATGTTTATGTGTCCTAAAGTGATGTAAAGGCAACTGCAGATTGATTGAACCAATCAAACATATTTTATGTCCTATCATTGTAGACATACATCCCTGATTATGATTCTTTGTTTGTGAGCTCAATGTCAGTGCTTGTGGGGTTCACCAAATTGTACAGATCTACGGTTTTATCACTTTGGTAGTTTTCTTTATATTAACTTGACGTGACTGAAAGAAAGGGGTGTTAACCACTCACTCACTCACTCACTCACTCACTCACTCACTCACTCACTCACTCACTCACTCACTCACTCACTCACTCACTCACTCACTCACTCACTCACTCACTCACATAAGGTTCATGTGTTAACTTCTTTGAGAGGTTTTTAGAAGTTGGACCACTAAGTAAGGATACTTGCTTCATAACGGTGTTAGAATCTACACTGAAACGTTGCTCCTAATTGTGATAAAGAAGTTGTTCATCCCTAAATCTTGACTTAGTTCATGTGCTGTGTATACCATATATTATAGGCTATTCCAGGTATATCGACAAACCTTAACTGACCCTCACAATCAAATAGTGCCTTCAGAGTGACCTCGACAAAAACGCAGTAAACATGGTAAATCCACTCTCGTTCATTGTCAATAAATGTTTCTACTTGAACGAAATTCAGATGTACACCTTTTCACAGCAGCAATGCTACCATGAGCTGGCAGGGGTTTAAAACAGGGTTTAAGCTAAGTAATTGCAAATGCTAATCAGCATGATCAACAAATTGTAGGATAGAGGTGAGCTAATTATGTCTAGCA